TCAAGACTCATCTGGAAAATATACAACCACTTCAAAGTAATATAGATGATATTTAATCCCATGAGTTATAGTCTATAAATAGTATTTATAACAGATAAAGCTTATGTTTATGACCTACATATTATATACATGTATAACAAGAGGTGTAAAGGACTTAAATGCTCATCAGTTAACTATGTTAATCAAACACATTAACATCTTTTATATGTTAAAATTTCCTTCCATGCATCTAATGATTTAAAAGACATTATCTTAAACTGTTAAATTATAATTTGGTTCTTATTTTGATCACGGAGTAAACAGTTTCTTGTTGAACTAAATCACATAAGTTGCAAAAGAAGCTGGATAACATTGGGTTTTTAGTTTAAAAGATGGAAATAATAACCAAGTCTCCCCCCCTCCCACAAAACCCAACCCCTATTCCATCTCTCACATATCCTACCCAACACCCATTCACAACATCTCAATTCCACCACCACCACCTCTGTCCAGAAGAAGCAGAAATGAAACTGACTTTACTACAATCTGTATTATCATATGGTCTATGCAACATTTATTACATGCACTGTTTATTGATTATATTTATTATAAGCAGTGTTTATTCATGATCAACAGTGTTTATTCATTATCAACAGTGTTTATTTATTATCAGCACTGTATTGTAAGCAGTGTTTATTTATTATATACATGAAATATTCAATTAACTGTGTGAGCTTTAACAAGTATCCATGGCTACTTTGCACCTGGGTAAGAAAACCGTAAAATTAAATGTCGAAATTTGGTGGAAAAATTAATCAATTCTAATTTAAGTTTCTTTAATTAATTATCAATTTCACACCCCCATCTGCACACATGTATGTTCTTAAAGACAAATATAGTAATGATAATGCGGAACCTATATTTTCTGTACACGCCATCCCATTCAAAATACGTGTAAGAGAAGGCCGTAGTGGTACTGTCCGTGCAAAAGTTTCCCTCATCATACATGTAGTACACTGCATGGCAATGCATGTCTTGATTAGCCCATTCGATGCAGAAAAGTAGAGGACATTAAACACCATTTCATTTTGTTTATTTACACATCAAAATTTACTTTTGATATAAATGGACTATATAGTTTGTTGTCACTGTTGTGCCTTATACAACAAATTATAGTCTATTCTCAGACCATACATAATAATAGTAGTTTTACCGAAAAGCATATTACAAAAGTCAATCACTCCTACCTAACATAGTTGTCATATCTAAAGTTCAACTTACTTTTAAATCATCTTTTCATTAACTGAGAACATCTAAAGGACAACTTATTTCTATTCCCAGAAGTTTGAGACCAAGAGGGCATCTCTAAGCTAGGCTTTATTTTTTAAACATACATTATGCAAGAGCTAAATCTGCCTATTACAGGTCTTTCTTTAGGCCTGAAATGGTATCTAAATTATTAATTAGACATTTATTAACAAAACAAGACAATAATCGACTCCCGATGGCATCGGATACTCAAGATTTTAACTAGATTAAAACGGTTCGCCATTTAAAAATTTAATTTAAAAATGGGAAAGCGAGGCTAAGTCCTGATTATACCAGTGCCCTGGATACCACATCTTGTCAAAACTACAAACAATGATAACTTGGCTGAGAATGAAGTAATTTGAATGAAATTTTCAATATTTTCTTTTTTTATCATCTATTTTTGAATTATTATAGCAACAGAGAGTGAGAGAGAGAAATGGGGTTTAACGTCCACTCGACACAAACTAGGTCATTTCAGGACTAACATATGGTTCAATTTTATTACCATAATTCGCTTGCGTGTAGGGGTCTTTAGCAGTGGGAGGAAACCGGAGGCCCCGGAGAAAACCCACAAAGTTGGACAGGCGACCCTACTCCTTGTCACGTACAACCGGGGATTCGAAACCACGCCAATTGACTCACTGACAGACTTTATGATACAGCACACACGTGCTAACCATTCAGCCATCCAACCCCAAATTATTATAGCAAGAATGACCAACTCTTTATTAAACTCTTAACTAATGTAGATGTACCTTTAAATAGTCTAATTAATTTTTATCCAAAGAACACTTAAAATAAGTAAATGTTCATAGATCATCCTTCTTATAATGTACTTTGCCCTTCTAATCGTATTATATTTATAACACCCTTTCCCTTCCTTGTCTAAACTTCGACTATGATGATAAAAATTAATATCAAAGCATAAAATTTATTTAGCTCACCTTCATTTGATCTATTTTTGTTACAAATCTTCAAGCACTGTAGTGTAGTTCATTGATGTGCAATGTGAGAACATATAATTTTCTTTATTTATTAGTTGTTATAAAGATTATTATTTTTAAATCTTTTAGGAAAAAGTACATATTCTACAGAATCAAACTCTCAACTATCTGAAAGGTGTTTAGTTTAAAAGGCCTAATGAAAATCGAAAAACTTTTGTTACCAGAAAGTGACGTCATAGACTAATATTAGACATCTATAAGGAAACTTTATTAATTTATCAATGTATTTAAATGCAGTTTTCAATATTTGGTATGTGTTCGGAATTCACAAGTTTTCTCCAATACATTGTGGTCTTTACCACGCATGTGTATGACCTAATTTTAAGCTTAAAATTGATATTCTGAGTGTAACTTTTGTATTTTTGAAGTTTTTGACTTGCGACTTTCAGAACCTGTTATAATATAAATGAGTAGATTAAGCCAGAAAGGTTAACAATGATCTACCAATTATCTCCATTTTGAAAACAAGATCAGATTTTAAAACTTCATTAATTTCACCTTATTTTTAAAATACACGTCAATAAGATTCGTCTATCAACTATTCAAAGTAATATCTTCAAGTTACCAGCGGTTGCTAGGCAAGATATGCCCACATTTTGCAAGAGATGGATAGAGAACAAGCTAAAAACAAACACGATTTTTCGTACAATCAGGGGTCATAATCCAGAAATTTATGGTCTGAAATGTGGAAATATAGATTGTGAATTCTAGAGGGTCCCACAACCTTGGTATTACATACTTTTACACTATTTGTGTACAGTCAGGGACCATAATCCAGAAAGTTATGGTCTGAAATGCGCAAATATCGAAAGCGACTGAGGTCTTTGGGATATAAAGATATATTTTAACTTTCATCAAATGTAATGTAGCCGCGATTGTCATTATATACTTTTATATTAAAGATACATTATCCTGAAAGTTTCTATTTATCGGGTGGTTATTTCTAATAAAAGTATGGCAAATTTGGTATATGGAATATATACACACCCAGTCACACTTGAAAAATACTGGAATACCCCCAAAACACCCTTTATCACATGATAAGGCTGTCTTGGGAACATTGAGGGGTGTAAACATACAAAAGACTCTGCAATTAAATGGTGGAAAAAGAAGTTGACAGAAAATAATTAAGAATTTACTAACACCTCATGGTAAATGGACAGTAAGTAATGAAAAATACATTCTGAAAAATGGACCCTCCCTCAATCAAATTAGGTGACCAATCAGACCAAACATAGCTTCTTACAGTTTATTTATACCTTGAGGTATCTCACCGCGATAACAAAGTTTTGAGAGGGATTTGAAGCAAACTTTTGACAGAATAAGCCCTAATTAGTTTGAATAAGTGTTAAGTCCAAATATATCATCAAATCACACAGTTTGTAGGCGGGAAATTATCTTTAACATAATAGAGCTCTGGTATCTTGTTGATTGATTTGTTACAGTGTAATGTATCGGTTGTTGACAGGACTGTTAACCAGTCATAATTTGGCACAGAAATTTGCAGTGAGTCTGGTAGTGTTTAGTGGGATTAGGTCTAATCAAACAAAACATTGCAAGGAATATGTATCTATAGTAGCCTACCAATAGTTACATAATGGAACAATTAAGGCAGCTACAACAGCAAATCAAGTCACTGTTTTTTAAGGCGAGCGATCACTCTCAAGCGCCTGCCGCTCATCTGAATGTCGACCAAGGGTTTTGTTTTTTTTCCCGCGAATGACTCCTAACATGCAGTTATTGATCTTCAGAACCAACTAATCACTCCTTAAAGATACATTACCGGGTACAAACTGGGTGATTTGATGATATACATGTATTTGGACTAAAAACATATTCAAACTAATTAATTTATCATAATTTTGCTTCAAATCCTTCTCAAAACATTGCAATTGTCGAGGAATACCCTGGCTATAAAAAATCGATCAAAAGAGGTCATGTTTGTGTTACGTGACTTACCTCTCGTTGTACCTAGCAATGCAAGCGAAGTTGGAGGAGAATTCATTGCATACACAAGCTGATGTTGTCTTTAATCGCTAACTATTTATTACAAATATCAAAACCTAATTAAATTTGAGCAAGCGCACTAAATACAAAATATGCACATAAAACATTACAGCTTCAAAAGCATTATAAATAGATAGAAATAAAATTGTGAGTATTTACAGAATACCTTATAAAAGACTAGTACATCAAGCGCTCAATCTCCGCGTGCAATCTTCGACATCACGCGTGCAGACACTCCTAATCGTCAGGCTGTCGATTAGGGAAACCCTTACATTTTTGTCCTGTATGTGCTCCATGAGTGTTTTCAGGGAATCCAGTATTTTTCTAGTAAGATTGGATATTTCTACTTTCCATATATACCAAAATTGCCATACTTTTATTGGATAACCACCTGATAAATACTTTTCTGGGAATGTAGCTTTAATACAATATTACTTTCCTTAATTTCTAAATCACACTTCTTATCGAAACTGGGAGAGCTTTTTTACGGGAGCAATTTATTCAATTTATTGATTAAGGTACGAGCTTTTTTCGGCTCTCCTCTAAAATACAAACAACGACGACTGTCTTTGGTTCAGTGCAAGATTAAGCCGCATTCGAGTCCGGCCCAGCCCCCTCACAAAAACATGTTAACTTTATACTGTCATTACTGTACTGAAAATAATGTGGTGATGTGTTTTGTTAATTATCTTTATTCAGACGTTTAGATAAATTATGTATATATCATAGTTCTTAACACAAGTTTCTGCATTCCAACTTTCTAAGGGGCCCTTAAACTCATACCAACTCAAAACATATCCTGGATTTATCTCAATCATAGCTACCTGTTGTTCTATGCATGACTGCACTTGTGAATCATCACGAAGTGTGTTGGTTATTTTGAGTATGTCACACGCCAAGGACATAACAAAAACAAAATTTTGAAACATAGATCCGGTTTCATTGTCTGGAGCTTTATAAATAGATTCGCTTTATGCTAAATCGGACAGTTTACAATACCAATCAATAAAAACAGCAAGAAAAGCTTTATTTGGCACAAATGGGAAAGTTTATTGCAAGAAGTAGGTGAAATGCCATTCGAACTGAGGCGCAATGACCTTACATTGCAATACATGTACTGAGCTAAGGTAAAATATCTTGGGGACAGTTGTTCACCATTTAAATGGACAAAATCATCAAGGAAAAAATTTAAAAGAAATGTAAAATCTGAAACTCAACCGTTCAGTCACAGAGCAAATGAATTGTTAAATGATCTAAGATTAGATCACTATCAGATCACCATGGACTTTATTAAATCCAAACTATGAAAATCTGCAATACGCTCAACGCTCTTGAGAGAATTCTTGAATGAAAAATGGTAATCTCATGTGAAAATATACACAGACGGATCTCATGATCAAAACACAAACAAGACTGTGTTGGGTATTAACACCCCCGAATCAAAGAGGTTAAGATACCAGATGGATGTTTCATCTATACAGAATAAGTAAAGGCAATATCCACAGCTCTTGACTGGCTTTCATCTGCCAGTATTGACAGAGCTGTCATTGCGTCAGACTCCCTTAGCAGCATTGAGTCATTAATAATACATGACAAAACAACATCTAGACCAGAAATTGTTCAGAATATTCGAGTAAGTGTTAACTCTCTCCAAAAGAAAAATAAATCCGTAGAATTTACATGGATACCACCCCATGTCGGTTTAGTAGGAAATGAGTCTGCGACCGAAGACTTAAAATAAAGCGTCCAGGAATTTAATAGCATCGTTAAAACTAAAATTAAATCAGAGTTGAAAAATGATTCAAATTAGATAGCGATCTAGTTTTCAAGACGGAGGTCAATCATCCTTCGCACAAAATTGCGGGTGGTTTTTACTGCGAGAACTTCGCTTTTCCACATAATGCAAGCAGATTCGATTTCCCCACGTTTTTTTTCTATCCGCACTGATCACACCAAACATTAGTCAGCTGGACGTCCTGTTTTAACTTGTTTTTGTTACGGTATGACAAAGGCAGAAGATGACCCGCCCTCTCTTCTCACGTGCAAACTTTTAACACTGTGTTTTAAAGATACATTCCTGCGTACAAACGGGGGGATTTGATGATATAATTGGACTAAAAACATATTCAAACTTATTCATTTATAGTAACTTTGCTTCAAATCCTTCTCAAAACATTGCAATTGTCGGGGAATACCCTGGCTATAAAAAATCGATCAAAAGAAGTCATGTTTGTGTTATGTGACTTACCTCTCTCAGTACCTAGCAATGCAAGCAAAGTCAGAGGAGAATTCATTGCATACACAAGACGATGTTGTCTTTAATCGCTAACTATTTATTACAAATATCGAAGTCTAATGAAATTCTCTGATTATCCACAGCCCAAGTTTTTTTCTGTGGTTTTTAACTCAGAAACTGTTGTACGTCTAACTCTTCATAAAGTTTATCAACATGTAGGCCTACATCAAGCGCTCAATCTCCACGTGCGACCTTTAACGTCACACGTGCAGACACGCCAAATCGTCTTGCTGTCGATTAGGGAAACCTTTACAGTTTTGTCCCGTATGCGCTCCATGAGTGTTTTTCAGGGCATCCGGTATTTTTCTAGTAAGATTGGACATTTCTACTTTCCATATATACCAAAATTCAAATTGCCATACTTTTATTGGAAATAACCACCCGATAAATACTTTTCTGGGAACCTATATACAAGAATTTATTTATTTTTTTTTTTTATGCATTTTCCCATTTTTATATAACGCTATATGTAAATAACTTAATTAAATGAATCTGTCCAAATCATATCTTAATGTATTGGACATTAAACGTATGTAATACAACAACAACATATCAAACTTAATCTTAATGCACTTTCGCTTTCTCTATATGGGGACCAAAATTAAATCTGTTATCTAGGCAGTATGTCTGCAATTTATTTCTTACTAAACTAATCCTTGACATGTGATTACTCCGAGAGTTTTAATAAAATAATTAAATTCTTAATCAATTCATAAAGTATATAACCAATTTATATCATTAACTTACCTGCAATAATGCAAAACAACCTATTCAAATCAAATCAGTTATACTCAACTTGCACAGGCAGTAAGATTCGCCCATTAATTTAAGGAAGATAACTCTAATAGACAAAAAAAGCTTGTTGGAGGCAGACCACCATTAATGTTAATTCTGGCCTCTTTGCCAGGCTCCAACTTTTCCCCAAATTTTCGTTGGGTTGAATACTTTTCACTACAGAGAGAAAAACAAATGGTTATGTCTTTGCACAAAAATTTGTATCAGGTTGACCACCAAAATTTTGAGATACACAAACTTGAAGAAGCATAGCCTACTAAAAACACTATTTGCCGTAATTTACCAACCCAAAACCGTGTTCCTCCCACCTCTAAATCATGAATATTTACCAAAACATGGCAGAAAATGTTAATTCAAACCCTCTTCTTCCATTCTAGACCAAATAATCCACAAAAATGGATATGCAAAGGAGGTGGGGGGGGGGGGGAGAGAGAGGGAATGGCTATAAATAGACCAACTACAATTTAATGGTGGTACGCCTCCTGTTATTGCAACAGATATCTCTCCTGTCGTAACGGGGTTAGATCTATTTCACATGACCACCTGCTGATATCGTCATAGGTCACGAGATCTAAAACATGACTAGTGCTAACCCTACCGAAGACCTTGCCCCAAGCCTTACCCTAACCCTAACCCATAAGCCTATTATGGTACTACATAATTATCGCTGTTACCTTTGTTGTAAAAGGTTTACTAGTATTTCATCTGATTTTACATAATTATATGAAATGTTTCTTTTCTCACATTTCTCAGTAGTAGGCTCTGTAGTTGAGGATTAGATTGGCGGTCGGGGCAAATAATGACCTTAGCATCATCAAACCTCTGCACGCCGCCGACATTGACACTGCGAAGGGACTTTTGGCCACCATCTTGGATTTTCGGATCTCCTTAGCCCATAGTTCAGGGATAGCAATTAAACTACAAATAGGGTCACTAGGGTCCCCTTTGTCAGAAATCATCGTCAAACCTTGTTCCTCGAGAAATGGTCACGGGCCAGGGGGTGTGATCCGACAAAACGACTTTGAGCATGAAACGTATTTTATGAAGCAGTAGGCCTGCCGACCGCAATATTCCTTTCTCCATGTTATACTATAGCAAAGTAACTATTTGGTTATATACAATGGCGTAACTGGAAGGGGTCTGATTTTAACAATATAGAAGTGATAATTCTAGAACTAGACTTTCCGAAGAAAAAAACTCCTGCTATGCTCTATAGCCTACTGATCTTTGGGTTAAGAGACAGTTGCCAGGGTTGCGATTAGTTAATTGAACAGTCGATATTTATTTCAAGCCCACCTTCGTTTTATCTGTGACAGATTATAATTCAAGGCCAGTTAAATCAAGAGGTCGTCATTAAGATACGCGGCTAGATTTTGCTAGAAATAGATGGGGAAGCGGAAAATTCAATAGGACCCATCCTGTCATTCAAGATCTTTTGATCCTTAACATGATCTGAATGCGTCTCCGATGAACTACACCGCCAGGAGTTTCAGGGGCCTGCACATAGGCGTACGGGGAAATTTTTGACTGGAGGGGCGGCGGTGGTTGGTGCCCAAAAAATGTAGTTAGGTTCTTAGTATGTTACATAATAATAGTAAATTCGCTGTTAAATTGGACACATTCAAAAACACAATATCTTTTTTTATACAACTTTTGCAAAATACAATTGTGTGCCCAAATTTTCCCAGCATTTGATGCCCAAAATGGGGGGGCGGCTGCCCCCCCCCCCCAGCTCGTACGCCTATGGGCCTGCGTAGCTCCTGGACACGCGCCTAAAGTTATTAAATGGTAGTCCCCCCACCCCGATCAATAGAAATTATTTCCGCTGGACCTGTAAAGAGACAAGATTTTATTACGGTATACATCCTAGGCCCATTTCAAGCCGCATACAATTAACACAAGCCCGCATAACATGTTTCTACATACTGGTATTAAACAAATAATAATAATGTACACACGAATAAGTTTCACATGGAGAAAATATATCGGAAAATTTTAAAAATACATGTTTACAAATAAAAAATGGAATATTGTGCAGGAACTAGGAATTTTGCAGAGTATGGTTCTGCTAGACTTGATATTCTGAATAGTGGAAGGGGCCTTACATATTGACGTACGTTTATGCTATACTACTGATGGCTCGGATTTAAAGTAGCAGAACCAAGATTTAGCTGAAGAAATGTGGATATCGGAACACTAATATATTCGAATCTGTAGGACATTGCCATGTCTTCGAGAATGGACAAGATAGTTAATACTTTCGGAAGCAGAAAACTTCGTCGACGTTTTTCTTCTAATCGTGTGCATTATATTGAATTGAACATACCAAGAATCCCACTGTTATTATCAATGTTCATATATCCTTCGTAAAATAAAACTGTGTGAAATTCGCATAAATCAGCGTTTGGTAATAATCAGGCAAATTTGGCCTGCAGCCAAAATTTTTAGCGTGAAGTTCCGCTACAAGGTCCTCCCTACTAAACAAACTATGCATTTTTAGAAAGCTTATAACACCAGGAACACAGGTCAAAGCAAAATGTTTGCAATAACTCGATTTAGGGCCAGATGGAAATTGTGATAATTGTTAAGTAAATGCTATATTTATACTAACAATTATTGTGAAGTTGACATAAAATTAAATATTAACGACAACACCCGATACCTTCATCCTATGCAAAGAATATGCTATTGGTTCAATTGTGATTTAAGGCAAAATATTGAAAACATAATGGACAAGGGACCATACGGAATTTTGGAAATCCATTTACGATAAAAAAAAAGGGGGGGGTTATCTCCCTTTATGGAAAATATCAATAATTATTGATAACGGTATTTTGTTTAAAGAATTTATTTGCTAAACTGAATAGGATTTAACTACAGAAAGGGCCTATATAAGTCCAGCGTCTAGTTATTCGAAATAAAGAGCACACCGTAACGTCGCGGTTTGGACCAAGTTCCCCCTTTATTATAATGTATGGCGTATGTAGCATACATCTTCAATATCCCGGTTGATACCGAACAGTTAGGCATTAAACACCATTTGATGTTTTTTCTCTTCATTACAGTATTATTTAGGTCTTGCCATATATCTATTATAGTGAACAAATTACATATTTATAGATGCTTTGTTTCAATTCAAACATTTGTTAGGAATGTAACCTCAAATCTAATCAGAACTAAAGGTTTACAGATACATTTGTAGAAATTCTGTTTGGGGAGAACTTACCCCCCACAACCTTCCAGATTCGGTAAACCGTCCTTTTTTTCGGGCAGTGTATTTCAGTTTTTCGGGCAAAAGCATCAAATGGAGAATGCGACCATATATCATGCAAATATATTTGTATAATTGTGTAATTAATTAAAAATAAACAACCATCACAGCTTTGTGCAAAATTCGTTTTAGTTTATGATTGATACATTTAGAAAATTGGCCTTACGCCAATATTGCCCCTTACCTGTTGTGCAATCGAATTTAGTTTTTTGAATCAAATGTGTTTAAACTATTGTTTCCCTCCCTTCCGAACGACTGAGCATTGTCCTTCCCGTCCCCTTCAATCCCGTACCACTGACAGGGTGAAACTGCGCCGAGGTTGTCTTTACATATCTAAAGTGTAGTAAATGCGAAAATGAAACAAAGAGATTGTTAAAGAAACTGAATTGTGCAGTAGCAGCGATGATGATAACGAGTAACTTCGATGACATTTAAAGTGAAGAGTAACTGCGTAATTTCAATTTTCAATAATTGTTTTACTTCAATAAATAATTAGTTTTTGTCTTAAATCTATAGACCCTATTTGTTAGCAAATTACCCAATTATAGATACGATTACAGTTTAAATGTTTGTAATGTGGCCTTAAATATCTGAACTAGAGGTTTACAGCTACCTGTAATAAAAATAATGCAGGGCCTAATTGAAAAGGTATGTGGGTGTGGGTAATATTTTAGTGGAAAAAATCACGTGGTTTTAATGCGATTTACAAAACTACAGACATATTCAGATCTCCATTACTTCATAACCATATTGCTCAACCAATGTCAAACATATCTCCTTACTCATCAGACTAGGCATCCTGCCTATAATTTCTGAGTAATCGTCAGCTCACCAACCCTTGGGCATGTGTACTCATACATGGTCTTATGCGTCATACAGCATCATCAGTCAACACGCACCTGAAATACTGTTATCAATATTGCAGACATTTGACAGAAAGGGAGATAACTCTCTATTACCGTTAATGGATTTCCAAAATTCTGTATGTCCCCTTGTCCATCATGTTTTCTGCATTTTGGTTTAAATCAAAATTGAACCAATACCATATTCTTTGCCGAGGATGAAGGCATTGGGCGTTTTCGCTAATATTTAATTTCATGTCAACTTTACAATTGTTAGCATAAATATAGCATTTACTTGATAATTATCACAATTTTCATCTGGCCCGAAATCGAGTTATTGCAAACATTTTGGTTGGAACTCTCTAGATTTGTGTTCATGGTGTTATAAGCTTTCCAAAATGTATAGTTTGTTTAGTAGGGAGGACCTTGTAGCGGAATTGTGTTTCTAAGCAAGCTAGAAATTTTGGCTGCAGGCCTAAATATAGAGATAATCGCCTAGAAGGACACAAAATAGTAATCTTTTTTAAAAACAACTTTATTCGGTTAATTCATTTCCAATATCAATAATGGTGCTATTCGTCTTGTTTTCTTCTGTATCTGAGGGCGTCGTGTTTTCAACAGTTCTTTTTGGGGGAGGTTCAAACGCAGATGTTCCTCCGCCGAGAGTAAGCGACGGCGACGGCGAAATTTTTAAATTTAGCGGAATGTATGATTCTTGTGATGAGAACTGCTTGGGTTGATTTGCGGACGGAGTGAAGGGTGAAAAATTCGGTGGGAGATCAGGAGAAAATGGCGTCTCAATGGGGGAACCGTGTCTAGCTTGTATTAAATTCAAAGGATGATTTACGACTTCTCGGTTGATGTCGAACGATGGATATTGAAACAGGTAAGGTCCCGTTCCCTGTAGAAGCTTCAACCTTTGATGGCGACGCCATTTAGCTCTTCGATTGGAAAACCAGACCTGTTAAAATACAACAGAAAGGTGTGTTAAAAAATAAAGGATGTTAAAATCGATGACAATAAAGGCGCGTTGATATTTTTGCCGAGGAAATGGTTTATCACTACTATGTACATTCTAAGTTCATACTTTATTTTGTAATGGCTTTTGTTATCTTTCATATGGGTTCATTTATGGATGGGAGACCGGGCAATAAAATTGTTGTGCCAATTCATAATATTCGCCTTTGTTGTATTTCGTTGTGTTGCTAACTAGCACTGGAAAATATCAGTAAAATTCACGTCATGATCCAAACCATAGAAATATATACTGTATATGTTTCTATGTCCAAACGTATAAATAATGAATTGCACCAACCATGCATTTATGGTTGATGTTATAATACAATTTCACACACCGTCTTCTTTATATTATATATTGTTTTTGGCATACTATTCAACAAGGAAGTTATTTAAATATATCTATTTTATTTCCACACATGCGAAGGCGTTACGAGGCATAAAAGGTCTGACTATTCATTTTATTCGTGCAAACCAGTGAGGTGTTATAATAGAAATAGAAGATGTTAATACAACCGTCATAATGCTAGGTTCCCACCACTCGGCAAACCTCGGCAGATTCCGGTATCCTACATTTAGATGTAGGGTACTGGAATCTGTTGAGGTTTGCCGAGTGAGGTTCCCACTACACGGCAATCTCCGCTCCTCCGCCTCTCCCGGACGACCGGTACGGCCGTTTGTAACCCGAATTTTTTTCGGGCATTTTAGGTTCTCCCCCCCCCCAACAATCATCGAGCCCGTACGCCTTTGAGAATCAAGAAAAAAACACTTTCTAGTCGTACGGGTTGTATAGTGCTGAGTTAACCCTTTTTTGTTATCAAATTTTTATTCCAGCCATTACCTGAACTCTTGCCTCGGATAAGTTTGTTTTGGTAGCAAGGTCTTCTCTGGTAACTACTCCTGGATAATGTGACCTTTCAAATTCCCTTTCCAAAATATCCAGTTGAACTTGAGTAAAAGTGGTACGATTTCTCCGTAATTTTTGGCGACTATCAAATGATTCTTCTAGCGGTGGACAATCGGCGGGTTCTGAAAGACAGGTAATATACACTGACTGTAGTATGACACCAACTATAACATTTTTTGATAATATGGTGAAATGGAAATTCTATAGTTTGCGTGTGAAATTGAATACGAACGTATCTATCTCGTTTCCATATTGGATTTATTTAAATTATCCCAGCCGAGAATTGTTTTTATCGTATCTTGTCTCTTGGTAAATGTTCTTTTATTAAAGTAATTCGCTGTTATATTGCTTTCCAACAACCCATGCTGTGTATTGTATGTAAACCATTATATCTGTTATTAATTTACATGTTTTATTTCCTAATTCATTATTACTAAAGGTCTATTGGGTACCCAGTTGTACATTATGTAAGCCTAAGGTCCTATGGGGGGGGGGGGTATGGCTGCCAATATTAAATGTTCTGCCAAAATGTCTTTTCCATTGATTATGTGTAAAAAGTACAAAGTCCTAATACCGGTAATTATAAGGTCAAAATACCTCTAAGGCAAAAAAGTTTAATATAAAACGCCAAAAGTAATGTGTCAAATGACAAATGTTTTATTGGAAAATGCTTTTTTTATGTGTCTACATGGCATCTTACACACAGCACTATCTTTGATATTATGCATATGTATCACGTGACTTATTAACCTTTTATTATATGGAAAGGACGTCGATATCAACCTGCATACTATAAGTCAGCACACTATAAGGGTATTCACCACACCATAAGTGGAAATCAAGCTGGTACATTATAAGAAATTCGCTGGACGACCGTCACTGCAACGAAATCTCGTAATTGGTATGGCTTATCCGAGCCTTCGACAAATAAGTTGAAAGCATAGTCTATTGTTAATAAAACAACGGGGATTTTTCTTTCTCTTCTAAAGTACGTAATTATGAATATGCCAGGAAATAACTGATAAATTCAAAGAACCATAGAAACATTCTTTCCAATGATGTACATTGTGTATAACACGATATTTTGACATTACACTCGCCATATTTAACTTTGGCCTTAGAAATATTTTGATTTCATCATTACCGGTATTAGGACTTTGTACGTTGTACTTTTGAATTTTAGCAGAGCATTTAATATTGGCAGCGATACCAGTCCATAAAGGTCGAGCTTTAAATTTCTTATATGAAGGAACAGGACAAAATCGGGTTGATTGATCAGTATTGGAGAATGAAGCTATCTCAAATTATAGCCACCTCTATAAACCCTATTTTAAAAAAAATAACTCGAAAAAGGTAGTTAGGTCATATTTGGCGTAGAATATTAAAATCTCTGATGACTATTTCTAATTCATTGAACTTTACCTTCGTTATGGGAACCGTGTTGGTTATCTTCTTCGTCTTGTTCAGGTGGCCATGGAAGACGAGGCTTCATACACATCCCTTGCGCCACCGGTGATGCTGGGGCGGTTAAAATTGAAGAGTTCCACCAAGGTGAATACACTGGATGTAAAACTTGTGACGCCATTTTGGCGTATTCTGCAGCAGCTCGTTCCGCTGATCTGTTACGTAGAATTCTATTGATGGAACTGACGCTAGGTACATTGGAAGCAACGCAAATATCTGAAGAAAAAAAAGATATCATATGGTCAGTTAGTGTCTCGGCCATGCTAAAAATATTAATCGCATACAAATTTACAACAAAAATGTAAACGTCACAAATAAATAAGAGGTGCCTGTTGTTCTAAAGGCGTTGATATATCCCGCCTCGTCGACGATGACCGCCATACTTATAATAGAGAATCCAAATCTCTCACTTCTGATCATATAGTGATAAGAGTATTATTAATACCTTGGAATGAAATATAGGACTGTGTTACCTTGACCCGGGAAGATTATTTCTGATTATGGCCTCAAAATTTCTGTCATTTTTGAAAGAATAAATAAAAACTTACTATCGGTAAGAAGTCTATCACGAATCTCCCAGGCGAACATGGTAGGATTATCTCGTTTCAGATCTTCTATTTTTGAAACGACGCTAGGTGTTGCTACCTTTGGTTTACTTCCTCCTATACTGTTACAACGAAACACCAACGGGTCATATAAACGATCTGAATTTAGAAAAAAATTAACTTTGATAATTAGTACCACCACATAAAAATTCCAAAGATCAATGTAGTTTCGAACAATTTAAGGTACATTGCTGTTTTATTTGATAACGATCTGAAAGATTTGACCTTGTAAAATAGTTATGGTAGGATGGCGTTTGTTCTTGGCTATGCGGCAAACCAGTTCCTTCGCCTTAATAGGGATAACAAGCCTGCTAGACTACACTTTGCGTTTTACAAAAAAAGTTGTATTTATGATGTTTATTAGACATATTCTGTATTTGTTTCGGTACATCTCGATCTTTATACGCGAGTTCATACCCGCCTTGACCTTTCTTTATTTCAATTCAAAGTCTCAATGGGCATGCCTCTCTGAATTTCTATTCAAGTCCAAAAGAACAAGCTAAAATGTGTGGAATTATCTTGAACATTGACCCCAATTCAGTCACATTTGGCGTATTTTGATCTTTATACATGTATACATGTATAAAGTTCCATGGACATAAATGGATATCATGGAACTATCTCGATCTCGTATCAAAGTTGCGTGGACCTAACTGGATCATAATTCAAAGTCCCGCGAACCGTTCTTAATCTCTTTTCAAAGTTCATTGATAGATCGTTATCTCAAAGCCCAAGGAGTGATCCCTATGTGAATTCAGGTTGTGATGTTTATCTGAATTAAAAGTTTATTTTACGCTGAACCCATGATCTGAGGGTTGGCATTTTATCTGAATCTAAAGGTCATTTTACGTTGAATCTTATGATCTGAATCCAAACTGCCACAGAACGATATTTATCTAAACTCAATATTCAATCGTTACTGATGCTTACTAAAGTTGTACTGAGGTCTGTTATTCTGCTGAAGGCTTGACTAAGTTGAGAAATATCGCAATTTACTGTATATTACCAAACAACCACTGACTTGTGAACAAATATACTTAATATTAATTATCACGTGGCACATATTGATTTTTGTGGAAAAACTGCTAGATAATTATCGAATAGGAAAGCAGGGTGGATCATTACGCACCCATTGTAGCTGACTTGTGCGATTTTGAAACGACTTTCATGTACATGTAAAACAAACAAATTGTTTGAGATGTATTGAATCTAAGAACAAGAGAATAATTGGGAACAATGCTTCTTTATTAATAAACAAAATACAAATATTGATAGGATATGGTAGGTAGGGTATAAGTATATCACGCACGTGACCTTATTAACAGCTGTTAAATTATAATCTATATATTATACTATAATAAGTCTATATTATTTTTTAATATACAGACACAGAAGGCTGTTTATTATTTTTTATTGTTATATTCATACACATTGCCCTTATGATAAGATCAGATGAAGATTAAGGTATTTAATTGAGAAAATAAAATGATGTCTGAATCGGTAGGATAACGTTTATAGATTCATTCAAATTTGAGACGAACTTAAATGCCTGTTTATAGATTTAGACATATACGGGGCCTAACAAGCTCCCGAATTATTACCTTACTCAAATTTAACAACATGTGAATTTGAAAGTTGTTCGTTAGAATAAATAAAATCGATACGTTTTGTTGTCATCCCAATCTCGATATTCATGAATGTCAACAAGTTTTTCTTCAAAAGCTAACCAATTCATTATCAAGATAGATAACGAAGAGAAAGAAAGCAACGAGAACTTTAAATGACCAGAGCTTAATTACTATAGAATTAATCGATTTTAATAAAAAAAAATTAACAAATTTAATAGGCTTTTTGACAATCCTGCGTTTTATTGTTTATAGACTACGTTTATATTATTTATTGTTTGTTTTCAGGTCTGAAATATTGTAAACATGTTATTGTGATTTATACGTGAAGAAAACTGAAATAACATCCATAAAAGAGTTTTGTCGGGGTTAATTGGGCCATCTAGTGCATCCCCAAAACGTCTTTTTAAGTAAATGTATCATATTTCTTATGACCTAAAAATAAAACTAAAGGCTGAAAGTGATTATAAATATAGTATGTTCACAATAATTTAAATGTTAACCGCAATTCTATCAGAAGACTGTTCGTCGTTGGAGCAGTCTCTACGATATAAACACACTTCGCTGTGTTCAAATTGACGACCGTGACCGTAATGGCGATATTTTTACTTTCGATATTAAATTTTCCAGTTCGTAGCACAAATTTATTACCTGGGTAAACAATAAAATTATGTAAATGGACACAATAATTAAATTTACATAATATGATGAGATGTATCCAAATACATTTATTTCTGTTATCAAGTTAATTGAATAACCTCATTAAAACCTCATTGGGGGTTTTCCCAGCCCATTAATCCAAATATTTACTATACACAGATATAATAACAAAATGTGGTTAAAATCACCTCACCTTAAACTTTTCATTATCAATGCTATAAGTTAGTCGTGATCGAATTGGCAAGGTGTCGCGTGAAAACACACAATTTTGTCAACGGAGAACGATGCTCCTTCTCTGATATATTACACTTCTCTGCCACTTTGTTTTTAAAGAATTTGAATGAACTTTATAGAATCGATAATTCGAAACTGTAGAGGTAAAAAACGCTATAATTTCACATCGTAAAATGTCATTTTATCACCAACCAAACCGATTTACTTCGCTTACAAATTGATAGTAAAATGAAAAATGTGAAATAGAAATAAAAAAGGAAGACCCCCAAAATGTTTAAAATAAAAATAAAAAATCATAAAAAATAAAGTCTTTAAGAAAAACATACTCCATATCCTGTGGAAATATTCTCTGGACATTTTATTGGCTGGACTGTTGTCGAATTGTTGATGAGCCATAAAAGGAGAAAACCCCATCATATTAGGATTTACAGAAACCATTCCCATCAGATTTGGATTAAGCATAGGATTATCCATAATTTCATCTGTAATGTTAAAAAATATCCAGTTAAACAATTATTATGCTTAATCGTCAATTTTAATGTTTATCAGGTATAGGCCTATAAATAATTATTTAGAGAGATCAATATGAATATAATATACAATTTCAATTATATATAATTTCATTAATATATTTTTTATTTATCTTCTTTTTTTCTTTCTATTTATTTATCTATTGAGAAATTCTAAGATTTGTGTTAATTATTTAAAATGTGCCAAAAAATGTTGTTTTTCTTTAAAAAAAAAATAAAACAAATATTATTATTATTTCAATTATAATTAATGTCTATTTTTTATATTAATTCTATTTTTAATTTTACTTTACCTTTTATTTGCTATTGAATGTCGAAGAGATGCTGTGTTTTAACTTTTATTATTATTATATTGGTAAGGGAGACTGTCTAAGAATTGCTGGTTTAGTAATTTGTTGCATAAATATTTATGAGTTCTGTAAATCTTTAAAACTTATGTCATACAAATGTAACTTACCAGTTTTGCCACTGTTCTTTGTTTCACACCTGCAACTTCACTCACCGAATTGCGATTGTATTAACCAAATTTATTGCTACTATAGTTTTACTAATTTAATAAAATACTGATATTGTCAATTACTGTCGAGTTGTCAGTAAATTAAATCTGGATGTACATCGCAAGAACTTACACGGGAATTAATATCACGTCTTTCATGACAGGTGATCGACTGCCAATTAAATCAGTAGCCCCACCCCCCTGTTGGCGGCACGTGCCTGATAAGTATCGATAAGTGGAAAATGTACCTGCTCGTGGCTGTGATTTTCTCATAGTTTAATTATTTAACTTGTATGTATTAATATTGTGATTGTGTGTGAAAGGAATTTAAAAGACCAGATGCTAATATATAGGAACATTTTTGCCGTTAATTATGTTAAAACCGGCCATTTTCTGTTTGTTTATCGTTTAGGTATTAGCGTCCGTGTACTCACAAGAAATATTTGAAGTGCGTCATATTCATTTTTTTTCTCACCTATCCGAAAAAAATACCGTCATAATTTTATTTATCCGAAATATATCTGTTAGTACAGCCCGAGTTAATATTTCGTAAATAATTCAAGTTTTTTTAAATTAACTTTATTTGACTATTGAGAAAAAAATCTTTAACCATCGTAGTTTGAACAGACGTCAATTTAATATGGATATTAACCAAAAATTGATATTCGAATTGTCTTTGAAACATAATCAAGTCATTTCCACGAAGGACACTAATTACTGAATTTAAAGTAGCTAAGTCTCTAACTCAATATCATACAAAGTCTTACACGTTGAAAATACGAATTATTTGTCAATTCAAATCAACATTGATGTTGTGATCTCACCAGGAAAAGGCAAGCTTCTGATATCCAATATTTAAGACAAAATAAACATTTTACCATTGGTACACGAATCGTGTACCATAGTGCGTTTTAGACGCTAGAAATTGCTATAGGGTTGAGACACATGCCGTATTTCGCTGGACATAACTGATTTGAAATTAGAGTCAAAACGGAAACAATAAATGTAATGTAAATCAGTTTATATACAATCAGATTACATTATTATATGCGTTGCGGCCCATTTGGGTCAATTTCTAGGTCCCAAATATTAGCGATTTAGCTCCTTTAAATCAGTTTTACAAGGATAACTCCGCGATATGCGATCGGAAGAAAAATTGAATTTCATTAGGGTATGGGGTCTTCCTTTTGATCTTTTGAACAATCCTTGTGAATTTTACAACAAAATTTTTTTTAAAAAAATAGTAAAGATCTGCAGAGTGATCTGTGGACGGATGCAGGACGACAGATGAATGGATTAGATGAATGGTGGCCCTATATACACAAATAATCTGTATCTTTAACTACATGCACGCCTTTCAGAAAAGAAATTTATTACAATTGAAAGACTGGGAGATGAAGGGTGGGGGGTGGAGTAAAACGTCCACTCGACACAAACTATATGTCATTTCTGGACTTATCTATAGTTCAGTTTTATTTAAATAATTCGCTTGCGCATAATATTATATAGGGTCTTTAGCAGGTGTGGTGGAGGAGCCGGAAAGAAAATCACGAGGTGGGACTCAGTGATAGACCTTTTGATCTAAAGCGCATGCGTTTAACCATTCGTCTATCAACCAATCTCCCATTATTGGGAGAGAATAGAAATTTATTTGTGCGCGATTCCTAATCATACCAACGTCATTGTTAGCGAGTACATAATGTAATTAATAATTGTCAATCATGCATGTCAGACTAGCGGTGGATGTACAGCGATTAGAAAAACAATCGTATCTCTACCATCTATATACATCAAATAATGTGCATAAGTTTAATTTAACCTGTTAACGAACCGTGAACGACCATGTAAAACACTGACTATAATAATAACGACAAAAAGAACGCCCCGAGTACGGCGTATACCGCTATACAAAACATGAATTGGGGTAAAATGTCTTCTATAGTTTATGTTTTATGCCTCAGCACATCAACGATTTTTTGGTGGCCATTTTGGATTACCCTTCGACGAATAATCTTTGAGTTTTCTGCAGTGATTGTCGATAGGGGCAGATAATCCATAGCTAAAAAAAGCTTATCGGTGTTGATAAAGTCTGCATGTATTTGTTATAATTAACAGATTGTTGCGATGTGAAGAAGTCTTCTGATGGGACTCACGGTAGACAATTGTGAACTTTGTAGCCTCCTTGTATGTATTTATTGATCAATTATGCTGAACTTACAAAATGTTCATTTGGCATTCAAAGTTTTAACGTGCACCCTTGCCTCCACTGGCGTTTCATTTGTCGTTAACTATCAGCAACAGATTAATGGGCAATGCAGCCAAATGGTTCAATAAAACATGAAACAAACAGTGTATGAATATGGTTTGGACAAAGCCAATTTTAAACAAACGATGCTGTTAAATACTCTAAAACAAGCACCAAAGTACAATGTGTTCTAGGTGTATATAGATATTAATATAGCTAATAATTGACGGATTTATCGATGAGTTATTGAGAGATGAGAAAGAAGATTGTGAACCTATTGTCCTTTCAACACCTGTACACAGCTAAAAAGGTTACTAGGATTTTACGCTCGGGGCAAATTGTATATCAAACTTAGCCCTGGTATTAGCCTTCATGTAATTATTAGGCGTGTGGTATTGAAGAATAAGGCTAAAACATCTGCCTGATTTTTTTTTTTTTATCTCTTTCATCTGAACTTTTAGTTTTTTTATTGAATCACTGCTATAACACGAGTGGAAAATATTTGCTGAGGATTTTTTTCATAATTTGCTGCTGAATTGGTGCATATATCATATTGCGAATCGCCAACGGAATAACTATGGGTGGGTATGGTTGCCACCCGCAGAACCCGTATTTGTTCGATTTCGAGCATGGAACTCTAGTGAAAGTAACTTAGCCCCACCCCACCCCAACCCCTGTTATTGTTTGCCTCTTGACTAGAAACCCGTTGCTTCATTATTACACATTCCAGGTACATCGTTTTAAATTTAAAACTAAATCGATGATTTTGTTTGGTATAACAATTGTTTGTGTATTCCGCCAGGTGGAATTATTTCTCTGTAGTTTCGTAAAAATAAAAACCAATGAATTCAATGTTTATACGAAACTTAAGCAAAACAAAACAAGGCGAGTATGTTATGAATGGTTCAAATAACAGATGCTTAGTACATATTAGTGGTATCAATTTACTAATCGATTTAAATCAGATGTGGACACGAGCATGTTTCCCGCCACTGGGTTATGACCATAGCAATGGCGTCGCCGAAGAATACGAATATGACACGCAAAGAAATAACTAATCCTTTCTATACAGTTACTGGAAAAATGACAATATCTGCCTACACCAAACTAACAGTGGGCATTAGGCAAGCTGATTAAAACACAGATCCTATTTCGTTTCGTTTTTATAGTTCAAATTTCATTTTACTTGTCTTTAATACACCATGAATCGTCTATTGGGTAAAATTCTTAGCTTTCCATTTAGAACTCAATCAAATACATGAACTAACACTTTATCATTGGTATTCAGAAAAGCAGTTTTATTGTGTAAATTTAAAAGCTTGTGTGTGTCGATTGTGATTGACGATTTCCCACTTTCCAATCCATGGACCAGTCAACCGAGAATCAAATTCATCGTTGGGATCATACTGTAAAATATAAGAATTCGTGACATACAGAAACATTATTGAATGGGGTTTAACGTTTTGTAGACACTTTACCTTTATAGTTATTTGAGACTACATCGACAATGCGTGTGGTAGATTTTGGACACGGTTACATCAGTTTTTCGTATCATCCGAATTACTAGACACACTTTACTTGGCAGCCCTGACAAGTGGGAATCGGGCTTTAAAAAAATCCCAAAGTTTCTTTTTCACTCACGACGACTGCGAGTTCACTGTCTTACCACATAAACACCCTCGACCCTACCCATCACAGAAAAATGAAATGAAATGGGGTTTAACGTCCTACTGTTCTGCTCCTAAACTGGGATAATGAAGACGGGCATGCGCCATACAGTGTGCTATGAGGGAAATTTTGCCAGGGCAGCGGCTCTACGGCCTACTCTTATATCGAATTCCAACTGCCAAGGGATCTTTTACGTGCACGCCAATATGTACACGGGACCTCGGTTTTTCGTCCCATCCGAACGACTAGACAGCTGTCCTTGTCAGGCCCTCCGTCCTGCATCACTGACAAGGGGAAACCACGCCGGAAAATCTGGATGAACTTTCTCGGCCAATGCAGGGATCGAACACCCGACCTCCAGGCTAGCGAGCCAGCGTCTTACCCACTTAGCCACGTGATCCCCATCACAGAAAAAGAAATCTTACATCAACCATATGTGTTTTTTGCCACATGACCTTCCTATCAACCGATAGAAACTTGTCCCAATCCGGTTTTAGTTGTGGATCATTTTTAGATCTGAAGACAATACCATCCCCTATGTTATAGAATCCCATATCATAATGTGGTGACTGCCATCTTAGATCCACACTCCATCTTATATCATTGGATACATTGATCAAACTGAAAGAGACAAAAAAAAGCCTGGGAAAAATATCATTTGATGCAAAACAAGCCCAGGCAGTGTAAAGATTACTGCAAAACGACGTTTTGGTCGTTGGCCTAACAGAGAGGATGGATTTATTCTCGTTTTTACCAAAACGTTTTGCACAAACTCTTCATCTTTCCGAAGAAGCTTTACTATAGCTCAATGATAAAGAATAGTTTTAATTCTCAATAATCTGAATTGTGATTAGCTGCAGTTCCGAATTGTGATTAGTTGCAATTCTGAATGTGAATAGTGATAAATTCCAACAAAAGTAAATATGATGATGAGGATAGTGTAAATAAGCAGAACGTCTGATTCATTCACTGGTATTTTATTGCCTGGCAGTGGGAAAGTAAAGAGATCGTTCAATGTTTTACAAAATCTGTTATTACAAGAGAGTTAAAATAGAATGATGTGGGTTTAATGTATCGTCAACACAATACTTCGGCCATTTTGAAAAAGAAATAATCAAACCTTCTATGAGGAGTAAGGTTGTGAAATAAAATGAATCCACCATACGGTACAGGTTCGATTTTCACATCCTTCTCAAGATTCACGCCTGTAATGCACATTTACATTTATAATTTATGTTTAGAATATTTGATCGAATTCAAACCTGTAGAAAACTAACACATGGGACAATGGTTATTTTAGAAGTGACGACATACCTAAGGTTTTAGCCATCTCTTCTTCTTCAAGTTGTATATACCAGGTTGGGCCCACACAACAGGTATGCTTAGCAACTTTACCACTTTTGTGGCCATTTTTAGCCATCTAAAATAATTAATATGAACGTTTATGAGTCGTAGTTTGCCAATGGTCATCTATTTCACATACTAAATTTAAATATTCTTATGGTATGGTAAATCAAATGGAATTAGGGACATTGTACGTACTCTCAACTAGAATGGTCCAAGAACCATCTCGGGATTTTTAAAGATACTTTCCTGCGTACAAAAAATTGCTTCTAATCCCTCTCAAAACTCTGTGGGGGTTCGATGGCCGAATGGTTAGCGCACTGTATCATAAGGCCTGTCATTGAGTCAACAGGCGTGGTTTCGACACCCCGGTTGTACGTGACAAGGAGTAGGGTCGCCTGTCCATTGTAAATAAAATGAGGTCTTCACGTTAGCTTGCACGCAAACGAACTGATGACACTTGGGATTCGACGGAGAATAGACTGAAACGGCTACTGCCAGGGCCTAATTATTCTCCTCCCACGTGGCAATAGAAACAACAGTATATTAGTCTCAAAATGACCCACAAATTGTGTGAAGGAGACGTTAGGTACAAAGCTAAATGGGGTTTAACGTCCTACTTTTCCTTTATGCACCAAACGGAATAATGAATAGACATACACCATGCAGTGTGCTATGATTCATCAATTCAAATGCAAGTAATGTAACTTACACTGAGTACAGATGGAAAATCATGAAACCCACCTGCATACACCCATTTTCTGGAACGGCGTCAAGGAATGGTATCCAGGCTGTCGCTATCAAATGATCATAACTTTCCCAACTAAAATATCCACTATCTAAAGATAATTTTTTTATAATATACAAATGATAAATTAAGTTTATACATGCAACCATTTTACCGTACCAATAACGATGTCAGAGGACTTCGTCCGTTCAGAGACCGTTCCAGAGGGAACTAGTAATTTTAATGTGGGAATATGTTGTCCTCATCTCTGTCCATCTCTGACACTACAGGTCAGAATTTTTTTACTTACCTGAGTGGCGTAGTTCGGTCTAAGGAGACCCATATCGAAATCCAGAGCCACACAACGTTTTTTCACAGTTACTGAAGGCCCTGGCCCCGTCAAAGCTACTATAGTATTGTTTGGTTAGTTCTAAAGAGGAACCATATCAAATTAGTATCACTCGTTGACTTTGGTATGATGGAATCCATCGATGCCCATCTGTTACTGTGGGTCGTGTGGCAGACACATAATATTGCGCCCTCGGACATCATTTTATAAACTGAAACTCTGTCGTAAAAAGTCTCAGTTGTGTAGATATTTCTAAATCTTCAACCGGCATGCGATAATGATAAGTAGGATTGTTCTGGAAACAACTTCTAATATTTAAATGTTCGGAAAACTGACCAAAACGTCAGACATTTAGGACTAAACTACTACTGTGTAGGAATCTTGTAGAAGTTATGTTAATTTAAAATATGACAAACCTTGGTGCCAGGGTATATTAACGGCTTCACTTTTAGGTGTTTTTGTCCGGAGGTTCCATGTTGGATGTCCTGCAACATCAGGTCCTAATATCTGTTCTAGCAGATTTAACATTCGATCATTGGACCAAATATCTCTAAACGACTACAAGAAACAGATAGGTTACCGTATAACTATATTGAAATATGCTCTTTAAGAACTGAAAGACTTCCAAACTAGTACCTCTGTCGGTAACTATATTATAAATTCTGTTTCTTAAATACCATTCAACCTTTGACTCAGTTTAGCTAGGGGAAATGGATGGAATGTTTATCTTTTCTAGAACATTAGATTCGTGATAGTCGATTCAAAAGAAAATAATTCTTCTACCTTTGGTATTTTTTGATATTTAAACAATAATATGTTTGAACCAGGATGTTCTTCCTCCAGTTTAGTCAACCTTTGAAACAGACCATACTCACTATATAAATCTGAAAAAGATATTTTTTGTGTCAGATCAGAGGCGTGTTGGGGCTCAGAGAAATACCAGCTAAATTAAGTCGATCACCAGAAGCGCTGACTGGTGTCACAGGATCTTGTTAGGACAAGGGGGGAGGGGGTGGCAGCAGAAAAATGGGAATGGGAATGTTTGAGGAGACTAGAATTTCGATGGTACTTGTTTTTAGAATGGAGGATACAATTTCAGAATGTGTGGCACTATTTCAGAAGAGAGGGCACTTTTTCAAAGGGAGGGTACTTTTTCGGAAGGGAGGGCACACAGCCACCCAGCCCACATAAACCCTAGTTGGACATCTCATCGGATTCGAGCATCATCAAAATTTCCGGTTACTTTTGTTTCTTGCGTTTCTGATCTAAGAGCTTGGTAGGCGGATACGCCCAGCACGCCTCTGTGTCAGATTCTAGTTTCCGTACATTAAACAAATTAATAGATCGGCTAGGAGTCGTACAATAAATGGAAATAATGCTTATTCGTCCTTGTTATTATATTTATATACAATTCTATTCGATGTGTTAAAGAGCTAAACTTACGTTTTATTTTTCCCGCTTTATAAAGTTTTTGTGCCAACTGTTCCACCATACCTTCTATGGCCTGACGACATGGTTCTAATTCTTCTGGTGTGAAGAAATCTTTGACAACGATATATCCCTATAGAAATATGATTATACATGCTGTGATTGGTGTGGTATTGATAACATCGGACCTCATCTAAAATTATTATTAAATTGTTTCCAAGGAGCTATGCTAAGCGATGGGTTTGTTTGGGGTACGCTGACATACATGTACCATTAAACCGCGATATTGCCATCACCTAAACCTTTCGGTTAGCGGTCAGATCCGGCATTACTATATACCGGAAAACACCGAAAACACCGAAAAAAAACAGAAAACACCGAAAACTACCGGAAAACACCATGTTATACTGAATACCGGAAAAACACTAAATACCGGAAAACACACTAAATACCGGAAAACACCCTAAAGAGGTAACCTCTGTTTGCGGGGAGTTAGGGTTAGGTTTTTTCCGGTGTTTTCCAGAGGACCAGGGGGCAGTTTCACAAAGCAACTTACGATGAAAAATTTGCGTAAGTTTATCGTAACGTAAACTTACGTAAAAATCGCGTTTCACTAAAATTCTTCCATGGAAGATATCAATTCTACAAAGGAAGGTTTTCACCAAATAGCAGGCTTCCCAAATGTAGTGGGAACGATTGATGGTACACAAGTTGCCATCATAGAACCATCGGGAGAAAATTAGCCGCTGTTCGTCTGCAGGAAAGGGTTTCATTCCATTAATGTTCAAGCAACAGCTGATTCTAAACTCAGGTAAACGTACGAATTATCGTCTTGTTTTAACGCTGTTCACAAATTTGAGACTAGTGTTCAGACTTCACGATTGATATGAAATTCCCTTTAATGGCCAGGGTCGGATTAGTACCGGTATGCCTATAGGCTATAGGCCTAGGCTTTGCAGGCTCAGGCTGAAGTGAAGCGTAGTAAGTATAGGGCCTCGTGGGCCTTCGGTTGTAAGCCAGCATATACTACAACATTTACATAGTATTTAATTTATCACAAACAGGAGCTCAGGAAAAATAATCTCAGTACGCTAGTTTTCATTAAACAAGACTATGGCTAATGGTATTACTATTAGTATTAATGCAGTAGGCTATTACTAGGCCCTGTACTACATGTATGTAAGCCTATCGCGGCAAAGACCGACACTTACTGTACAAATATTCTCCCATAATCCGTCTTTTGATGACCTTGCCAAACTGCTGCTTAATTTTCCTTTCAGAATCCCATAATTCTGTTCAACCCCCTCAATTAAAACACCGAGAGCTGCCGGGTTCCAATTTTGTTTTCGCCTTTTTGGTTCCATTTCGGCTTTTGGCAGACTTACAGACGACGTATGGTACTATATGTCACGCGCTATGACGTAGCAAACAAAAACAAGTAAACAACAGGCATGAAAATAGCATTTTATTCATAAATACACCGCTAAATCTTAGTGTATATAAGGAATATATATTTCGTCGTTTATGTTTCAAAAGGTAAGGATCAAATCAAACATAACGGCTATAATGCCGACATTGTCAACATTCAGTCCGTGGGAATGTTTACAGAAGTGTGAATGAAGTGACGCAACATGACGTCACGACCATTCGTGACGTATTTACGAAAAAAGATACGAGAAAAAGTTAAGAAAAAACTTACGCCGGCCTTTGTGAAACCGGCGTAAATAATTCGTATCTTTTTCGTAAGTTTTTCTTAACGTAGTTTTTTTTCTTAAAGTTACGAACTTTTGTGAAACTGCCCCCCGGCTCCGAGCTACCTATTTAGGGTGTTTTCCGGTATTTAGTGTGTTTTCCGGTATTTAGTGTGTTTTCCGGTATTTAGTGTTTTTCCGGTGTTTTCCGGTATTCAGTATAACATGGTGTTTCCCGGTAGTTTTTCGGTATATAGTATAGCCCGTCAGATCCTATACAACATGAAAAATAGAACATGAAGTAAAAAGGAGAATAGATTCACTAAAAATAAGCAATGTATATCAACCAGATGACTATATGGTATTTATTATGTATTTACCTCGTCATAGAATTTCTGGATTTCTGAGTAGGGCAGTTGTCCAGGCTTTCTTTCGTTAACATCAGGTGGACATAGATTAAAAACATCTGGATAAACCTTGTCTATTAATCCAAGAAACTTTGTCTTTTCAGCCATGTCTAATGTTAAATGGCGTGATCTTCTTTCATAAAATAATGTGGGTTATACCAGTTGTCTTATCTTCAAAATTCATAATCATGTCCTTTTCTAGGGCATTAAAGAGACTCTATTGTCATCCAAAAAACAAATATTTAGACGACATAAAAATATAACACCCAGAGAGAGAGAGAGAGAAAGAGAGAGAGAGAGAGAGGTGGGGGGGAGGTGGGTGTCACTCGGTTAGATCTACTTGATAAGACCAACATCAAGACCATCTTAGCGACCTTGACGAAAATTGAGCTGGCCTTAACAAATAGATTTGGCCATGTTCACTCGATACAAGGTCGATGTCTATACCAGGCATATTCGTTCCTTCTCTGACGTCCTGGTAGCGACGCACGCTTGTGTGCATCTGCCCCCCCCCCCACACACACACACCCGCCCGCCCAACTGATAAAGAGCCGCACGCGCGCAAACGGATTCTTGGAAATAAAACTTAGCCATCTAAATCAAAAATTGTTTAGTTGTTTCGTCATGTTGCCATATCGTGGTATTCTTGAATCCTACGATTGGATCTAGCATTTTCCAAGAAATGTGGGGGGGGGGGGTGGATGGCTGAATGGTTAGCACGTGCGCCCTGTGCCATAAAGTCTGTCATTGAGTCAACTGGTGTGGTTTCGATTCCCCGGTTGTACGTGACAAGGAGTAGGGTCGCCTGTCCAACCTCGTGGGTTTTCTCCGGGTCCTCCGGTTTCCTCCCACTGCTAAAGAACCCTACGCGCAAGCGAATTATTGAAATCAAATTAACCATAATTATGTTAGTCCCGAAATGACCTAGTTTGTGTCGAGTGGACGTTAAACCCCATTTCTCTCTCTCTCTCCAAGAAATGTCTTAATATAAGTACGGTTAGACTGTACTTACGATCTAACTAATTGATAGATAGACTGTGTAAGTAGAGTGGTGGAGATTATTGGTATGAATGACATTTGACGAAGTATTTATTATCTTGCATTACGTACATAATACATGATGTTAAAGAGGAGTTAACTTTAGTTTTCTTGTTGATTTGATAATATTGTCGTTCTCATAATTTCTTTCCTGTCTGATATTCAAAGAGAGCATGGTAATATTGTGGCAGGGATGTTGATAAAGGGCTGGCTGGTCAACACTCAGAAAACACTGGTCTCATCTTACCAGTCCATTACACACGGTCCCCTACATCAAACAATGGACAGTTTCCTATGATGTTCTTCTGGCGGTATCTTTGACCCTTCTTGTCGCCCCTAATCCTTGCGAAATTCTGCATAAGCCACTAGCTATTGGTGGGGAATTTTAATCAAATTTATCTTTATTTACATACTAAATATGTCAACAAAATTTCACTTTAACATTCAATACAAATATGGCATATAAGTTTTGGCACAGCAAGAATTGTTATATACATTTATGTACATAATTCAACGACATGAAGAGGCAGATGTTGAAAAAGGCCTGGCCTGTTTCATAAATCCCTGTCCACATGTTCACATGAATAAAACAAATTGTTAAAAAAAGAAAGAAATATAAGTGGCACTCAAAGTTTAGCCACTCCATGTAGATAGCCATGATGTTACCTTGGAGGAAACATTTTTGACTTCGTGAAGACGTTTCTCGAAAAAGGAATATCTCTTGAAATATAAATTATTTATTTAAATACTAGCTTGCAGCAAATGAATAAGACCACCGCGAACAACACGATTGATTAGTTGATTGTAGGTTAAACATAATCATTATGTCTTACCAAAGAATGCAGCTCAAAAGAAGAGGGTCGGTTGTGGGGACTATCATAGTGTTATACATAATTATGTTTATGACACGAGATAGGCCCGTGGCCAGATTGTCCACTTGTTATAAAAGATTCGAAACTAGGGATTGGCGAAAGATTACGATTTCATTGTAAATCAGTGTATGGAAGAGAACATAAAGTTCAGGAACATCTGATACCACTTCACTGCATCCTAATAGTCCTAGACATCTGCGCTACTACAATTTCTACAACGGCGTTAATTAAAAGTAACACGATGCGCCATTGGCATTTGTAGCTAAAATATTAAATTTCTTACAGTTTTATCCACACTAATATGAACTTAAATTGATTATTTAAAGATACATTATGTGAGATTAGATAAAGAAAGAGTTGGCAGTTCTCACTATAATAGTTAAAAACTAGATAATGTAAAGGCAATTTGCTGAAAATTTCATTCAAATTGATCCACTATGAACCGAGAACTAAGCGATTGAAATTTTTGCCTAGCCTCGATCATCATTACTAAAGTGAGTACGATAAACAGCATAGTATCGATTATCCATTTAATCGTTAAATCGTGAAGGAAAGTTATGCAGTAAAACAGCTCATAATCCACTAAAGATCGCAGGCTAGCGATGCCATCTAGAGTTGATTTTGGTCTGGATATGTTAATTAATGTCTAATTAATAATTAAGATAACATTTCATGCCTAAAGAAAGACCTGCAACAGACAGATTAAGCTCTTGCATAATGTATGTTTAACATTTAATTAAGAAAACAAAATCAAAATACCAACGCTAGATAATGTCCTGGCTTGGATTTAAAATTGGGCTCTCATTAAATCTTTGTGGACAACCAAATGACGGCGGGCTCTGAATACTGATCGGAATTAAACCATTTTTGGACTGATGTTCCTATTAGAGATCACAATATTGTAGTTTTACAACTGATTCCTATTGCTTAAATTTTCCATCACACTGTGGTCTCCATATCCCTTTCTCTTATTTCGTCAGATCTACATTGCTGCATCAAGCCGTCGATCTTGTTTCTAATTGTTGGCACCCACCTTGAAGTACTCCTCGTGACGCCAACTAACAAATCACAGAGTGGTGAAATGAAATGAAACGGGGCTTAACGTCCCACTCTTTTGCTCTGACTGGGATAATGGAATATCGGGTAGCAAGGTGTCTGCTCTTGTTTTATAGGAAATGAATCTAAAGCCTGTAAGTGCGATCGTGTTTCTCATGTGTCCTTTCTGAATGTATGTTTGTACACCTGGATATTTCTGAATTAAATCGAAACTAGAAATCGAAACCTAAAGTTTATACTGCAGCCCCGACACTGGTATAGCATATTGAACAATTTAACAATGACAATGTTTTCAAGGAAATTCACACAAAAGGCACTATAAATGAGAAAATGGGCCAAGAAAGTGGGATTTCTCTCTCCGCATACCAGCTATTGTAAATGATCTGTGTAAACCGGTTGATCGAGTTGATCTAGGTGAGTAGGCGCCAGGTCCAGGAGTTGGTTCTGAAGAAATAAAATATATAATTTAAAAAACACTAAACCGGGTTAGCAACTCTATCAAAACAGCGAACACTTTCCTGCGTTTTCAAAGCCATGATTTTCTCATTGGAAAACGAGGTTTCATTCATTAGCTTTTAAATGCTATTCTGTTGGCGGTCGAGAGGCGGGGATTGGGTCAGCTGCAGCCCACCCAAATGATTCAAATGAAACAATTGATTTCGGTAAAAATGAACTATAAGATATTATTTTCGGACATTCGCAGAAATACCTAGTTCTGACCCGGAATGTCCTTTCCCATGTCCCTTTCACAAAGTTTTTGCCAGACTATGGACAAAGATCGACACCTACTAAGTCAAACACTACGAAGACAGAACAACGGCCAGTTCTTAAAGACTGAAAGGAAGAGAAATTTTTAAACACACCGATTGTTTCCCATAGTACAGTACCATCACGTCTAAACTGGTGTGTGAATGCTGGATGTCGTTCATGGGTCTGTCTGTCGGCTAGTTGTCTATCATAATCTACTGGTGATGGCATATTCTCAGATCCTAAAAATATACGGGTACAAATAATGTTTTGCTCAGTTAAGGAGAGATGTAACTACATGCAGTTCGTTTCGTTTTATTTTTCGGTTGTTAACTACAGTTCATTTTGGTCAATTGACGTTTCTTTAAGAACGTGTTCAGTGCGCAAATTGTGATTGGTGGACTCCCAACCAACCTACCAATTTAAAAATCCTAAATTATAGAAAATTCCGCGATGTCTTGTTGGAGGCTTTAAATATCGAGAAATTCGACTGAAGGGTATCCAGACCACTCGGACCAAAGACCACTCGGACCAAAATAAAAAGACCAGTCGGACCAAAATAGAGACCACTCGGACCAACCCAAAAGACTATTCGGACCAAACCAAAAGCCAACTCGGACCAATTAATTCATATTGTAAGACCACTCGGACCAACCAAATACACGGAACGACAGATATCTATTTTCAAACAGATTCAAAGTTTTCATTCTCCGGCAATGTTGCCAACATAAATAGGAATATTATAATCATACCGTTATAAACTATACAACTGCGAAAATAGTGAAATGTGAGACGTACCAGGTTTAATTAAAGAAGAGGATTTCTTTGGCTTAGAACCAAAAGTGAAGGCTGGTGATTCTATAGTTGTAGCTTGCTTAGTTCCAAGTGTTGGTGGTTGTGGGTAATGAGTTGGCGATGGCCACTGAAGAATAAATGTTGAAATTAGATAAATTATGACGTTCACCATTTTTTATATTGTTTTCTTGTCCCTACCTCTTATTGGGATTTGGTGTGTGTGTATGTGTGTGTGTGAGGGGGGGGGGGCGAATGTTTAGCGCATGTGCGCCGTATCATTGAGTCAACTGGCATGGTTTCGATTCCCAGGTTGTACGTGGCAAGGAGTAAGGTCGCCTGTCCAGCCTCGTGGGTTTTCTCCGGGTCCTCCGGTTTTCTCCCACTGCTAAAGACACCTACACTGTTAAAAATAAATGTAAAATTACAGTGAAAAATATGTAATTTATTTAACATAACGCGGTTAAAATACCACTGCATGTTTTTATACTTTAAATTTACTGTATTAGTGTGGTAACATGGGATTACCGTAAAAAATTGGTAAATTAACAAAAAAATTGTAGTTTTACAAGTTAGAACTGTATTTTTATTACATGTAATCTGTAATAACACCACTGCATGTTTTTTATACTATAAATTTACTGTATTAGTGAGGTAACATGGGATTACTGTAAAAGAAAATGGTAATTTAACAATACAAGTGTAGTTTTACAAGTTAGAACTGTATTTTTATTACATGTATCTGTATTGATACAGCTATGTTGGTTAAAAGTACATGTATGTTGTATTTTAACTGTTTATGGAGTAATTCTACTATTCAAACATGTTTAAATACGGGATATATTTGTGTACAATTTACAGGAAACGTATAATTGTACATCTCTTTAGAACTTTAACATTGATAGACCTTTGAAGGCTTTATTACTTTTCGTCTATAGTCCACTTATGAGGGGGTCACGAGGGCTAAGTGGGTAAGACGTTGGCTCGCTAGCCTAGAGGTTGGGTATTCGATCCCTGCATTCCCTCTTTGGCCACATGTAATATTACATCAAACGTAATATAGAAATACAACCATATGTCAGTTTACATTATGTGAGCTGTATATTAAAAGAAATGTCATTTGAAATAGTATTTTTACAACAAATTGTAAATTTACTGTCAAATGGTGTTTAAATCAGTTATTTCCCTTCGACCACATATCGAATTTTGTGCGAAATATTTACTGTTATGTCAGTAAGATTAGCCTATTTTAGAGAAATAGGTTATTTAAAATCTGAATGCACCTAACTGGCGTATGAACACAGTGATATGCCATACATAGGGTTGTGTGGAACATTTTGTTTCGTGTCATGTCTCCTACACTTCCCATTGTAAGAAGCAGAACAGTAGGACGTTAAACGTCATTTTATTTAATTTCTTTCCATTATCGAATGATGTTTTGCATGCTCGGCTGAAAGGTCCGCAAAACCTTTAAGTGTTTGCCAGGATCGAACCTAGGGCTACTTAGCCGAGTGGGGAAAAACACATTTCCTATAAAAATGTCACCTTTTCAAAGTATATTTCAAGTAAATATACACTTTAAATTGTATTTTAACCGTAAAATGACTGGCAGAAAGTTGTCAGTAAAATCGCTGTATTTTAACACTGGCTTGTAAATGTACCCCTAAGCGGTAGATTTATATTTACAAACACCACGTAAATTTATAGTGAGTGTAAAATAACTCTGAGGTAAATTTACTACCACAGTGTAAATTTACAGTGGGTGTAAGATAACTTTGAGGTAAATTTACAACCACAGTGTAAATTTACAAGCACTATGTAAATTTACATCGAAGTTATTTTACACTCACTGTAAATTTACATGGTGTTTGTAAATCTAAATCTACCGCTTAGGTGTAAATTTACAAGTCAATGTTAAAATACAATCATTTTACTGGCAGAAAGTTGCCAGTAAATTTACGGTAAAAATACACAAAAATTATTTACAGTGTAGGCGCAAGTGAATTAGTTCAATAAAATTGAATCATGTGTTAGTGCCGAAATGACCTAGAGTGGACGTTAAAACCTCTCTCTCTCTCCCTCTCTCTCTCTCTCTCTTCTCTCTCTTATTGGGGTTGTTAGAATTAACTTTATGCCAAACAGTGTGCTATGAGGGAAATTCTGTCCTGACAGTGGCGTTTCCGCTTAAGCCTCGACGAATTCCAATTGTCAAGGGTTATTTAACGTGCACTCCAACAAATACTCGGTAGACGTCGGATTTTCATCATACTTTTCCACTTGGGCCTTCCGCCCTACACCAATAACAAGGAAAAATCCGCTTGAAAAATCCCGGGAACTTTCTCAGAAAAAATCTGCAAATACTCACCTCAGCTTCAGCATTAAAATCAACTTTATTGTGCCAAACATGAGGCGTTTGGAACCATATCTTACCCCAGGATGTCCGAGCACCACCAACTAAAAACAAACATAATATTAATGGCAAATATAGCTTAACTGTTCAACTAAAAACAGAGTGTTATTAAATAGATAATACCGCCTAATTCTACAAAAGATTGAACAGAAAGTACATAATATATTCTACGCATACTCTTTGGCAAACGGTTCCGTATACATCTCAACGGCGTTTGTTAATCAAACTCTCTAACCACACCCGGCTTTATTTACAGAATATGTTGACGCTTACCCGACCGACATCTGTCCATGCAAGATAGCTCACATTTTGCAAGAGGTGAACTGTGAACAAACTATGCATTTGTGAACAACACTAAGATGGGCCGTTGGCTAGTACGGTGCTCGTACAACAGGGAAGGCCGAGATGGAAACCCGGTGATATGTTTCTATTTATTTATTCTACAATGTCCATAAAAAAATGTTAATTTTACATCTCGTGAGTGATGAATTTGTCACTTACTTTTCTCAACGTAACATTTTTGTCCGAACGTCCAGGACGGCGAATTCTTCTCGTGAAGCGGTTTATTACGTGGTGAGTAAGAACACGGTGTGGGCCCTTCCATATCTATTCTAAGAGGAGGACGAGCATTAATGGCATCATCTAGACTTATGACCTTCGGGGTTGGTTTCGGTGGGCTGTAAAAGGTACTCTGTCCGTTGCTGTCTTTATTATTTCTTAAATAAAAGAACAGAGAAATGGGTGATATCAATCAAAAAGTTGGAATATCCTAATACTGTTCAGATTGCATTGGTGTTATGGTTACGGTTATGGAGGTCGATTGACAGATCGTGTATCTGAATGTCGGATATTCATGAAAGTGTTTCACAATTAAAAGAGTGTCAATTCTCATATCGTCCTAATCGCTGTTCCTTTCATATGGCATATGTTAATGTTAATTTATTCGGTGAGTTAAACCCTTTAAAGGCCTTTGTCATTCATGACAGGTTCCCACTATAACGATTCGTGCTGCGATTGAAATCGTAGTTTCAATCGTGGAGTAATCGTGGTAATCCTATCAGGTCTTATCTTTTATTGAGGTCAATCGTAGCAATCGTGTTGATTGTATGGAAACGTATCTGCACGTGCCAGATCGTGGACTAAATAGGGACAATCCTATCGTAACGCATCGCACGACAGTGGGAACTTAGCATCACATTGACATTTTGGATTGCATGCGTTGTATCCATGTATGTTGTGCTACGGAATCTATTAGTTATAGATCTCAGAAAGATCCATTTTTCCGAATGTGGTCAGGTAACGCCTCTTGATATTGGCCCAAAAGATCTTCCGAATTTTTGGAAGATCGGGTTAATTTCTACAACATTCCACTTGCAATACAGTTCATGTACGCTTTTTGACAATGTGGTGATTACTATTTATTTTAAATACATGTGATCGATCAACGAATTTAACCTGGAAAGTTCTTACTAACCTTGCTGATAATGAAGCTAATCGAATCAATTTTGCTGGTACTCTTCTGTACTGACGACCTTTCTCCCAATAATTACTCTTATCATCGGATCCCGAGGGAAGCCGGACGTGAGCACTGCCCTGGCGGGAAAGTTTTTGGGGAATATTTTGTACTGCTGGGCTGGTCTCGTCAAGATTTTTGTGTTTTTCGATGGCTTCTTCCCAGTTTTTCTGATCATCCAAGTCCGCGACTGATTCTTCAATATGAATTTGATTAGGATTACCCAACGGTCGAGCGAAAGAATTTTCTTTGGATAGCCTGCCGTCATTCTTGGATACGTATTGGGAAACGCTATCGTAAATTTCTGACATGCCTTCTTCCGAGTTTGCTCTTAAGAAGCTATGCTCTGGTTCTTTGTACATTTCGGCGATCTCAACACCGCCTTCTTTGATTATTTCGGCTTTGAGAGCCGCCAGTTCGTTCGAAGTCGTCATTGCCCCTGTACTGCCTGACACTATTTCACCAGACTGTCCCACATGACTCCCCGGTTCCTCAGGAAGTGTAACTGTACCCGAAAAGTCAATGGTGTCCTCGGTGTTATCTCTCTGTTTTCCAAGACCAAATACCATATCAGGTCGTCCGGAGATAACAGTACCAGTTGCGGGACTGATAAGGAATCGTCTGTGATCGTCCGTTAGGCTTGGTAAGAAGTTATTGTTGTTTCGGTAGATCATACATGGGGCATTACCAGATTCCATTCTCTCATGGTTCTGTGGTTATCTGAAACAGAACAGAATTTTTTTAACAATTTAACCACCGGAACACTTTAGAGCTATTTAATAATTGTCAGAAATAGTAAGATGTGTGAATATGACAGAAGCAGACACTGGTACCCAAGCACTACTAACCTTGTTGGTATATTTGGGGCCAGTGCATGTACATCGACATTTGTGCATCTATTGACGGACAAGTCCAAGATGAAAGTAAGTCAACCATAGATTTTCGAATCGACTACTACATTCATATATACATTCACATATAACAACACAAATTGTTTAGAACGGTTGAAAAGTGCGTATATACATTGAAATAAAAGCTCTTTTTTTGTATAAAAATATTAAAAATCAATGCTATGTTAGATTATCAATGTTAGATTATGTCATTTAATCTAATCAAAACTTGTCTGGCCAGTAGTGCGCTTACAAGGTTTTGGTTACCTAAGAAGCTCTCCGGCAAATTTTACAAAACGCGAACATGTTCGGGCGGAATGGTGCCTTTTACTCATTTATATACTCATTTACACTAATTAGGAAATATATTTAATCCAAATATACTTTAAACACCTTTATTTATTTTTTCTATTACTTCAAATAAAGTTAAAATTGCGAGCTCATTAACCCGCACCGATGTCATCCCTCTCAATGATAAATTCTTTTAATGGCATTTCTCTGGAATATAATAACTGCTTATTACTGAGCGACGTTTCGACTAGGCTTCTCTCAGTAATTTTATTATATAGAAATGTTACCTGTATACCTCACAGTGATATTAGCGGCCTAGCGAATATTCACTGCTGATCAGTGTGATATATTAAGAGTAATCGTTATATCGCGTGATATAATTTCCATGAATAAAGTATTTGATACGATATCCGCCAGGGGCGTACATAACGATGTTGTTTGGGTGAGGGTGAGGGGGGCTAGGCAAAATGAGATCGACTGATGCACGGGCCCCTAATACGAGTGACGCAGCCATTTCCTGGACTTTAGTGGAGGGGGGGGGGGGGGCGAATGGTTAGCATGTGCGCGCTGTATCACAAGGCCTGTCATTGAGTCAAATGGCGTGGTTTTGAATCCCCGGTTGTACGTGACAAGGAGTAGGGTCGCTTGTCCAACTTCGTGGGTTTTCTCCGGGTCCTCCGGTTTCCCTCTACGCGCAAGCGAATTATTGAAATAAAATTAAACCATATGTTAGTACCGAAATTACCTAGTTTGTGTCGAGTGGACGTTAAATCCCATTTCTATCTCTTTCTGGGCTTTAGGGGAAGATTTTGCAGAGTTCTGATGGTCAGAAAACACAGAAAGTTCCACGGCCGCAAACGCGTTTTCCTGGCGCGAATTGTGATAGTGGGAACCTAGCGTTAAGACGGTCGGTTGTATTAACATCTTTTTCAATGTAACTATTGTAACACCTCACTGATTACACGAGTCAGTTTGCAACCGAAATCCCACTCTATGCCGACCTGAATTCCAACCATCCAATCAGACTGTTGCAGCTGCATTCACAAATAATAATCGATGTCAGAAAAATGTCGCACACAGTAGAGTGGCTCCAGACAAAATGCTTTAATCCATAGTACAATCAGTTCAAATTCAAGGTATACAGTTAAAAGAAAAGTAAACTTAGTGCTTTATTAGATTTCAGGAACATTTTTTTGCCAACTAGATGAAATAATAATTTTTGTTTTCACTTTGCCCGCCTGACCGAAAAGTCAGGTTGCCCGAAAGTTAGTTGGACAGCGGGTATCGAACCTTTGACAAATTTCATTTCATTTATTTTTATTTTAAAATATATCAAGATGGATTCGCACCGCTACTCTGGCAATTTATACATATAAACATAAAATTCATTTATATCAAGCTTGAAATAAGTTAAATAGACTGTAATATGGTACTGACTTTGCTTGACCTACTGGCACATAAGAAATGTGCATGTATTATTGGTTTCCACCTCCCCGCACCTTCTCTTTGACAAACCGCCCCTGCATTCAATTAAAATTTTTAGGTCAGATCAATCCATTGTTGAGATATAAATGTTTGATATTTTCCACAGCCCGGTTCCATGACGTTGGCAGACGTAATGTCCATGAGACGGACTATAGACACCTCTCATTCAGTGAATAAATGAATTGATGTTTAATGGCACATCAGCAACAACCGGGCTATATTGTGCCACTCTCGCATTCAATATATACAAAATACGTATTAAGGCAATTTAAAAGTTTCGTCCTTACATATTAAATATTAAATTGAAATTCATGTATTGACGATTATATATTATGAAAGCCTCTTAATATATTTATAGCCATTGTGCTTATATTAAAATTTTAGTTAGACTACTTAAATAAACGTACTATTGTATACAGATTTGATAGTCTACACACGAGCGACGATAAAATGTAATATCTGTAAGTAAACCATTGTATATTTAATTTGTAGTACTTATACGATATTGGATTTAGTTCGGTCTTTCCTATTTGAATAAGATTATGTTTGGATTATATTCTCAACCACTGAACTGTTGAAGTGGGATTATTATTAGATTAATGGGGACTTAGAGGGTACATGTGTTAGCTCTCTATCAAACACCGTGTGCTCATTGGCGTAGCAGGGCGTTGGTAGGGTAGTTTTCCTGGCTCTGGCGTATATTACCCCTTGATAAAATATGCCCTCACTTAGTCCCCCTTTTCAGATTTATATCTCTGCTCAAGTATATTATAGTAAAAATGCGTTTGGAGCCACAGGTTGCAGTCAAATACAGACTGAAAATAATGAAACCGATGCCAAATGCTTATTAATTCCATTCAAAAATATTATTATGACAGCAAGCCTGGAAATAAAAAACCTATCACAGACAATGTCAGGTGCAGATTCAGGCTTTGTCAGGCACAAAACCTCTGGTGCCTGTAATTTTGTCTGGCACTGATATGTCTTTTTTATTGATATTATAAATACATGTCCGGCACTAAGTTGAAAATGACAGGTACTATTTCATTAGTGTCGGACATTTTGTCAGGTACATCTAAAGCCTTTATTTCCAGGCCCGATTATTAGGTTATTACGATTAGTGATACGTCAAGCTCTATATACGAGTAAATTTTTGTTTCGAAAGACAGTTCGAAAATTTTAGCTTTAATTGTTCTTTCCATTGTCGACTCATGGCCATATGATCAAGTGTATCCAAACATTGGCTTGGCATCTCACAAAACAAATCAACACAAAATCTATGAAATCGACATGGATGTTGCTATTGCCAGAAATCATTAAGCATTGAAAATCAATATGTAAAATCGTTGAAGTAAGAACGCTGCATAATACGCTTTTAAGCAATTGCAATTTGTCTGAAGTATGTAGATATTTTTAAATCATGTTCCCCATGATACAAACGGAGGTGGGATTTTCTGTTGCTTTTAAATGGTTTATGTATTAGATATTAGACTTTTTCAAAAACTTTCGTTTAGAAAAAATGATATGAAGGAAATGTGAAGAAACAAAAATGCTATTTTATACGCATTATGTCCAACCGAACATAGGCCAAAGAAGAAAGGGAGTGTTGTGATGTGAGGAAGATGTGATATTGTGTGTAGCAAATTGCAAAATTAAAAATATAGATATTAATATATTTGGTCCTAATCACCGCCGCCCGTGAATAATTCTGCCCTACAAAGGAGAGAGGCAGTATCTGCAACATAATCATAGTGTAGATACTGCCTTCTTCCTTTGCACGGCAGAATTTTCCTCCGCACCTTATCGTTGCCGTACTGCAGGATGCATCGATACTAGAATTTTACTAAGACGTTTAGAGATTCATAGCAATGAGGCGTGGAGGGGGGCGCAGTGGCTGTGTGCTTAGGGCTTGTTAAGTATAGCGCTTGTGAAGCTAAGAAGTGTGTCTAGTAGTTCGGCTGGAACAAAAAACCGAGTTGACATACAAACGATCCGTTGGCAGGTCAGTTGAAATTTCACACCTAACCATAAAAATAGAAATATGATTTAGGTAAAGTGTCGACGAGACGTTCCGCCCCTGTTCCATTGCATTCTTACGCTTTCTTGGTAGATACCCAAATACCACTACACGTACTTCCCTGTATAAAATATAGTTATGATGGTCAATATATCTTTACTATCGATATCTCGTGTGCGAATACTCTGTAAAGTTCTTGCAATACTAGTTAATTTTGCTTATATTTCCATCTTATAATTTCCAGATTATTTTATTGGGGCGAAGATGGATAAGGTATTGGACGTTCGTTCCTATCTCTTTTACCCTGCTGTAATTCTGATATTGACGTTTAAATTCCCCTATTCATCTCAAGACCTATTTCTAGTACTATTATTCATAAAATAAAATCATTTAGATATATAAACATACCTTATTATATATGATAATAGATATTTGTATTCCTTTTGGTTATTGTCACAACAGATTGTATTGTAGAAAATATCTCTATACTGTTTGTATAGGTTGAATTCTTATTGCGGGTAAACGAACGTGTTACTGCTCTACACCGTCGCTAGGGCTCGCGTCATGGGATTAGCCTACAGGTTATTTCGAGCACATTGACAAGGACTTATGCTTGACTGATCGCTGATAATTAGTGATATGTAACGAATCATTTGAGTAGATTATAGCAATAGTGCCATCAATGGTGCTTTATTCTCTCACATTAAGCGATATGCATCTATGAGTATATAAGTAATGTATATATTAAATCATGCATGATAGGCCTACATGCAGTGAAACAGTCAGGATGTTTGTCGTATTCAACGGGTCGGGAGAAATCGAGTTTGGCTGGGTGGGGGACGATAGAATAAAAAGGACAAAGAACATATTATTAAACGGTTGCAATAGATGTGGGGGGTTTTTTCATGCAAACCTAGAGTTTTCTGTCATTTTCATCGGAAAAATTTAGGCAAAAACGATTACCGCCATCGCGATCATAATTAAATTATCGAGACCGTTACTTAAGGCCCGGTCCCACTGCACTTACGGATGCAAGGAGGATGTAAAACGGGGGAAAAAACGTGACCTCTGTTTGAAAACGCCATGCATCCGGTGTGTACTCATTGCATACGTATTTCATACGCTCTATCCATCGAGCATCCGTTCACTTTGATTTCATCCGCGCAAAAAGTTTTGAGCTGCACAAAACTTTTATAACGGATGAACTTACGATGTAAATGCGCGACATATACGAGCACCAAACGTTCCATGTCCGTTGTCATCCGTTAAACGTCCACTGTATCCTCTCTGCATTCTCTGGGCATCCTCGCAACTCACATCCGCTCCAGCTGAAAACGGAAAGGGGGAGGAAAGATAAGGTACATGGAACGTCTATACATCGTTAGTAGCACGGAAATAGAAAGGATGTAAGCGTATGCATCTCGTATTATATAAAGTTTTCAAAACGAACAAAGCGTTTGTATCTGGGATGTATCTGGTATATTGAAGGATGTCGGGGCTGTCATCCACTTCCATCCGCTAGGCTTCCGATGAACATCCATTTAAAGGACAATATCGGTGCCAGTCATTATCACATATGTGATAGAACTGGTTAAACACGTTCCAAATATTATTTTATCACAGAGATCATTGCTACGATAGATGAGTAATCAATGTTTCAACAATAGGAAGTGACGAACGCAAAAGGAAAACACGAGTTATCCCTCTATTATAACTGGCGGAAGTGACGGTTGATAACAGATACATGGGGGGATTTCTGCTCACTAAAAATTACTTGGAATACCAAAAGTTGTTATATGAAACTGTAAGAGTATATCTGACAATTCAAAAAAGTTATTGAATGTCATTAGATAAGAGAACACGAGAAAAATATAAACAGTCCGTACATTCACGGGTGTTTATTCATTCTATACTTATAAAAACACGGTAATGCACGGACTTTTTCTATTTTTCTTTCATGTTCTCTTATCTAGTGACAGTCAATTTTGTTTATGAATTGTCAGATATCCTTTCACAGTCCTATACAACAACTTTTGGTCTTGGAAGGAATTATTAGTGAGCAGAAATTCGCCCATGTATCTGTTATCACCCGTCACTTCAGTCAGTTATAATTCGTGTTTTCCTTTTGCGTTCGTCACTTCCTATTGTTGAAACATTGATTACTCATCTATGGTAGCATTGATCTCTGTGATAAAATAATATTTGGAACGTGTTTAACCAGTTCTATCACATATGTGATAATGACTGGCACCAATATTGTCCTTTAACATCCCAGCTACATACTTCCCACGTTCGTTCTTTTCCGTTCTGTTTTCGCAAATTTTCGTCAGTTTTGTCCATTTCTGGAGCGGATGAAAACGGATGGAGCCACCTCGAAAGTTTGCTCGTCCGCTGTGTCCTTTTTGCATATACGCTTTGTGTCCATCGGCCACTGGGACCGGGCCTTTAGTTGAAATGCCGTATTTAATGTTAACGCCGCTGTCCGGCTCAAAAGCGTTTTATAGCTGAGGCGCTGGAGGCGCCAACCTCCTCGCGAAAAAAATCAAAGAAGTTGAAAAAATAAAACGGGAGAAAAAATGCTAAAACCGATGAGAAAAATGAAAATGTATCCTGGTTAGGGAGGGCCCTAAAGGCAGACAAAAGAGCACCACGTCTGACAAAGGGCCCCTCTGGCCAAGGGAAAGGGCCACCGAGTCCGAGTCAATCGTTTTCTATACACTGTTACTGTCGAATCCACTACTGAATGAGAATGCAGTCATTGCATTGGAATGAAAATCATCAATCAAGAAATCACCTTTTCTGAAGACCTACTAATAAGCTATTCAGGAAAGAGATGGCTAGGCCGCCCAGTGTGGCTAGCATGGCGGAGCGATTATTTCTTTGCCGAGGATCGAATTAGGCCCCGGTCCTCAGATTAAACCGGCCTCGAGGGGCCTGGAGGATATGTCAGAAGGCACCAAAATGTTTTCTATTTTGCAAAATTTCTCGACCTCCGGTGGCCGGGGGCCGTTATCCGCCCCCCCCCACCCCGAAAGAGGAACCTGAAAATAGTATATCCTCATGCATTAACATGATTTAAACATCAGGTATTTTTTGTTATCCACATCTGTACGCCCCCCTCCCCCCCACCCAAAAAAAAAAAAAAAAATAAAAATATAAATAAAAATAATAATTGAAAATGATCAAATAAATCTTGCCACGCCCATTTGGGTATTTTCATCGCAGTTACTTCCCTTACATTCTACCGGAAGTAAACAGACGTCGCAGAACTGCTTATTGGAAAGAGGAGATTTGTCATCTGCTTTTTTCTTTTAATGAACATAGATCTATTTTTGCTGGGCTTTTCTTTCAATATAGATGGTTGTTACAGATTCTTGTCTTTTTCCTCCTTCGATTATGAAGGTTCGATTCACAAACATGCACGGTGTGGACCATATTTTGGAACTCCACCAAGATTTGACCGTGGATAAAGCCAAAATCAAATGTTTGGACTATTTCCACAACTCGGCAGAGAGTATGAAAATGTCGTTGTATCATAAATTGGTTTTAGTACGAAATGGGAAAGTTTTAACTGAAGGGTTGTCACTTCAACAAGAAGGAGTTAGAGATAATGGTATATAAACTTTTTGTAATAATTGGTGACCATGCAGAAAAACTGATTAACTATTTAATTTATATTATCCCATATATTATGATCAGGCATATCTGATTTATCCCGGATGGATCCGAATGAGAGAGAGAGAGAGAGAAATGGGGTTTAACTAGCGTTGCCAAAGGGTTTTTAAATACACAAAATGTCTCTAATATGATTATTGCACTGCAAGCGTCAACTATTTAGATTCAATAATCTGAAAGAATTTTGAAAAAATATTGAAAATTAAAAAAGTTATGGCATTTTGAAGACCGCGAATTGGAGGCACCAAAATACGGCTTTTTTTTAAAAACGTAAAAAACCTGACCGAAGCTAATATCTCAGACACTATAATAGGTAGATCCACGAAACTTGCAGAATTTGAAGTTCAAGATGTACTGGATTGAATCAAATTATCGGGAGACTCTTCGGTTATATAGTGTGTGTGCTACAGACTCTCAAACTTACGACCGAGACAATTTTCGTTCAAGGTCACAGCAAAAAAATGACATGATAGTTAATAACAAACCATGTAGAAGTCCCAGGGCTTTGAAATATTTACCCAACCCGTTTTTTGATGTGATAGATACACAAATAATGTTTTCACATTGTTATCGTGTTTTTTTATTAGGCATCAGCTACTTGAATTGCATTTTTTGACTATACCATGTCAAGGTCATACAGAAAGTGTAAGGTCACGGGTCAACTGTAGGTCTAGAGAGAGAGAGAGAAATGGGGTTTAACGTCCACTCGACACAAACTAGGTCATTTCGGGACTAACATAGGGTTTAATTTTATTTCAATAATTCGCTTGCGCGTAGGGGTCTTTAGCAGTGGGAGGAAACCGGAGGACCCGGAGAAAACCCACGAGGTTGGACAGGCGACCCTACTCCTTGTCACGTACAACCGGGGATTCGAAACCACGCCAGTCGACTCAATGACAGACTTTCTGATACAGCACGCGCACGCTAACCATTCAGCCATCCAACCCCCCTGTAGGTCTAGAGTTTATTAAAATATTCACAGTCTTTTCCTGGATACATACACATGCAAAACACACAGACAAAAATAGTTGTTTCAGGAATGGAAAATCACAAGTATTATGATCAATAAAAATATCTTTATTTCAATTAACAAAATCAATAAAACTTAAAATCAACAAAAATAAATAAATAACAGAATTTTTCTGGGTGAAAACTTATGACCTAAATCTAAAAATAACAGAAAACAAAACTGTGTATCATGATCAACATCAATCATATGAAAACTACCAACTACAAAACCAAAAATATAAAACTTAAAAAAATTAACAATATATGATATAATCACAGGGATTACACATGACAAAATAATTTCTTTTTTGGCATGACTGGACGTCATCAAAGTCATATGCAAATACAAAAAGTTACATGTATAAGTAATCGAATGTTATGACATTATTAAAGAAAGAATCACCCCTTCTCTATAAATAACAAATATCTCTGGTTATAAAATTTTAAAAAAAAAGATGTACAACAATGAGTAAAAAATTGCATACAGTGATAAAAAATATCAATGCTGTATTCTCAGAACTAAAGCGTGGAGTGAAAAGTGGCATGAATCTTGGAGCTTGCGTCTGTGCCTGGAAAATAAAATTGATTTGGAACAGAGCAATATAATCCCTGGCCTCTTCCGATTATGTTTTTTAAAGTTATAATAAAAGAGTGCTGCATCAAATAAACATAGTATAATAATTGTCCTAAAGTACAGATTGAAATGCCTTACTTGAGATTCACTTTCTCCAATTTCTTTTTCACTCTCCTCAGAATCTGTTATGAATAATGGTTGTGAATACTCTTCTTCCATAGTAAATAAAAGCTTTAAAATAAATGAGATACACATTTTCATTTTGCCTATGCCAAGTCAGTCTTATTTCAATATTTGGGGATATATTTTTCTCAAAAGTCCATTTTTTTTTACAAGTAATGTTATTAAATTTGCAAAAACATCTAAATAGTTCACACTTAAGTTTGCAAAAGTTAGGTTAAAAAAAAATAAATCATTCATTGTGGTCTGATCCCATACACGCACCTACCAAGAGTTGTCTTTCCCTGATTCTTCCCCGGTTCTACTTTCCGTCTTATTGCCAACTCCTACGGGGGATTTTGGCAAAACAAAAGCTCAAACTATACAAAATATATACCAGGCTATCCAAAAATGTCGATATCTCGAGCGGAATGCTCTTTTTTTCAAAGTTTCTATTACATTTAAAAATTAAAAACAAGAAAAATAAGCGAAAATTCGATCAAAATCTTACCTGCTATGGCAGTCCGCTAACTTCAGCTCACCAGGTTCCGGAAAAGTGCCACGTGACCACGTTTTGACTTCCTGAATATTCATGAGACCCCGTAGTAGAAACGGTACATTTTTCGGTCAGGTTTTTTAGCACACCAATAATAGGACAGCCAGCGCCTCTAGCGGCGTTTGGCATCGCTAGTTTAACACTGGACACAAACTAGGTCATTTCTGGACTAACACACTGTTCAATTTTATTTCAATAATTCGCTTGGGTGTAGGGGTCTTTAGCAGTGGGAGGAAACCAGAGGACCCAGAGAAAACCCACGAGGTTGAACAGGCAACCCTACTCCGTGTCACGTACAACCGGGGAATCGAAACCATGCCAGTTGACTCAAAATCATACCTTATGATACAATGGGCACATGCTAACCATTCGGCCATTCAAGGCTTTGACTTTATGTGCATGCATCTGTTATTAATTTTATAATCATCATAAAATTTTTACAGATTTCCAATTATTTTTATCAGGTAAATTTTTCAATCCAACAATTCTGTCCTATATCGCATCCAAAAACTTACATGTAAAGTCAAAATTTGAACAGAAAGATAACACCAAACTGGTAATTTAATAGGGTTTACTTTTTGTATGCATGTACATACTGGTACTTTCTTTCCCCGAAAAAAGCATGCAAACTACAATCTGATTAAAATACAGATCTATGTTTCATATTTTGTATACTTTCGATGGCCTCTACTACATGAAGATCTGAGCAGTTTTAGTGGAAGGTCGCGTCAGGGGTCATAAGAGCGACTTTTTACCTATAACATCAGACATTTGATTAACCAATCAGCGTTGATGTTTCTAGTGGGTTACCCAAAAACTTACTGTAACAGATTGTTTCATTGGCTAATCCCTCACATCTTCCAGAATGTGGTTTTAACAGTTCTGACAGGGCTTAGTAAAGACAAATAAAACTAAATTTTAAACTATAAAAAACGAAACGAAATAGGATCTGTGTTTTAATCAGATTGATCAAACTAAGGTTTTCAAAGAATCCTTTAAGAACATTGTCAAAATATAAACACAAAGATTACTTGACAAAATGCCTTTTTGAAACTTATGATCCCAAAATTTGAAATCCAATGTGCAATTTCACCATAGATTTAAAAACAATATTCTCAGAACTCTGCATCAGGTTCTTAATAAGATATCATGAAATGTGGCTCAAAATAATTTATTTTATAAATGGGTATTATTTTTTTTTATTTTAGTCTAGGCCTATATTTATAATATAATATATATAATATAACAAATCATTAACACTAAAAGCAGTCATGCAACCGAAACTCTAACTTTGTCCATAACCTTGAATACGCTACTGTATGTTTGAAGCTATCAATAACTTTGCATGAATTAATATTCTCTGACATTAATTATTTTTTTTCCCCCCTCTAATCCACAGATGAAATTTTATTGTTGAAGAAAAGAATACAACCTTCACCTTATGAAGCCTCAGACAAACAAAGTGTAAGTTGAAACATTTAAAATCTGATTACCATGTCACTGAGTAAAGTGGGATGGTGGTGATCTCAAGCTTGTACATGACAAAGAGTCAATTGCGGATTGAGGTAGTGGCCGACAGAGGCAGCTTGTTCTGAAGGGCCCTTGTCTAGAAATTTTTGAAAATTAGATAGCTGTAGATGCGATTTAGAACGCTTTTCTGTTGGTTTAGATACAGACTGGAACCGATGATTTCGTAGGCGGAGAAAATTCCTCAGGATTTTCCGGCATGGTTTCCCAAAGGCAATGGTGCAGGATGGAGGCCATGGCTAGCAACAGCAATTAGTCGCTCGGATGGGATGAAAAACCAATGTCCTGTGTAGATGTTGGCGTGCATGTACATGTAAAAGAAATCTTGATAGTAGTAAATCAAAATGATAGTAAATCATAGCCAGGCAAAATTTCCCTCATATTATAGCACACTTTCACTGTATGGAGTATGCTCATATTCAAATGGCCACCAGATTGAGTGAAAAGTTATGTTTTTAGGAGAAATTTGTTTAACTAAAAAATATACTCAAAGCCAAAGTTTGAATTTGAAATTGTTTTTGGCCTTTTAAAAGAAATATATTATTGAAAATGTAGGCCAAGGGCCGACATGGTCTTAATGCGTTTCTGGTGGCAGAAGGCATGTGATTCTCAACGTGCTACAATGTCACTGTGATAGATACATGTAATAGTTAGTGCAGGATGACCGCATCACACATACACAAACACACATACAAACCTCTGATTAGAGGGCCCGCTTCTTGGATTTGGGGGCTTCTCACATGGTAATCGGGGTGCCCGTCTCAGGGGGTCCATATTAAGTATTCTCCCCGGATTCAGCGTTTTCTTCCAGTTTTCTTTTTGGAGATTTTCAAAAGAACTTCACTGCAGAGGCTGCCACCTATGGCCCCTCTGCTATAAACTGCTACTGCAAGGAGTACTGAATAGAACTGGCCCATATATTATGTTTGTGCCAAAATGACTATAAATGAATGGGAAATTTGGGAACAGGCAAAATGCCTATGAGAATTACATCCCGACACTTTTAAAGTCTGTTTAAAGTTATTGTTAGTCTCATACTAACCATTGAATCGAAATAAAATCCTATATTGGAATAAAATGAGGCATTCTACTACGAGGTAGAAATCTGACTACAACTAGTACAAGAGATATCTTAGAAATAGTGTGAATGCTAGTAACTTGCTTATTGTATAACGTATAGTAAGCTTATTTGGTGTAAGAATAACTTAAGATTTCTGAAGCTATTCAATGTTCAGCTTGCTATTTTGTTGTATATTGTATCTCGTATCACTGCTATTTTCTTCATCGCTTGATAGTAGAATCAGTGATAGACTTTTGTGCAGATGTATACAAATACAAAACAAAATTTCAAAAATGCATCTTTTCATGGTTCCATTGTAACCTTTCACGGAGATGGTCAGTATGATTTATTTTACACAAAATTTGTTATAATGGGGTTAATTTTATTCTAGAGAGATGATAGAAAAGGACCAGATATGGAAACCATTAAACGTGCCACTGCCAATATACCTAAATCAGCTGTTGAAGCTGTACAAGAAGATGCAACTTTAAATGTAGACGTAAGGAATTACAACCATAAACTTTTTGTTCTACTTGTGTGCACAACATCAGTAAGAGCTCCTTAGGCATTTCCATAGAAAATGGAATACCATGCATTGTAACTAAAGTGTTGTGTAGATAAGAGGTTAAAGTTGATGATCCAACAATTTCTATATTGTAACAAAAGATAAAGATTACAGTGACTCCAATCAACTTTTATGAAAATTTTAGACTCCATATTTATATGCTACCTACAAGTAAAGAATTCATTGATGATATCAATCTTACCAGATCTTTCAATATGGCGTTCTCCAGCTGAAGAATGGCAATTTAGTACATGGTCAAATTTCTATTTTTGGTTTGAAAGTTAACTGTTAGTCCTGATTCTAGTATCTGTTGATATGTGTCTGTTGTTGGAAGAATACTGTGAACCATCTAGTTTACAATTAACAGGGGTGTTTTTTTTTTTTATCCTTTCAGTTTCAAACAGAATTAAGACGAATTCTTATATCATTAATAGATGCATCACAGAGAATTTTGTGTTTAAATCCAGAAGCAAGTAAAGTTTTTAAACAGGCAGAAGGTATGAATTTAACAAATTGACAATGTTATAATCAAAGTTTAGGGCCAGCCATCTAAAAAGAAATTATGTTTCTGTTCTCGAACATATAAATACTACTGCATGTTCAAAGGGGACAACTCCATATTTGAACACTTATATATTTTGAGAGAACATTTTGCTGCAATGTTTATACACCAGAATGTCAGTGCTACATTAATTACGAATGATCAAGTGTTTTTTATGAAGTAAAACAATAATTTATAGCTATAATGCATTTTATTCAGATATTTTGAATGAACCAAGTAAAAAGCCAAAAGTCGACACCGCTACCTTAAAACAACTAACAGATATGGGTTTTCCTGGAAATAGAGCCAGAAAAGCTCTCATACTTAATAAGTAAGTATGAGTTTTACAGTACAATAAATGATCTGTTGGTTTATGAAACCTAATTAAGGGTGAACTAATGCCCACATCTACTGTGTGAAATACATAAAATTAATGTGTGGATAATGTCTTCAGTGGAATGGTCAATTTTTTGCTTTTATAAATATCTAGAAATTAGAATGTCTTCAGTTCAATGGAAAGGGTATTATTTTGTTTGTATAAAATGTATGCAATGGAAATGATATTTTAATATTTATAAGATGTCTCCAATAGAACATCTACATTGTAATGACTATCATGTTATTTATATTTTTTATAATTATAGAAATAGTTATTATGTTGTTCATATTGTGGCAGAATGTCTATAATAAAATGGTTATTATATATTTGATAGAATGTCTGTAATGTCTGCAATGGAATGGTTACTACAACATCAAAATGATGCTGATATAGATGAAGATGTACCAGAACCTGATACAGATCAACCGCCACCTGAGGAAGAGGTATTGTTATGGAATTCAGGCAACACAGACAGTTGTCTGCATTGTTTTTATACGTCCCTGTCTGTCCGTCCATCTCTCCATCCACAATTTGTGGACACTCTACAGGTCAAAATTTTTATCCAATTTTGACAAAACTTGAAATATATGTCTATCTCCCAAAGATCTTGGTTCCTTTCGATATTCGCTCATATCAGACTGTAACTTCCTGGATTATGGCCCCTGATTGTATGAAAGATCATATTTTTTAAAAAACGTTTAAATATATCACCATTCCACCATAATGAAGATTGACTTCGAATAAATAAAAACAAAACTGCCCAACAAAATGGCCGCTCTTTGTATGCAAATTGTGTAAAATTATGTTATACGAAGGTTGTGGACCCTCTAGAAGTCACATTTTTTATCCAATTTTTATGAAACTTAAAATATATCTTTGTATCCCAAAGATCTCACTCCCTTTCGATATTTTTGTATTTCTGGATTGTACGAAAAATTGTTTTTTTTAGCTTGTTATCTATCCATCTTTTGCAAAATGTGGGCATATCTTGCCTGGCAACCGCTGGGCAAACTTGGACTCCCCATTTTACAACTTAAAAGACACAATATTCAAGAATAAACAACAAATGTAGACTTTCAGGCCGTACAGTAAAAATCATAGTCCTACCAAAAAGCATTGGTCCACAAATTAATGTTATCAATCAGTTCTTGCTATAGATATGACCATCTAAAGTTCAACATTACTCTCTGACAGAAATTTGATGGTTAGATTATCTATTATGCATTTTGGTCTAGAAAATCAGGATATTAAACTCCCATTTTATTTCATTTTAAATTCCTTACTTTTGATATGAATATGTCTCGGGCAAACATGGCATAAAGGGGAAGTATCAGATTATACTTTATTTGGAGTAAAATACCATAAATGCTTTAATTTCGATACAACTCGGGCACATTTTTATATGATGTGGACGTGCCTAGATGACAATACACTTGCCCCAGTTGCAGTGGTGCTAAGTGATTGTTGCAATTATCAAAACACTCTAGTCAAATGAATAATAAATTTCTTAAATGAGTTACATATCCTTGCTTAGCAAATCTAGCAATCCATTATGAATGACTGAATATTGTTTATTTGCAATTTTCAGATAAACCTTCTTTTATATACGGTATCTTGTGAAATGTGAGCCTTCCCCTTTAACTTTAAGAAGGATACTATGATTGTTTATCTATTTTAACCACAGGGAGCTGTAGGAGGAATTGAAAGTGCATCAGGAGAAAGTCCAAAAGTCACTAATATACGACAATCACTGAAAGCTTTTAGAAAACGAGAATTTCGGCCAAATCCTCGGGTGAGCATACCAAATGTTTGATTTATTGAGTTACAAAAAGTAATCAGGCATTACCAAAAAAATTATAAATAACAAAACCATTTAATTCATGTGTTATAGGAATTATTAGAAATGTTAGATAACACTACCTTATATTTCGTGTGTTAGCCAAGATTGTGCAGAAAAGTAGGATATTAAACCCCATTTCATTCATCATGAACATCTTATACTTCAGGCATTACAGAAATTATTAGAAATGGGTTTTGAGGAGCAGGAAGCTGGTGATGCACTAAGAGTTGCTAGAAATGATCAGGATGCTGCTGTAAGTAGATAGAGGATTTCGGCACACCCCTATTATAAAGATTGCCTTGTTCAGTTTGAGTTCTACAATGTCCCAGAATTTAATATAAACTAGCATCTTACATTGTGCAGAATTGAAATACAAATTCTGTCAGTACATTCATTGCTAAATTAGTAATCATTCAGTGAATAAACCCTAGTTATTTAAAATTCAATTCTCAACAAAAACATTTGATTCGGAAGATTCTTGCGGATTGCTGTCAAAAGAATGAAAGTTAATTCTTGCAAAAGTATACAAAATATTCTATTCAGTTTAAACGGAATTTTTTTATATTTTCAGTGTGAGTGGTTGCTAGGAGATAGGAAGATGAGACCAGAGACAATTGATGAAGGTTTAGATACAAATAGTCCTATATATCAAGCCATTATTGCTAATCCTACAGTACAGTTAGGTCTAAATAATCCCAGATGTCTTTTAGGTAAATATATTTTACTACATTAACCCGTTAAGTCCGTAGGTCATTATATAACATCCTGGACAACTGCCACTCACTGTGTGTAGGGCGTAATATAACGCCTTGGAGAGGTATTTTCCCCAACCTATTCTTAGAACATAGTTTGTCACTTGGGGGAATCCCTTGGGAATTCCCCCACGATCGCAGCTTGTGTAGGACGTTATATTACGTCTTGGACAACTGCCACTCACTGTGTGTAAAGCATAATATAACGCCTTGGAGGTATTTTCCCCAACCTATTCTTAGAACATAGTACATAGTTCTTCGTCACTTCGTCAAATTAATTACACAATAGGGGGTAGTTAACGTTTTAAAAACGTCATGCTTAACGGGTTAACCTTGTTAGTCCTAAAATGACCCATTGACAAGTTAGGTAAACCTAATGATGGTGAAAACCATTCCAAATTTAACCAGATATTTGTACTGATTAAAACAAAATGTCAATCTTTTCCGATTATCATGGGGTGATGTATGGCGAATTTCCCCCACAACACCGTGTTCCCACTATCCAGGGATCTTTATTTGTGCTTAAAAACATCAGAGAGACTAGCCATTCATCTTAACATCCTTGTCTTTCTTTACCATACAGGCCTTTTTATTTTCAGCTTTTCTACAGATGTTAGAGAACCCTGTAGCAGCCAGTCAGTGGTTAAATGATCCAGAAACAGGTCCTATATTAATGCAGATATCAAAAATATACCATGCTGAGAAAAACTCTAAACCACAGCTTACCTCCCTTTCGGTTCATAAGTCAAGGTGATAGCAGAATAGGTATTAACCCACAGAGTGTGCAATACAATGTGATATGTATATATTTATAGTAATTACTGCCAGATAGATTTAAACAGATCTATTCTTTTAAATCTTTACACCTTTATTACCTTGACAAAAGTGTGTGTCAAAAACAGAGAACTATAGTTTAAACCAGTGATGGGATTTCAAAATTTTTCTTGTCGGACATTTTTTTCCCGAAAATAAAGGGGCATAACTCTTATCGTTATTTAAGCAGACGTTTTCAAACCACAATTAAGAATCACTTGTCAACAAAATATTCAAATTTATACGTAATAAAAAAATATCTTCACCTCGTTATTTTTCATGCTTAATTCCCGTACGGTATTAAAATTTATGTCAATAATATTCTTACAAAATTACATGACATCATAATACCATAGAATGAAAGTGTGACGACTACTGTCGACCGGTACCTGTTTTAAATTCCCCCCAAATTACCGTATTTTTCGGGTCATATTTCGATACGTTTTTCAGCAAAGACCGACATTCATCTCATACTCCGTTTCGATTTATATACGAAAGGAAAAATATGACATCCCGAAATTTATTTCGTAGTAAACGTCGCTCAAAAACTAGCGAGGGACACCTACTGCAGCTAAATAATCGCATTCGACTCTAGCACGCGCTATCGTCTAAAACAATTAACTAACCTTATTCCAATCGACATAGTCGTCAGCATTTCTTAGCGTGTTTATTTATTTATTTAAAAACATAAACCCCACTCAAAATATGATCATAAATTCGACAATATGCCATCAAAATAGAATCTTTTCTCTCACATCAGGCGTATTTGATTCGGCACGTTTAAATCTCTTAATTTCACGTGTCTCGCGAGATGACTACTTTCATTTTGAGTTACTTTACTAAAACAATTAACTAACCTTATTCCAATCGACATGGTTGTCAACATTTCTTAGCGTGTTTATTTATTTATTTAAAAACATAAACCCCACGTATTACATTCGGCACGTTTAAATCTCTTAATTTCACGTGTCTCGCGAGATGACTACTTTCATTTTGAGTTACTTTACTAGAACCATGCGTGTGTGTGAAATAGCTTTATTTAACTTTGGCTTTCACCGAAGGAATATCACAGACAAGTTATCGGATACAATGTATATTGAATCGAAGCATGTTGAAAGTTATAAAGACTGTCTATTGATGTCTATTACAATATGTGACATCTATAGTTTATACATATTGTCGGCTCACGTCAATGCGATTAATATGTCCGACAATGCAGAAACCACGAGGTTAACACGAGGATTAAAATTATAATCACAGTTATTGGATTGATGAATATTCTGACAAAGGGGAAACAATGACTTCTGTTTACGACTAGATTGATGAACTGTCCGACAAAGGATTAAGTCGGTCAATCAAGGCAGATTAAGTAGTTAATCAAGGTAGGTTATTTATAGACAGTATAAAACGATAAATACGGTACGTTGATCACTTAATTACCTAATCAATCCAGCGTATTATCGACGATAATCGGGTTGAGTGGTTGTTACAATTAGTAAACTATTACTTTCAAAATTTTGAATATTATTCACCATGTCTTGATGTCCGATTGGGCATATTCCCGGTCGGACAATTTTGGGCGTTTGGAAAAAAGATTCGGACAAGTCCGGAATATACGGGCAAAATCCCATCACTGGTTTAAACATGCCCCACTGATGTCAATTATATGTCACTGTCTATTTAAATAAATGATTAAAGATACATTATGGAAGATTAGATAAAGAGCTGGCAGTTCTCACTATAATAGTTAAAAACTAAATGATATAATAAATTGAATTTGCTGAAAATTTCAGTCAAATTGATCCACTCTGAACCGAGAATTTAGCAATCAAATTTTCGGCCTAGTCTTGATCATCACCACTGAAGTTGGTACGATAGAAAACAAAGTCTCGATTATCCATTTCATCCAGTAAATATCGCAGCCTGGTGATGACATTGAGAGTTGATTATGGTCTGGATAAGTTAATTAATATCTAATTAATAATTTAGATATCATTTCAGGCCTAAAGAAAGACCTGCAATTGGCAGATTTAGCTCTTGCATAATGTATGTTTAAATGAAATCAGTAGTTTTCACCCACACTATCAGCATTTTGAATTTTAAATAGAAGTTACCATTTGAAATGACTTGATTTGAACTTAAACATTGATGAAAACAATCTGCGGAGGTTGAAAATATCACATTGTCTCCAATCCGACGAGCAAACTGTTTACAAATTGATAATCAACATTTGGCCGTCGGCAATCATAGCAAAGCTAAGTATTAATAATAACCAGTTAGAATTTAGTTAAAGGGATAACTTTTCCATACTGTATTTTGTTTCGAAAGAAATAGCAGAATTGAGTTTGTTTACTACTTTTTGTTTCAATTTTAATTTACTGTGTCAACACCTGAACACACAATATTGACTTTATCTATGGATAAAACCCTTAGACTGATATGATTATTATAGTAAACGGTTAAAATCTGTTGTTCGTCAAGTTTTGCATACAATCCAACATGAACATGTCCGATTTATTTTATGCGAACTGGCGAAGACCCCCCAAACCTCAGAGAAAAAAAAACATTATTATATCTTTTTTATAAATGGATATCATAAAATATTATGTTAATCGACTCACAAGTAAAATAAAATATATTTGTTTGGTATGGGTATTAGAGTTTGTGAAATTGAGATGACATCATACTTTTTGCAGAAATTTTTTGATGGGGTCCCTTTTTAATCCGACAAATCCTAGCTTGGAGATCAACTACCGTTGACGTTTTCTTTGATTGAATGTTGAATAATCAATAAGAGTACATTTTAGCTTATATTGATATGTCCACAAGATGCAAATGGCAATCAGTGACTTTATAAGGTATTTATGATGTAAATTTGTGATTGAAGAGCTTCTCTCTGCTTATAGAAATAATTTCCAAAACTGCATCCGATTCAGAGTCTGATGTGCAGCTGTTGGGCATAGTCTTTGCCCCGAACATCTTAGGAAGAAAAATCTTCAATTTCCTCTTGACATTGTTCGCCAATATCTTTCAAGGGAAAACCATAAAATCTCTTCTCCGCACATGGCAGGCCCTGCTTCACTTGGACTTTTAATTAGGTCTAACAAAGATCTTCTCTTTCGTAGAATCCAAAAAACTATGGTACTGATTTTTTTCTTTACTGTTTTCTGAGATTCAGTAGGTGCAACTGTTTTATCTAAGACACACTGATAATGACTCTCTTTACTGTATTCTTAAATTCATTCATGGATAATTCCAAAGTCAGTCTTTCAAAGTAGACTGTGAGGTGACCAGCCTCAAATAAAACAATATTCTTTTTAAATCTACAAGCTTTTGTTTCCGTAATTTGGATGTGTAAATATACAAGAGTGTAATAACTTGAATTCTTCATTTTTTGCATCAGAAAACATTTTGAATAGTTCTGGAATTTGCTTGCATGCCATGGCCAGTTTCATTACAGCGGTCTCTTTGGCATGGTTTTGAGAGTATCTGTGACAATAAGAGTCTTGTCTGTTCCTCAGTAGGTTTAGCACCCTTGCAATGATGTTTTCTTAAGTATTCCTTCCTGTGGAACTGTTTTCCGCATTCTCCGCATCCAATAAAGGTGGTTTTGTGCCTTTTCTCTCAATTGTCTTAAGTAGGTGACATCGCCTCGACAGAATTTGGCCACATTCTTGACCAGCGTCCATTTTGGTATAAAAATGGAAATGAAATGAAATGAAATGAAAATGGTGACTATGACATCAGGTGTGTGATTTTGACGTAATGTCGGAGTGACGTACATAAGTATATTAGTGGAAGGGTGTTAGTGTAACACCCAATTGTTTAATTATTTGATAGTCTAGATATCTACTATCAAAGACACCAAGTAAGTGGGAAAAGTCATAATCATTTAGACCATTCTCAATGCCAATATTGTAATATGCTAAAACTTAAGAACACATTCTGTTCTAGTAAAACAGGCAAATCTTATAAATGTTCCTCTAATTGGACTTGCCATAATAAAAATGTTATCTACCTAGCTACTTACTTGTAACCTACGTCGTAAACAATACGTTGGTAAAAGAAAAAGTTTGCATCTTATTGGACTAAAGGAACATTTGCTAACAATGATTATCGTCAACTGTAGCAAACTGCAATACTTTTGACACATTCTTTTTCCCACTTGATTTTTGACCTTCTTTTTTTCTTCAACAAATTAATATGTGGAGAGCTCGTAAGATTTTCTGAGGGACTCTTTTTAAAAGTCCTCTTCCGTGGATTCTGGCTACTTTTCCATGGATTTTCACGTTTTATAAACCCTGCAAAGCTTATTTCACGGGGGCCATCTAGGATCCTCTGCTGACATTCCTTTTTCAAGCCTGTTACTGGCTTGCACGTTGATCACCTCATCACTAGCACCTGAAGTACCCAGCATCGGTTCAATATCGTATACAGGATTATCCGCAGATTGAGGCACAGTGTCATCACCACTGTTCAGATTGGGCTTTAGCCTTTCACTGCCTTGACTTGGAAATTCAACTAGGGTTGAATGGATGTATTCCTGTTTGGATGTGTGCAATACTTTTGTATTGTATTTAGATTTAGATTGTGGTGGTCAATGGCTCTGGCAGGCGTAATACGGAAATCATATTACAAATATAACAAACATTACAACAAGGCGTACATTGGCTCTAACACAATTAACTACAAATTATCTCCCCTTGTAGTCCCTAATGTCATGTAACTTAAAGGGACAAGTCTGTCACACTTACCCTTTGACTAGATGTGAAAATGAGTCCTAACTATACATCTAGTCAACACTACACAACATCATCAGAAATCCATTGCTTTCATTTAACATCTGATGCTATGGCTGCGACTCTGCGCGTTTTAGCTATTGGCTGGTTACGTAGATCTACTGCTTGGCTTTGGCTACTAATTTCTAACGGATATAGTAACTGGATAGGTCTTCGAAGAACTGAGACACCACTCTTGGAAGAGACACGAAGAACGGCTCCACGATTAAATCCATCTTTACCCAATTTCCACAAATTTTGTTTCTTGTTCTCGTCATTTACTACAACAATGTCTCCTACACTAATAGACATTTGACTGGAATTGGCGATATTGCGGTGAGAGTTTCTGAGTTTAACAAATATTCTTGTTTCCACCTTGTCCAAAAATGGCACATAACACGATTTAAATGATTAAGTCTTTTGCACATTTGGTTAGGTTCTAAAGAATTAAAATCCATATCTGACATGCCACTTATTAGCTTTTCTAATGATGATATCAGTGTTATTTCCTAATTCTTTGACGGCTTTATGAAGACAAGTTTTAAAGTTGTTCTTGGCGCGTATTCTTCTAGGTGTATTTTCTCTGATGATATTCTGTGTGATGTGGATGAATTCTTCAAGTGGTTGGCATCGGGTGGGCGGAGGAGTCCATCCGGATGGTTTGCCGAATGGACGAGGTACATAATTGGCGCTGTTATGTTGATTCCTATGAAAGTGATTAAGTCGAACTGTTCTTTAAAAAATTTTACAATCAGTTATAATATTTAATTCTTCAGTGGTAGATGGTGTTGGTATAAAATTAAGGCCAAAGGATAATGCTTCAAGGTGATTTTTTGATAGTTGGAAATCTGATAAGTTGATGATAAGTGATCATTTCATTCTCATTAAGATTTCTTTTCAGGAATTTTCTTGGCATTTCTGGGTCTTCTTTTGAATTCTTCAATGGCGTTAGTTATAATGGAAAATAGGAGTTCTTTATTCTCCTCACTGGCGTCAATTTTTTGGATTTCTTCCGTAACTTCTTCTAACTCTTTTTCGATGGTGGTTTTGTGATTATTCCAATAATCTAAGCGGATGACTGTCAAATCTTTACCGAAATTTTGATGAGCCGCTTCCCAACGAATTTGGAAGCGACTAGGAAAGTCTGGAGTTTGAGGCAAGGTTTTGTTCTGATTGAGTCCTTTGGGTACGAACTGTTTTTCTATAGAAAGGCTCAAAAATGAGATATGATTCTCACATTTAAGTAGATTAAACTTAAGTTTTCTGAAGACCCGTAGGTACGGGACCAGGTTGTCGGGAAGTTTCTTGCTATTAGTGAAAGTAGTGGAGAAAAACGTATCTGGATCAATCTCGTTTCTTCGACTTGGATTCTCATTAATTAATTATAAATAAACCATACCTGAGATGGAAATGAAGATTGATCTCCATCAACATACTATCAACAGATAAATCCAATTTAGATACTGCAGCCTTAACCACTAAATTAGCTAAATGTCAAATACAACCAAGGTCCACCACTGTTGGTTAGTTTTCTTTTATTCAGGAGAGTACAGATTTTTTTCCCATTCATGACATTAGCATTATCACTGCAGTAAGCCACCAAATTCTCCCACTTTAAACCATGATCCCTGAAAAAACAAACAATTTAATCTTATGAATCAAACTAAATCAATTACATTAGAAAGGTTAGTGTTTAACAGAACAGTAGTTTTGTTCTGATTGTTACATAAATTGTTCAAATGGCATTTAATAATTGAACTGTATTGTATTCCATAGAATTGTGACCAGAATATTGTTATTTCACAAATTAAGGAGAACTAATATAAAAAGAAATTTACTTGAAACTTTTATCAATAGTATTACTATTAAACAGGTGCTCTGAGGTTGATAAAATGCACATTGGCATGTCCAAAAATTTAGTTACTGCCTTTTCCTGGGTATAATCTAGGCATCTTACAAGAAGAGCCATATTCTTGTCATGTCCTCTGTCATTAGATTCATCCAGCAATAAACTGAATGAATTGTAACACAGTTCCTTCACTTCATTTATGAAGTGTGGTGCAAGGGCACCTTTAACAATCATGGTGGTTTTTGTTTTTCCACCTTTCTTACCGGAAAAGATACATTCCACAGTTGAATAGTTTTGGCAGGAAAACTGAAGACCTCTTTGTTTGGAAATGCGGTAGGAATCTGTTACCGTGTAGTAGAGCGGTATACAGGTCCATTTTGCGGCACTGCAGTGAGTGAATCTGATTTAGGGGGACTTTGCAGTCATCTTATAATAGTATTAATAGCACCATCTCTCTTTTGGTCATATCGTAAATGTTTTACATACATCATGAAGTCCACTACCAGAATCTTCAGCTCTCCGAAATCAATAAGTGTATGAAAATATTCTGGATGTTGCACATTCAGTTGTGCATCATTCAATGTTATAAACTGCTGAACATTATCAAAATTCATAGACCGAAGTTAGTTATGAATCTGTCCACGGTCAGCGTTGCCAAAGACTTTCATTCACTCTTTTTGGCGTGAATCTTTGCAGACTGGCCTTATAGAATGTGGAAGCCTGTCTCTTTTAATTGTTTTGCTTTCCAAACATAGTCTCCTCTTTGTCACTCTTTCTCTTGTTCTGGTCTTGACTCTTTGCTATTTCTTCATCTGATTTCTCTAATTTCTCTTTATTATGTATTGGGGGGGTTGGATGGCTGAATGGTTAGCGTGCACGCGCTGTATCATAAAGTCTGTCATTGAGTCGACTGGCGTGGTTTCGAATCCCCGGTTGTACGTGACAACCTGTCCAACCTCGTGGGTTTTCTCCGGGTCCTCCGGTTTCCTCCCACTGCTAAAGACCCCTGGACGTTAAACCCCATTTCTCTCTCTCTCTCTCATTATGTATTGGAAGGGGCGTACATAACGATTTTGTTTGGGGGGGGGTCTTTAGCCAAAATGCGACCGACTGAAGCCCATACCCCTAGTACGAGTGACGCAGTCAGGAGCCGAGCACCACAGGTGCGAGTTTTGTAGGGGCCATGTGCAGTGGCGGATCTAGATAGGGGTGGGGGGGGTCCAAATCTAGGGCGCCACCCCAGCCACAATCCCACCCCACAATGAATGTCAACAAAATACAGGCTATAACATTAAGCGTCCCGGTAGAACATAGATGGTATTGTATAATTATATAGTTGTTTGCCGATCGTTGTCTCGCTGGAAAGCAGTTTTATTTAAGTTGACATAAAGTTTATGTCATATATGATTGTGCCTATAACACTGAGTAACCTGAGAAAAATTGAGTCAATATCTTGGCATTTGAGGTCATTGCTGGGAGAAATTCTTGTGGCTGAGAGGACCAGAAATGTGAGTCAATTAGACAAAATCTCGAGATCTGCCCTTGTCAATTCCGCCTGTTTTGCAAGAGTTGACAGAACTTTTGTATAGTCTGACGCCTCACGACCCACACAACAGTGCCAGTGGTACTACTAACATAACTAGGCAGTTCAGTATAACCGTGAATATGAAAGTGCTGAGACAACAGAAACAGAGTAGTGGAAGAATGATGTTATAATGGAATTGAGCGCCGCAGGCTCGAAAAAATTTCAGATGTGTAACCGAGCTTTTAATTTTTGAGACTGGGCCTGACAAGTTTAGTCAATGTCATGGCAAATGGATCCAAATTCTCGTTAACGAGAGGATAGGAAATGGGACAGAATCTTGAGGCCTATCTGTCAATGTCGCCTGTTTTGTGAGAGTAGAACTAACAATTCTACAGTCTTTTGACCCACGACTCACTCACTAGTGGTACTACTAACTGGGCGATTCACTGTAACTGTGAATATGATAGTGATGAGATAGTATAAGACAGAAAGGAGTTGAAGAATGATGGCATAATGGAATTGAGCGCCGATATGTAACTGAGCTTTTAATTTTGAGGACTGGGTCTGAGGGCACTTTACCTCAATGGGGCGCTTACTTGGTCTCTGAAATGCCCTGGACTTTGGGGAGAGATTTTGCAGAATTCTGATGGTCAGAAAACACCCCATTAATTCATTTAGTCTGAGACCGACTGCGGTGAGCACTTTTTTTTGAGACCGACTATTTTTTTGCCATGGGATGAAAAACATTTTTTTCAAACATGATAAGTCGACAAGGTTATTTTATACTAAAGTTTTGCGTGAGTAGAGTGACGTGTGCAGTGAGCACTTATTTTGATACCGACTGCTCATATCTTACGACCGACTGCACTGATTTTGAGACCGACTAGTATTTGAGATCTATTCTTGCATTATTTGTTTACCTCATTAATTCATTAAGACGGCAATGCATAATTTTGAGACCGACTGCAGTGACTGCACTTATTTTGAGACCGACTATTTTTCTCCCTGGGGGAAATTTTGTTCTTAAGACTAACATACTCACAAGAGTTTATTATGGTCTGGATAAGTTAATTAATGTCGAATTGATAATTTAGATAACATTTCAGGCCTAAAGAAAGACTTGTAATAAGCAGATTTTGCTCTTGCATAATGTATGTTTAAGGTTTGGAAAAGTTATCCTGTAAATCAGTAGTATTGTCAAACTTAACAACCCTAAAAACAACAGTGATAGATGGTAGATAACCATGATATACTGAAATATATACATGTTAAAATTACAAGATGCCACTGGTTTTAGAAGAGAATAAGATATAGAATTTATTTCAATACAAATTTATGTCAACACCACTTCCCTTCATTTCATTTATCTTACTGTAATGCATCAACGTTTGTTTTGAATGATTTAATCTTTATTTGTTTTCTCTTTTATGTTGACCTCAAAAAATATCATAGCAAGTTGGTTTGTTTTATAACCAGGGCCGGTGCTAGCTTTAGGGCAACGTGGCTGCCACCCCAGGAGGAGACTTCATAGAGGCGGAGTACTGATATTTTAGGTCAGAGAAAGATTTTCTGGAACATTTATAGAACTATATCAATTTTATGGAGGAAGGGTAGGGGGGGGGGGGGGGGGGGGAAATCAAATGATTTAATGCATGCATGTGACTAGACACTAGACTTGTGTGAGAATCAGTTAATGTTGAATTGTGTATTTTATTGTAAAATTAAGCAGATTTACTGAGATAGTTTTGAAGAGAACTTGTTTATTTTAAATGTTAAAATATGTATTAAAACAATGTTTTTAATTATACTTGAAATAAAGATTTTGTGTTAGAATATGTAATGAACTTTGTGTTCTTTATTTATGTTATATCATACAACTATTCATTGATTCCTGGTAGTTATATGACCCTTTTACTAATAAAGGAGAACACCTGCAAAATTTATCAATAAAATGAACTAAACTTATTTTAAGGCCTCTGTATAGTTGAGAATGTGCTTAGGAATTGCAAAGCCCAGTTTGGACTACCCAGTATTTTTGTTGACCCACCAGGACTTCAAGTTATTCAAATGTACCAGGAACTTGATTGGTTACATATTTATTCTTCTTGCCTTCTGCCAACTCCACAATACCAAAATTCTTATTTTGAAAGTTGGAGCTGCTACCATATAGTGGGACAACATTGGGTAAAATAATTTTAAACCGATCCGGATTCATTACTACTGCTCTTAACATCAGTTGTTACTGGTGAACACATATTATGTTCAAATAACTAACATACATGGATTGTGGAGTTATGTCAGGAACTTTATATAAATAATTGTGGAGGTAGAACTTTCACAACCTTGTTGTTACTTGTCATTGATATTGTGTAATAACAGTTCTTATCTGTCAGTTTTCATGGTACCTCAACCTTTACCCTACTTGAAAAATTACTTTGACTCCTCTGAATATTATCAACCAACTCAAGACATTTGCCTTTTGTTGCAAAACAACCCAGTGTCTGACCTTGGGATAATAGCCTAGACTGTCCACAGTCCTTATCCAATTCTATATCTGTTAAACAAACTGAAATTTGCTGAAAATTTCAGTCAAATTGATTCACACTGAACAAAGATTTTAACGATTGAATTTTAGGCCTAGCCTCAATCACCATTACTAAAGTCGGTATGATAAAAAACATACTCTCGATTATCCATTTTTTTATTTAATCATAAATGAGGGTTGAGCAGCAGATCGAATTCCAATCCAGTAAATATCGCAAGCTAGTGATGACATCGAGAGCTAATTAATTAATGTCTAATTAATAATTTAGATAATATTTCAGGTCTAAGGAAAGACCTGCAATAGGCAGATTTAGCTCTTACATAATGTATGTTTAAGACAAGACGAATGGTGTCAAAAAGTAAACAAACAAGGATACATTTATACTAGTCAACAGAATCTCTCGGTAGCTATAAACTAGTGCACTGGATCTATCTTTTAAAACTGCCTAAACCTAAAACTTCTTTTTTTTAAAAAATGTGTTTAATTTTGTATTCTCATTCAGATTTGGTCAAAATGCCCACAAATGAAATGGGGTTTAATGTCCTACTTTTCCAAGCTGTGGTTTTTCATATCATCAGGTTGACTAGAAACTGTTCCTTGCCAGGTCCACCGTACATCACCACTGACAAACGGAAATCACATAGGAAAATCCTAGCAAAGATTCCACCCTCCCCCTCTTTGCTTAAACCCTATGAATGTGATGGAAGCTAGAGTTTTTAACAGATTTATTTCAAGTTTAATGTGTAGCATTGAGGTCATCAGAGGACGAACTCTATCGGTATTCAGCAACCTGAGTTTAATTGATGAAAACCTTGTGAAAATGACAGAAGCTGCAATTTTTAACACATTTATTTCAAACTCGATGTGTGGCATTACGGTTACTATAGGACGAACCATATCAATATTCAGCAATCTGTGACATTCCATTCCGAAGTTACCCCCCCTTTTTCAAAAACCTTGGGAACTTAATAGAGGCTATAGTTTTAACAAAAAAAATTTAACAGCCCTATTAATTTTCCCTATTGTGTGTCCATCTGTTGCAAAATGAGAGCGTATCTTGTATGGCAACCGCTTGTTAGCAGATCTCCCAAATTTGGTGTGAAGCATCGTGCATGAGTGGACAAACCCTGTTGATATTCAGCGTTATGCAACCTCTTGTTCCGTAGTTAACTCCCTTTGCCCACAACCTTCTGAATTCAAGAGGTTCCAGTTTTTAGCAGATAGAATATGAGCCCTATCGATTTTCCCAGTTTTCCATCCACATCTTGCAAGATGTGGGCATATCTTGCATGGCAACCGCTTGTTTCAATTTATCAGGTGATCTTTAATGTTCTGTCATCAATGGTAAAAATGAGACTTCAATGTTTTATCCAATCTGAATGACTAGACGTTTTTCCTTTCCAGGCCATCAATCCTGCACCATTGACAAGTGCAGTCCAGGCTTAAAAATCTTGAGGAACTTTCTCAGTCCAGCCTTAAAAAAATCTTGAGGAACTTTCTCTAGTTAGCCACTTAGGCAACTGTGACCTGACCCTACTCCATAAATAAAACAAGATATAATATAGTGTCTGTACATTATTTATTTGATGTTGAATTATATATATAATAACATGTGAATATAAGGGAGGTTTGATGCCATTCTTAAAACTCTTTCAGATTAAACATGTACATTGTGATTGACATGAAATAAACACTTGTTGCCATGACATCATAAAGTCTGGTTGCCATGACATTATTTAATAACTGCTATAAACTAAAGTATATATATAGGTAACTAGAGCAACAAATACAAGTCATGTACAAAAACATAATAAAATTTAACACACTTAGAATAATATGAATAATGTAATCTTTTACATATATAAACAATTGTAATATAGCCAAAAAAATTGTGACTGACGCTAGCACTCTTTTACTGACTTTGATTACATTTCAGAATTCAAAAATTCAAATTGTGACATGCAAACTTCAAATTCCACATAGTCCATGCAAAATCAGAATTCAAAATTTACATTGTACATACAAAATCAAAATTCAAATTGTGATATGCAAAATCAGAATTTAAAATCCAAATTGTGACATGCATAATGTTTCAAATACAAAACAAAGTTTTTGAACAAAAATTTAAACATTAAAAAAATGTAGGAGGAGAAAAAAAGAAATACCCTGATTTTTTGTTGAACAAATTTTGATATGACACTTTTATACAAAGGTTATACATGTAATATTTATTTGAAAATTCTTTGTTTTGGGAGTTTCATATCAATGTAAATATTTAACGTACTATTTTGCTGCATATACAGTACAAACATAAATCCAAATTTAAAGAGATTGACAAAATATTATTTACATAAATATATAATAATTAAGGAGAATATTGTTAGCTAATGACCTAAATTAAATTAGTACAAATCTCGAAAATAAGAGACTAGAAAAATAATATAACATGAAACAGCTTAAAGTTTTCTCTCACTAATCATCAAATTTATTAATTAATTTCTTTTTAACTATTAAATATTTTTAGTATTGATGATACATGCACAATAAACATCATTTAAAATATAATTTTCTTTTGTTATTTTTCTTGCTCGAAATTTTGGAATGGACTTTGATTTTAATTCTTCAAGAAAAAGATACAAAAAAATATAACCATTAGATTAATACCACGCCATTTATTTTTAAAATAATAAGAATAGTTAATTAAATATCCATTGAAAAATGGAAGTTAATAGAAGCTTTTGATTATTACAAATGGTTGTTAATAAAATTTTAATTTCGAGATCTTACTTAAAACATTTCTTTTAATTATTGCTCAAAATAGCTGCTGAAATTTAGGTAAACATATCAAGGCAATAAATATAAAAGCGAAAAAAATTATTAAAATAAAATATAATTATGAGACATTTACATAGATTTTTAATGATTTTAATATAATTTTATATACAGTCTAATTATTAAAGTACAGAATATAAAATTAATTTTCGGTGGGTTGCGTTCGATTTGTAAACTAAACTAAATAAGCTTTATCGAAATAACATAACATGTATGAGAAGAGAAAATAAATATTTTTTAAACAAACTATAAAACAGTCTGCATTAGGAAATAAAAATATATTCCAAGAAACAAATCTGAAAAACTAATAACGTATACCGTTTCTTTTTCTTGAAAACATATACATGTAGTCTTAAAAAGGGTTCTTTTTTTCATTTCTGATCATTTATTTTTTAGCTGTATCCTTTCCTTTCTTGATGCAGAATATTTCATAGAGATACAACAAACAGTTGAATGTCACTAAATAAGCTTAAAAATACATGACATTCTGTTTAAAAAAAATATTCATAATCCTTGTTTTACCATAACCCTTTTAAAACCCCCACAGACCTGCTAGCACATGTATTGTTTCATGCTCCGATTCTTCATTATTTTACTTGGAATTACGGCTATAATAGGAAACAAGAAATTGGACCTTACAAGAACATTAAACTAAAACAAACACATGATTTGATGAAAAGTTATGATCAACACACTTATGGATATTTCTATTTTGTATAAAAATACAAATGTCAATGTACATTATGAGTTTAAAATACTATATTAATATACAGGTGTGTACACAAAAAACATCTAAAAATTCAAATTCCACTGATCCAGCTTTAAAAATTGGATGTCAATAAAAATTCAACAAAATAGATTTGTAACAATATAAAACATGTTCCATTTTAATTGTTTGCTTTGATTTGATTTTAACTTATAAGTACAAAATCAATATTATACTTTTATCTTCAAATTTACAATTTGATCAGAATTTCATACCAGTAATTCAATTTGATGATTTAGAACTTCCAATTTTGTACTTCTAATCTGATGATTCAGAAAAGTGTACCTCAATTTTGATCATTTAAAAATCTGAACGTCAACTTGATCATTTAATAAAATTTGTTCTTCAATTTGACCCTTGTTAATTCTGAGTATTTAATGATAATATCGGTTCTTTGTTTTGTTAAAAATAATTTGTTTGTGTAAAATTCTGGATTGTGGAAAACATTAAGCAATGATTAATTTATGGCAGCTTAGAGCTAAAAACATAACCCTTGGTAAAATACATGTTAAAGCACACTATGTGAAAACAAATGGACCCATCTGCAAACTGTTTGCAGTTAATTTAAAAAATATGAACATTTAGTAAAGTATTTGTCCTTTTTATAAATGATTTTTCCACAAAAGATGTGGATTTCTCTGTTAAACACACACCTGTGTCCACGTATATTTCACATTGTCAATCAAATCAAATGCAGCACGTCTCTTCATCTTATTGTCCAAATTTTGGCATAGATGAAAATATATTGAATTATCTATTTATAATAATATAGTGTCACATTTGCACCAGGTAAAAATATATATTTTTATTTATTTATAACAAAAAACGATCCACTGGTTGATCTAGTCTAGATATAAACAGCGTCCGTACACCTCTTACATTTACAATGTTTTCCATGTGTTGTCACTGGTTGTACCGGACTCGAAATTCCTTCTGACCAATCAGAATGAGCTGAATGTGGCGAAGAGCTGGACCATTGCCCCGGTGAGTCGGGGGAGGGGGTGGGGAAATGATCAGGAAGGAAAGTGGACATGGGATGTTGGGGAGTGGAGTCACTATGATGAGAGGGAGGGGTTGGGTATTGGTCCAGGCTATATGGATGAATTTGTTGTTGCTGATGATTGGACATCTTCTGATGTGTGTATATGGTGGGGGTGATTGGAATGCTGTCACCGTTCATCTGGTAAAGATTCATGTTGTTCGGCTGTACACGATTTTGATTGAGATGAGCGTGTTGCTGCATGGCCTGAATATGAGTGGGTGATGTCGGAAGATTTTTAGGTTTAATGGGGGATGGTATGCCGTGATTTAACGGACTGCCGCTCGATTGAGATGTTGGTGTCGTACTAGTGGGCGGTATCGACTGCTGTTGATGTTGTTGATTATAATGTTGATTATCCAACCAATGCGGAAACACATTATTTTCAATATATTGTCCCTTTTTATAATGTTCTGCCATTGCAGTCATTTCATTCACTTGTTGTGCGTGTAAATTAGCTTGCTGCATTCCCACCATGGTGTTCTCGTACCGCGGTGGTGTCAAATCGTAGCCCTGTGGCGACTGGGATTCTAAAGATGTAACAGGGGAAATAACTCCCAAAGATGAAGGATCGATCATTCCTGCTACATTACTGTTGTCTGTCTGAGCAGTCTTTTTCTTGCGCGGTTTGGATTTATTAGGTTTCCCATTGATGGGAGAGTTAGGTCCATGATCCTTTGCAACACCTTTATTGTTTTTACGCGATTTGGGTTTTTGCTTCATATGAATATGTGACATAAAAGGCAGATCATTCGGTGAAGGCACTCCGCCATTCGCAAGATGCATTCCCGCTGGACTATTCACTTTATATGTATCCAATAATTGAACAATGTCATGATGACGTCGTTCTTCGGCCACTTCACGTGGCAAGCACTCTAGATGATCCGTGATTTCACGGTTTGCATAATGATCCAATAAAGCTTTAGCAGCTTCAAAACTTCCCTCTCTTGCTGCCAGGAATAAGGGTGTTTCATCCTGAAAGTAAACAGAAAATACGATAAATAATAATTCTTTACACAATATGTTTTTAAAAACAGTAAACTGAGTCCTGTCATTGACGATTTTTTATATTTTATTTATTATCTAGTATATGTTTACAGATTATGAAGTGTAGCTACTATAGTATGGTACATGGTTCTGTTTATAAACCGTGGCTAGATGGGTAAGAGGCTGGCTCGCTAGACTGGAGGTCGGGTGTTCAATCCCTGCAGTGGCCGAGTAAATTCTTCAGGATTTTCCGATGTGGTTTCCCCTTGTCAGTGGTGCAGGACAGAGGGCCTGACAAGGACAGCTGTCTAGTCGTTCGGATGCAACAAAAAACCGAGGTCCTGAGTATACATTGGCATGCACGTAAAAGATCACTTGGCATTTGGAATTCGATATAAGAGTAGGCCAAAGTGCCGCTGCCCAGGCAAAATTTCCCTCATAGCACACTATATGGTGTATGCCCGTTTTCATTAGCCCAGTTGGAGCAGAACAGTCGGATGTCAAACCCCATTTCATTTCAATTTTCTCATGTACAGCAAACTTCTTCAGTCATTAATTAAAGACGAAACTATCTGTAACTAGAATTGCAGAGTATGGTTGTAACTATTTTTATTTGAGAAACTCATTACATTGAGCTTTCAACTTAAATAATGAGTGTCATGCACTAGGTAGAGAATGCTGAGAAAGAGTCATTTGGGCAGTTCACTTCGCATATAGACCTTTATCATCACAGCAGATATTTTGTGAGAATTATTGTTGTATAAAATTATCTCACCTTATTGTCCTGTGCATCTCTGTTAGCATTATGTTGTAGAAGAGATATGGTAGCTTCTACATTATTTACAGCAGCTGCCCAATGTAACGCTGTCTTACCTTAAAAATATACAAGATCAATTAACAGTCATTACCTAAATGATGTACATATATTTCAATCAAAATTTACAATTATATTTTTTTTTCAATAAGGCTTATACATCCTTTATTATTGTAAACCGCCCAAATCAGATAACTGATGGCAGTCTTGTAATGAGGGGTGATTTTCTGTGTAACTAATAGCAGTATTGTAATGAGGGGTGATTCTCTGTAACTGATAACAATCTTGTAATGAGGGGCGATTCTCTTTAACTGATAGCAGTCTTGTTATGAGGGGCGATTCTCTGTAAATCAGGTAACTGATAGCAGTTTTGTAATGAGGGGTGATTCTCTGTAACTGATAGCAGTCTTGTAATGAGGGGTGATTCTCTGTAACTGATAGCAGTCTTATAATGAGGGGTGATTCTATGTCAGCAAGCTGAACATTAAAAGTTTACAACCACGTGATAGATGTGGACTTTAATTACAATATCCTCAGTATAATTCTTTGTTCCCATAATATGAATAATGATAGATATGCACATAAATTACAGTATCTTCAGTATAATCCTCTGTTCCCATAATATGAATAATTTTTCTATGTGTGTAAATTGTGTCAATTATTACAGAACTTACCATTATTATCAAAAGCGTTGATATCAGCATCAGCGTTAATTAAATCATCAACCATATCTTCAATAGCTAATCGAGCTGCTAATATTAATGGTGTCGTACCATCATGCATTCTAGCATTTAGATTGGTAGAGCGATTTCTCAGTAAAATCTGAAAGTATAAATAAAATAAATAAATAAATCTAAAAAGGTGGATTTATATTTACATATCTCCTTTTTTAATTCAGAATTCAACATTGTAGACCATAAATTATTATTATTGACTGTTCTATACAACATTATTTGAGTATAAGCTACAACACTACATTAATAGAGTTAAAAGACTGGACAAAAGCAGTTGATCTGTGTGACTATTATTATTGGATCATAAATATAAAGATAGTACATAGTCCCTGCTAAACACCCGACTTTGAGAGTTGAATACATGACATGTGGGTCGTATGACACTATAACCTAATGTAAGCAGTGGAGGCGCCAGCCGTCTGTGATTGGAGGGGCAAAGCTGGGGCAAAGTCCAAGGTTAAGGGGGCAAAGGCACAAGCTTTAACTAGGGGTAGGGGGCCTCCCCTAGAAAATTTTGAAAAACAGGTTGCCGGAAATTCTAGCCTGGCAGTATTTCAGGCACTGATCGATGAGGTAAAGTGTCAAACGAACGGATTTGCGAATCACAACGAAGCCCACTCAAGAGTGTCAAAGTAGGGAGTCCTCCCCCAGAAAATTTTGAAAAATAGACTGCCGGAAATGCTGTCTTACAGTATTCTGTCAGGCACCGATCGTCGAGATAAATAGATCTGACCAGATACCGTCCGTCGCCTGATCACTAGTTTACCCGACTAGAGAACAAAATGTCAAACAAACAGACTTGCGAACCTCAACAAATTCCCCTTGTGAGCGCCAAAGTAGCGAGTCCATTGGGGACCTCGCCAAGAAAATTTTTAAAAATAGACTGTCGGAAATGCTTTACAACATGCAAGTTTATGACTGAGTGGGGATGTGGGATTTATTCACCGTAGAAGATACTGATTACCGAAACGTATCACAAATACTTTTTTTTATTTTCTAAAATTATTGGGGGGGGGGGGGCAAACAGAGGGCAGAACCCTTAAACTTAAACTCATGCATTAAACATTTTATTCTACCTTTTCTGATGTACACCTACTTCTGTTCAGTAGGGACTATACTATATTCACAACATTATTTCGAAGCACTTGACAAATATATAATTACAATAATAATCATCGAATGGGGAATGAATAATTGGTCTAGAACAGAAGTCACAAATAAGAACTTACTTGGAAAACACCCTGGGCATCAGCAGCTACAGCAGTATGCAGTGGTGTTCGTCCAGTACTGTCTATAGCATTACAATCAGCACCAGCGTCTAATAAAACCTTAGCAGCATCAGCTCTAGCATAGCGAGCAGCTAGATGTAAAGATGTTTCTCCTGCAAAAAAAAAATAAAAAAAAAAAAAATTAGTGAATAGTTACAAATTGCAATAATCGTGTTAACAATTAAAATGTAGCCATCTCTGACCAACTAATTATAGAATTAATTGCTTGCATTTAATCAATATTGTGATATGTTTTAATCTGTGCAAGCCCATATTTTTTCCTAAAGCTTTTAAATCACCTTTCACAAATCGTCTCGTAACTCTTCCCTTCAAATATAAAACAATGATATTACCTGTTCTGTCAGTCTGTGAGTTAATGGATGCTCCCTGTACAAGTAAGTTTGTTATGACGTCTGCTGATCTGTCTTCACCTTCGTTACCCTCAGCAGATCCACTTTCATCATCATAGCTTGTGTCCTGTCCTGTTCCACCACGGAATGATGCCAACATTAATGGAGTAAATCCACCTGGAAGAAAAACAAAATATAACACACATTATTTTATAGGCTATAAAACAACATCATTGATAAGTTTAAGTTACTTTAGGGTTTTTTTTAGGATGGATTTTCAGTAAAGGGACCACAGTAGAGACATTTTTTTGGGTAACAATATAAGTAAACGGCAGTAAAACTTACCTGGGCCTCTAGCATTGACGTCCTTTGTATCAATGGGGTCATCACCTTGAGGTGGGGTCAAGGTTAAAATGGAGGGATTTGTGACATTAGCTGCCTCGAGATGTTTCTGCGTCCATTGTCTTGAGTCCGGAATTTCAAAATTAACCAATGACTGATCACTTGAATCTTGTTCTTCCATCTAAAACAGAAGTATAAACATCACAATAAAAATAGCAAACTTGATAAACCATTTAGTAAGTTAAATGGGGTTTAACGTCCTACTACAACTGAGATAATGAATACGGGCATATGCCATACAGTGCGCTAGGAGGGAAATTTAGCCCAGACAGCAGTTCTAAGGCCTACTCTTATATCGAATTCCAACTGCCAAGGGATCTTAAACGTGCATGCCAATGTGTACATGGGACCTCATTTTTTTGGTACAATTCCGGGTGTCAAGGCTAGCAAACCTATAGTATCCAACTAGAAAATACTCAATATAATTACCCTTTGTCTTTTGGCTTTAGGATGTTCATCTTCTTCTTCAGCCCATTCATTGGTTCTATTGTCATTGTCATCCATTTTGTCTAACTGAGAGTGATGGGAACCTTTTTGTACATCTCTGAAACAGAAAAATATCAAAACTGAAACTTCATACAAATATAAATTGGGACCAAATCATACAGCCAATGATTTATGCTTGACAATTCAAGTTTACATTCTTACAAGAGACAAATATTTCCGAAATATCAATTAGTTTACAAAGTATGTAACATTTACTTACTTCATCTCTTCACCATCAGGACCACGTCGGTTTTTAACACCAGGTTTGTCAGATCCACGTTTAGTAAAAAATCCCTCTGGAAACCATGTGATAGCTCTTTCCCTTTTTCGTGATATGACGATAATTATAGCCAATGTTATTAAAAGTATAGCACCACAGGCCACAACAATATAGACAAAAGCCATAGGTGTCCCAGTTGCAGGGTCCGTTCCAGCACCTAAACCTATAATAAAATACATTCAATTTAATATATAAACCATGAATGCATGGCTTTGACAATGCTGTTCAATGAAATTATCTTGATCTGATAGTTATCTAATAGCTTACAATGTCTGTGAGCTTGTCTCACCAACGTCTGTGTGTTTGTCTCACCAACGTCTGTGTGTTTGTCTTACTACTTTTTCTGTTTATTAGTACAGTATGTTGTTGATTTAGGATCTAGCAAATTTTGTTTTTTATGGTTGAAACAATATTTACTATAATTGACTATCAATTAGCAACAAGGAATATTTGGAGTGATGTACGCATATAATGCTTACTTTCTATTTTGCCGACCGGAAGGCCAAGATCGGCATCATTACGTTGTAATGCAGCTGCCACAAACTGAGCGGCTGCATCAGTATTGTCAAAACATTCATCTGTTTGGTATTTATAACAACCTCTATTATCAATCTCTAAAAAGACTTTAGTCCTGAAATCAGATGAAAATAAACGTATATCAGCTATTGTTAATAAACATTGGGTGTCTATAGACTATACTGTAGAAACGAAAAAAAATGTTTAGCACCCCTCTAATCGTTTTCAGAATAGCTACTAAATATTTTCATGAAATATATGAAGAATTATGGTTGACCTAAATCTATTTTTCAGGAATATTCTTTTGACCCATAGCGAGATCTCTATATACAACATGAAAAAATAATTTTTTTAAGTCTAAAGCCCTGTTGTTTCATATTCAACAAAACGATGCTACAAGAAAAGAATCCTGCCAACCTCCTGCCACAAAGAATCTTGGAAAATTCATAAGCATTTTGTGAAACAGAGTTTCAAATGTCCTTACCCTGATAATAAAGCTCTCTTATCGCGGCTATTAGTCTCCGAATTCCATCCAATTACAGACTGTGCAAATCTTTTTACTCTAACAATGTTACTCAGGCCATCATTTTCTGTTGTCTGTTGCCAAGGATAAATCATAGGGGAGCCATTTTTATCATTCATCACTCGCACCACAGCTCGCAACAAATGGCCCAATTTTCGTAGAAATTCCTTCGATGTATTTTTGAAGACTTCAGGTTCCACCAATACTATGATGACCAAAGTACCTTTAGCAAGTTTCTGAGGTGAAGTGTCACAATCTAAACCATCATATTCACATTCTTTGGTATCGCAACCCTTATCACAATGGCCGTTAGCGTAATACTTCTTACAGTATGTGTCATAAATGGGGTTACATTCTTTCATCTCTTGTTGACAGTCAAAACCATCGTACAAACACTCTTGATTATTACACTGGGGATTGCAAATTCCATCTTTGAAGACCTTCCAACAAAAGACACCATTATTTATGGCAGTACAGTTCTTCCAGGGCTTTGTTCCATATGAACACTCCAATTGGTCATAATCACATGCATGCATGTTACATTCACTCTGTAAAAAAAACAAGAGGTTTAAAATATTTTATTTTTCAGTATTAAAATTGCAGAAGTGCCTTTTTCAAAATACTTATTAGAAGAATTATAAAATCAAACAAATGGATAAATTAAATGTTTGCAACATTTTCAAGTTATTAGATGAACCAAATTAGGAGTAACACATAATTATATTCTCTATTGCTATTGAGAGAATTTAATTCATTTTGAAAAATCATTTCAAGTATATCAATTTAACCTTTTGGAACTCGAAACTACTGAGTCACATGAATAGCTGTGAGCTATTTAAAGACTGTATAATACTTCTGTGACTATTGGACACTTACATCACATATTCCGTTGTTCGCTTTACTAGGACAATTATACTGTTGACAGAGTTGTGTATCGACATCTGTGCCTGGTAGTTTTTGTGTGACCGGTCTTCCGATACCACTGACAGCATTCTGGTCATACTGTTCACAATGTATACCAGTATAATATCTTGGACAGTAACATTCATAATATCCTGTGAATATAAATAAAATTAGTATAGGTTAATTACAAAGTATACAACTTTAGAATTGCTTTTTTACAGAAACATAATTGTTCTTGGGGGATCAGAAATCATTGAAAGAATAAACGCCAGAACACCTTTACCATATCAAATATTATTCGTTTTTCATATTTTCAATGCCTCCACACTATATAGATCAGATCAGATTGTATGGGAGATCATTTTATAATTATGCGTCATTAGGCGTCACTTTGTCTGAATGACGTTAACTATTTATATTTAACTTTTGTGTTTCCCATAATTGAGTGCATTGTTAGGGTAAACCTTGGCTAATCCCCCACATCAAACAGCAGAATATTTAAGAAGTTATCAAAATTCTACTAAGTGAAGACAAATAAAATGAAATTTTGAACTATACAAAACAAAACGAAATAGGATCGATGTTAATGAGATTAACCTGTAAATCTATAATCCTTTACCTATTTTATCATGACAAGTTCCATCATTTTTACATGGAGATGATTGACATTCATCAGCAAAATCTATTTCACAAGTAACTCCACTAGCGCCAGCCGGACATAAACAGATATAACCCTGTTGTTGTGGACGGCAGGTACCACCATTTTTACACGGTGAACTTTCACAATCAGCTGAACGAAACTCACAATAATCACCCGAAAAACCCTGAAAATGATAGGTCATTGAAATATAAAAATAATAATTCATTTGTCGACTACAAAAGCCACAAACAGTTGACCTACACAGAAGTACAATCACAAAGAGCAGAACAATGTTAGCAAAATACTTGGTGATCACATGGCACTACTCAAGAAAAGAGATAATACAGCGAACAAAGCTACTGTTGTTGTTTGTTAGTTGTATTTTACGTCCGCTTCCACCGAGGTGATATCGCAGACAAAACAAAGCTGCTTCTTTCATATTTCTTTTGGCAGCCGGTGGGGGAGGAGGGGAATGCGTGGCTGAGTGATCTAACACATGCCCTTCAGATCATAAGGTCTGTTATTTTGATTCCAAAACATTTTGATATTGCTTAATGATTTTAAAAAGGGAATAACTTTACTATTTATACAGAAAGTAAATTTACCTGTAGACATTGACATTTGGGACCATTTAACGTGTTGGTACAGGAACCACCATGTTTGCACGGACTTTCTTCGCATTGGATGCGATTCTCACAATGATTTCCTGTAGAATATAATAAAATATTACAATATGCTTATCACAATATTCAAAAACTTTTTCTTTGTTTTGTTTTTTTTTTTTGTTGTTTTTTTTTTTTTTTTTTATAACTATTTTGAGACAATTCTGTAGCCATTTATGACAATAAATTTAACAAGATGAGTTCTTTTGAAAGGCTTTTTTCTGATCCTTAATCAAAAATATTGAAGTAGACAAAATAAACTCACCACTCCAGCCTGGTTTACATTGACATCTATAATTATTATCAAGTTGTACACAGTCCTGAGTTCCGAGAGGATTACAGGGGTTCGAACTGCATTCATTTACATCTCCAGCACATCGAGGACCCACAAAACCTGGAGGACATTTACATTCAAAATGGCCAATCTTGTCAACACAGGTGCCACCATGGTAACAGGCATTCTCAAAACAATCGTTTTCATTGATTTCACACAAAAATCCAAGAGTACCAAATGGACACGAACATTTGAAATCATCGATAAGATCATGACAAATTCCATTGTTAGCACATGGCTGATTGGCACAGTCGTCGATATTATATTCACAATTAGGTCCTTGGAAACCTTTCTTACACTGACAACTGTAACGATTGATTAAATCCTTACACGTGGCTCCATTTTTACATGGAGCAGACGCACATTCGTCAATATCTTGTTCACAGTAACTTCCCTCGTAGCCTTCCTGACAAATACATGTGTGCGTACTTCCCGTATTTTTACATACACCATTATGTTGACATAGTTGAGATTCTTCAATATCTAAAATACAAAAATAAATTATATATCACTTTTATGCATGTCATAGATACATTCTAATACTCACTGAAATGAAATGAAATGGGGTTTAACGTCCTACTGTTCTGCTCCTATGCTGGGCTAATGAAGACGGGCATACGCCATACAGTGTGCTATGAGGGAAATTTTGCCCGGGCATCGGCTCAATTGCCTACTCTTATATCGAATTCCAACTGCCAAGGGGTCTTTTACGTGCATTCCAATGTATATACGGGACCTTGTTTTTTCAACTCATCCAAAGGACTAGACAGCTGTCCTTGTCAGGCCCTCCGTCCTGCATCACTGACAAGGGGGAACCACGCCGGAAAATCTGGATGACCTTTCTCGGCCAATGCAGGGATCGAACACCCGACCTCCAGGCTAGCGACTTATACTCATTAATAAGGCTTATAGTTAATAGTCTTCACCATACAGACTCGCAGGTGATTATCGATAATTAACTATTACGTAGAGATATCAACAAAAGTACAAAACATTGTCTCATAGTTAACTCACTTTTCAAATAAGCTGCCCTTGCACATGGAACTCGTCTGATGTCACAAATATCTCCCGTCCAATCACTGGGACATCTACATTTGAATATGTTGGCTGACTGTTCACAAGAACCACCATTTTGACAAGGATTTTTGCTGCACCAATCGACAAAAGTCTGAAAATACATTATTTTATAACATTAAAATAAAAAAATAAATAAATATATTAAAACCTCCTCCTGCATCAGATTTTTTTTCTGTATGGCCCTAAAATGAAATACAAAATATGACTCACCTCACAACGGACACCTTCGAAACCATATGGACAGAAACAGACGTAGTTGCCATTACGATTAAAACATGTAGCTGCATTCATACATGGGTTACTGTCACATGGGTTAATGTGTGTCTGACAATTACTTCCTGTGTATCCAGCTGCGCAGACGCATGTAAATTTATTAACACCATCAATACATTGACCCTCATTCAAACAAGAACTGAAAAACAAAATCAAATAACAATCAGAAAATAGGGCTATATATTTCAGATGGATATCAATGTTAAAGATACATTATGTAAGATTTAGATAAAGAACTAGCCATTCTTGCCATAATAGTTCGAATGTAGATGATGTAAAATGAATAATTTGAAAATTTCATTCAAATTACTTGATTGCAAGCGAAGATATTAGCCTTTGAAGGTTTGACAGACGTGTGCAATAATTTCAACCACCGTACTGGTTGATCGAAGCTAAGTCTCGGTCCTCCATATTTGATTAAATCAAAGTATCACTGAACCATTCTAATCTATTTAATATCGGAGAAATCTGATGCCATCGAGAGTTGATTAAGGCCTGGATCAGTTAATTAATGTCTAATTAATACTTTAGAAAACATTTCAGGCCTAAAGAAAGACCCGCAATAGGCAGATTTAGCTCTTGCATAATGCATGTTTAATATTCGCAATATATTTATAGCTTCAAATCCCATTTTCTTTGTTTCCATATTTTATATCTTCTATAGGAATATTTATCTAATTACACCGAGTACATGTAATATCATCTTGTATTTCATTTTATTTATAACTTTTCTTCTCCAAACTCTTAATGAACATATATCTTAGGAAATCCAGATTATCAATATTAACTATAGGTGGGAATCTTGCTATAGGATGACAATATGATGACAGTCTCAAACAGAGAATTTGGGTGCATGCTGTCAGCTGTCAGATGACTAACATGCAACAACACTGTGGGTGAGGTTTGTGAAATGATCTCTAAATCCCAAGACATTAGAAACAGTAGTATTTTCAATATAATTATTTTGTCAATATTCAGATGACTGGAAAGATTGAAGGATGGAAGTGAAAACAGAATCAAACTTTTATCTGATGTTAAGCAAGCAAATAAATAGAACAAATTATTAAATAAAATATTCACCTCTGAGTGCAGTCGTTGTCATTAACTTGACAATGTGCTCCACTAAAGCCAGCTTGACATGTACAAGTGTAGGAGAAAACATAATCAGTACAGGTACCACCGTGACTACAAGGATTCGAGGCACACTCATCTATATCATTCTGACAATGATTACCTCCGAATCCATCCACACATCTACATGTATAACCTCCTATTTCATCTACACATGTACCTCCATTAATACATGGATCTAGAAAAAAAATACAACAAATGTATGACGAGACCACCACAATCTTTCTTAAGAAAGGTCAGAGGGAGCACACCTGAATCTAACATGTATTCTTCACTGATGAAGTATCAAATTGACCCATTATATCTAGAAGAATTCATGTCTAGTCATTTACTTGCACTGACATCATGGTCTTGCTTTGATGATGTAAGAACGGGACTTGAAAATTCTTTTGGTTCTAGACTTCACATACAGGAAAATTCTAATTGTAAATCCACTACTCAGACCATTGCTATTCAGCTTGTTCGAATCTTGAATACATAGCCTAACGTGAGCTGTGTTTTGTTGGGTTTTTTTTTTTATTTCAAAACTCAAATATTGTGAGTGGAGAGTTGTTCCTGACAAACTAAAATTTAATAGGTGCTCCTATTAAATTTAATTCAAATACTATACTACAATTTTTAGAAAATATTTACATCGTAATAACAATTAACTGTGCACATCAAAGACTGCAGTTTATATTTTCACTTCATGAAATTACCACTAAGATAATATATAAAATCTCAAAACTTGGAGTAATTTAAATCAAACTTACTTGGATCACAATCATCATGATTAACTTCACATTGTTTTCCCTCATAACCTCGTTGACATTTACACACGAATGATCCATTTGTATTCTGACATTGTGCTCCATTTCTACATGGTGACATAGAGGCACATTCGTCCACATCTAAATTACAAAGCTTACCTAGAAAAAAAGAAATGGAGACTTGATTACCAGAAAGTATCCAGTAAAGAATTAACCGCTCAAAGATATTAATTACGAAACACTGACCTTTTAACTTAAACTGACATTTATAAATTGAGGATTTTAATATGATGGAATATGTACATGAATTTTAAATTTTCATACCAAAAATATGCACTACAAAAGAGACTGGAATATATTGCCAAATATTTGTTAAGATTTACTTTCTAATGTCACTAATTAGAATATCTTTGCCTTTAAAAATAAATGTTAATTTTAAAAGAGACTGATTTATGGTTCAATTCTCATTTTTGCATGACATGTATAATATGCCCGGTACATGTATTTTTCGACAGTTTTGTAATACACGTTTAATAAACTTTTTAAAAAGTTTCATAAAACACTATTTCAACAAAATAGCAAAACACTTTTTAAATAGCATTGTAAAACAGATTTTTAAAAAACAGTTTTGGGTGGTATTTCTTACAACCTTCATAACACACAAAGGGTGTAGCAGAATTCAAATTTTCCATAGTGTACATTAAGTATTTTATACCAATTAAAAAATGAAATTTGATTTTTGCTACATTGTTTATTGTTGAACTGTTTATCAAGTGTCAAACATTATCAAAGTTACATTTCACACCAAAGTCGGCTGATCAACCCAAATGGTAAACAGGACTTTTTTGTGCATTTTGATTAAATATATCAAACTATCGAGAACTGTCAAGAATCTTGGAACATGCACCGCTAATTCATTTATCTCGTTCAAATATAAAATTTAACACTAATAATTATGATCTGTGAAAGCCCCAACATACCAGAATAAACTTAAATATAGAGTTTAAGACAATACACAATAAAGAGAGATTACTTTTTTCAAAAATCTGGTCCCCCAAAAATTATAATCATTAAATTCTAAATTAAGTTATGGCCATTTAAAGTTTACATTTTTTCTAAAAATAGTTTCTATGTATTTGGATCTGCGTCGTTCGGTGTCTTTGATAAAATAAGTATTAGTAATTCTATCTTTTTCTCACAATCCAGTCCATTCTTTATCTTCTTTTTATATAATTGGGTGTATTTAAATAGAAAATACACCAAGCCATTCCACTAAAATAATGTATTTTTTATTTTTTTAAAATATCGAGTGAACAATCTAGTTTATTGAGAGCATTCAAGCGGAGAATATAAATTCCATTTATATTTTGTTATTCTGAAAGGATACATTTCGTAACAAACTTATTCTAATAATAAAATAGCAGTAGGCTCATAAAAGAATTTGACCTAAAGGTTAGCATTAACTTCAAACATGGCTGACTTACCTGTGTAACCAGACGGACAGCGACAAGCGAAATCCTTGTAATTATTTCTAGGTACACACTGAGCTCCATTCATACAGGGTGACGGCAGACATGGATTTAACTCCTGTTCACAATTCTTGCCAGTATACGGTAGATTACAATGACATCTATAATTATCAATCAAATCTACACATTCTCCATGTAAACATGGATTACTCGAACATTCATTAATATTTACTTCACAATTCTTTCCTACAAATAAAAACATAACAAATCATCATTTTTCGTAAAAATGTCTTTCCCACTTCTTTTCAAATGTGTATCCCTGCTGTACTTTTGCTACATTTGTTCTGTTCTGTGTTTTGCTGGGGAAGTTATACTGCATTGTCTATTATAGTGGGAAAGGAAACATTTGATTATATATCCAGCTTGTTCCATTACTTATCATAATAACACATCAGATTAAACCAATTCAATACTATATTTTGTCCTAAATCAAATATGTTTAGCTCCTTTAAGTGTGCAGCTATCAGGAGAAGAAATTAGTCTAAACAGGGTCATTTAGGCCTACCTTAGGATTTGGATTTTTCGTATCCATGCATTATTTTCAAATAACAATTTACCTGTGTAGCCATCACGACAGTCACAAGAATATCTGTCCAAATAATCATGGCAAGTTCCACCATGCATGCACGGATTAGAAATACAATCATTGATATTCTCTTGACATCGATGACCTCCGTAACCACTTTTACATTCGCATTCAAATTTATTAACACCATCAATACATCTGCCATTGTTGGTACATGGGTTGCTGGCACATTCGTTGATGTTTGATCTACATTCAGCATCATAGTAACCAGCTGGACACTGACATTTAAATCCATTGATAAGATCTGTACATTTTCCGCCGTTGTGGCAGGGTTGGGACACACAATCATCAATATCTAATTCACAGTGAGTTCCTGAAAAAAACAAAAAAAACCATCAAATTTATAAATAATCAGATGTCAGAAATGCCAGAAACAGGGTTTTAACATCTCAAAATTTTGAGACTTAATATTTGGGGAACAATTATTTTTCTAAGGTGTAATGAATGAATATTGCCCAGACCGTGACATCTCCAACTACTCTCCATCAAATTATTTTTTATGCACAACCAACTTCTACATTGATCTGGTTGTTGTTTGTATCATCAGAAACTATTGAGGTTTTTTTTCTTGGTCCCCGATTTGATCTGAACCCAGGTATGTCTAATTAATAATATATACCAAGTCATTATTTATTTTATGTGTAATACAAAAAAAAATCAAAGACAACTTTATCATACCATCAAATCCTGCTCGACACTGACACTTGTACTGGTTGATTCCGTCTACACATGTAGCTCCATTACGACATGGATTACTTCCACATTCATTATAGTTATTATCACAATAACGACCTGAAGTTCCAGTAGGACATCGACACTCATAACTATTTACCAGATCTGTGCATGTTCCTCCATACTGACACGGATTACTGTCACATTCGTTGATGTCCTGTTCACAGTGGAGACCTGTATAACCTGGTGTACACTGACAGGTGTAGGAATCTAACCCATCAACACAGGCACCATTAGTACAGTTAATACCTCGACAATTATCATAGTTTTCATCACAATGAACTCCACTAAAACCTAAAATACATATTCAACATATTTATATGTATAAGACTAACTAATTTATTGCATTAAGAATAACATAGGAAGATACTATCAGCTGAGCCATTGTGGGGTTTTCCCTTTCAAGAGTCATAGCAATACACTAAATTATCATTATTTAGAAGATAACTAAATCTTGGTATTAAATAAAATGCTCCAATGTTCCTTTAGAATGCAAAAAGGTCTGATGGTCCACAAAGTATATAACCAAGAATAAATATATATATATATATATATATATACATATATATATACATCAAGACTTACCTTTTTTGCATGTGCAGCTATAAACATTGATGAGATCTGTGCAGGTAGCACCATTTTTACACGGAGAACTGGCACATTCATCTATATTGATTTCACATGTTTTCCCTTCAAATCCTGTATTATTAAAATATGTATTACACTCAACCTTGATATATACATGTACAAGTACATTTTGGGATGTACAACATTCAAATTATTAAACAAAAACAAAAACAAAAAAAAAACAAAAATAATACTTTTAATTCATTTACAATCATACAGTAAGTTACAATATTTTTTTTAACCACTAGTATTTGAATTCACTATCTTCCACTTGTAGGAAAGGGAGATAATTCAGAAGTCATAAAAAAATAAATAAATATCTGATCTCCAAATTCAGAAATGGAAATGGAATGGGGTTTAACGTCCTACTGTTCTGCTCCTAAACTGGGCTAATGAAGACGGGCATACGCCATACAGTGTGCTATGAGGGAAATTTTGCCCAGGCAGCGGCACTATCGCCTACTCTTATATCGAATTCCAACTGCCAAGGGATCCTTTACGTGCATTCCAATGTATACACGGGACCTCGGTTTTTCGTCTCATCTGAAAGACTAGACAGCTGTCCTTGTCAGGCCCTCCGTTCTGCACCACTGACAAGGGGAAACCACGTCGGAAAATCGGGATGAACTTTCTCGGCCAATGCTGGGATCGAACACCTGACCTCCAGGCTAGCAAGTCTGTTAGCTATGTGAACTGTTCAAATGAAAAGTACTATCAGGTGTTCTAGAAAAAGTAAGCATATTAAAATGAGATATAATTTCTCATCATGATATTTAAGACAAACATCAGTTCATTTATTTTCCAAAGAAGGATTATTTTTTGTGCAGTGCAGCAACTGAATTCAAATGACTGTGGTTGTATTGGGTAAATAGGAAGCAGGTTTAGAAAAAATCTCAAACACTGTTGAATGTAATATTATGAATTTGAAATTAATGAATTACCTGGAGTACAAGAACATTTAAACTTGTTAACAAGATCCTGACACACACCACCATTTATACATGGAGAACTATTACACTCATCAAATTCTGTTTCACAATTAACTCCTGTATAACCTGAAATATACATTAATACTTTAAATATACCTTTATCAATATTCAAATGAGCTTTAGAACAAACATATAAAAAAAACAACAATGGAAAGCTCGTTAGTTTGACAACTTAAAGGGAAAATAGCACTCTTGCTGACTTGACAGCTACAGAAAATAACAAATAGTCTTATTCTAAGTACTAGATGTGTTAGTGTCCTACCTGTTGTGTAAATTATCTATTAAATCCTATTTTACTTGTCCAAAGAGTTCAAAAATAGTTTTAAATCCAAGTCATAACATTTGAAAAGCTTTACGTCAGGCTTTTCAAATCATTTAGTTGAATTTTTCCAATTTTTTAAATTGGGTGTGTAAAGATGAAATTTGTATCATCAATTATAGGCTAATTGGAATATTGTAAAATAGTACAATTTGTTGTCCAGAATAAAGATTGGGACATATTCAGTTACAAGAGTGGTATTGAGCCTTTAAATTTCATACATTTCAAATACATGTTTTTAATGCACATTGTTATTGTGTGTTTTGTCTGTCCCCAAGGATGATTTGCCTTGCTACAACCCATTTATTTACCATGTTTAGCACACCATACCCTTACCATTTCATTTGACCTTTATGAATATATCTTATCTTCATATCTGCACAAATAATTATTTGAATCAATTATCACTTTATGTAACTACATAGGGAATTAGTAAAAAAAATTCTGACAGCAATTATATTATTGTTTATTTAATTTATAATGCAGTATATATATAGTCATATTATGTAAATATAAACATGCATTATAAACACATTCTGTATATAATTTACATGTAATGTCAATTAATTAGAAAATGACCTGACAGTTAATTACACTTTACATCTACATATTGTGTTAAATCTACATACTGTTATGTACTTGTCATATATACTAAGAGTGATGGAAAAGCTCATACAAAAGACATCATCAAGATTGAGCAAGAAACAAGGTTACTAAAGTTTTATTTCTATGCATGTCAGAAGCTCTGTCTCTCGTCACTTTATAAATCTAATTTTGAGATAAAAATATTAACTGGATTAAATATTATTTTCTTTTATTTTAAACTTCAGTAAACTTTCAAAGTTCTTGGGGTTTTTTTATATAATGCTTTTTTCATTTTCAGTTTTGAAAATTATCCAAAAACAAATCAGTCAAAATAAAAAACATTTGAATACCAATTTTCAAAAAATTCCCCCAAAAATTATAAAAGACAGTAAAAAAATAACAAATCTGATAGAAAATTGGTAGCAATATCATTTTGCAGTTCAATATTGTAGCAATGTTTTATGGGAATTTTGAAATGCAGCAATGCTTTATTATAATATTCAATTTAAAATTGTAGCAATACTTTATGCAATTGATAATTACAGCAATATCTAATGCAATTTAAAATTGTAGCAATATTTAATTAATTTGCATAACAAACAAATGGAAAATAATCGATAAATCAAATCTAAATCAATACACTTAACAATCATAATCTTTTTGTATTCATCCAATAAAAACATGTTAATAAATAACCATTATGAATAGCAATAAGGTAATATTAATTTAAAGGTATTTAGACAGTATTCTTACAGAAACAACCTTTTGAAAGTATGACCTATATAAATAAGAGTTGTCATGTCCGTCTGCCTTGAGGGCAATTCAGGGAGAGAATAATTGCAGTAGTTTATATTCAGCTTCCCACTTGAACAAGAAGCGTACTCTGTTCCCACACTTTACACTCCATGATTGACCTTCAAGGGGGATAATTTGTTCTACGCACTTGCACGAGACAATGAACAGATGCAGTAAAACTCTAAAATCTTTATAAACTTTGCTTTGTTTTTTTTTTTTCAAACACATTTTATTTCAAAATAACCTATATCGCATATCTTAATTTTCTATTGTATTTCAGTATAAACTTTATATAGAGAATATCCTAATTACATCAACAATAAAGAATTTTTTTTCTATTTCATATATAAGCTCAATACAATTAATCTTTTTATTTTCTATTTTAATCTACAATTAAATATTTTATTGCCTGTTTTAATGATGTCAACAAATATCTATCGAAAAAGACTGTTTAAATTGTTTATAGTTTTTATATTTTCCAAGAAGGAACAATGACAATTGATAAGTAAAGACTCCAATGAAAATACGGTCTTTACCACAACTTTTAAGACATTTACAGTACATGTATGGCATTGTTATTCTTTTTTGACAGTTAAAATCTTTAGTTTGGTGCATATTAGCGTTCTTGTGTAACTAATATGACATGAGTTCAGGTTATTGTGGTGGGTTGGTGAACTCAAGGTAACTATTCAAACAGAGTGAACTCCCCTACTTTATTTCTAATAATAGCAATCAATTGAAACCGCCTTTTCATATTTCATACAAAATCAATTTCTTTTCATTCAATAATGTTTTCATTTCTCAAGTCTTAAAATTCAATTATGATTTTCCTTTTTAACTGTCTTAGAAAAATCAATTTAATAGCCAATTTTCTCTAGTGTTATATTGCATACAATTCCTTTCTTTATAATTTATCTTATTGTTTTAATTAAAGAAGACGGATCATCTTTGTCTAAATGCTAAGAAAAAGATAAATAAAGAAAGCTATTCTGATCATCTTTCAGAAAATTTTTAGGTGTTCTTGGTCGAGCCCTACTCTGTTTTATTTTGTACAGTCATATTTCTATCACTTTTGGTTCCCCCAGAGACATCATAATGACAATCTTTAATTCACTTAGCATTTGAATAGAGGTGTTTGAAAAGTATTTAAAAGTAGTATCTAGAAGCAATCAACATTATCATTTTTATTTAGAATATCTATTGTCTTTTGAATTCAATTACATATCTTAGGCCTATTTTAAATATAATTTAAATTCAAATGAATAATGTTTTGATTTTGGTATAGTATTTTCAAAATGTACAATAAATATCCATTCCATACGTAACAAATTTTAGAGCAGTAGATTTATCTAAGTTTACATGTACAAGTTGTACAATCACATTGTTTTAATAAATGATTTTTATTTCCATAAAAAATAAACAATTGATTTATTATGACAAAGCCAAAACATATGGTATCAGACAACAATATGCCTCATTGTTCAATGAAAAAAATAACAATCAACAATAAAAATCATTTTAAAGGAGCTAACCCTCTCTGATTTTAGTCCAAGAAAAAGTAGTCAATCAGAAAAATAAAATTGGAAATATCTTGCCTGGAATTAATTACTTGTGGTTTTGTTAAACACAACATAAACAATCCAAGTTAATTGTCCCCAACAAAAAGAATTTCTTTAGTAACATTATCTAGATGAAAAGGTCTATAACTAAAGGCAAGTCGTTTGTCGTAAAGGGCAATTTGATGATTGTAAAGAAATTAAGAACCTATCCCCGTTTATTACTCTGTCGACTAACAAATTACCTGAACAATAGCCTATGTAAATGTGGACAACTTTGATGTTTTGGAATAAATGGAGCTAATCTTTCTGCTTCAATAATGTGGGGGATAATTGGTAAGATCTTTTTTACCTTCGAGATATGACCCCACCCTCCCACATTTTTTAGTTCCCTACTTGTATGATTTATAAACACAAGTTTGACTATAAGTCTATAATTATCAAGTTAAAACCCTACAGTAATTTTTATCCATTTTCAATCACATTTAGGCTTCTGTTTATTTTTCTCATAAGATTTTTTTTTTTACCTTTCAGTCTATAACATGTATGTGAATGAATAAGATAATATCAATAGGAAAGATCAAAATTCAACTCAACCATTGAACCTCCATTCTCGTAAGGTCTATTAAGAAATATTGCTTTGGATGCACCAAATAAACTTAAGACCTAATAGTTTGAAGCAAATTAAGAAATTTTCTGCTGCACACTATACAAACTTGACTGGCTAATTCTTTGGCTTCACACACCTTAAAATATTTTTTTAAAGCTTTAGGACTCTTTGTAAATATCAATATTTAAGAATTAAAATGTTAGACATTCAGTAATTATCGAAAGCTGATATTGAAATTTGACTTTAAATGTTTTAACAAATTAGGAAATTTGTATTTCTAAAGTGTATACCAATGACCTGTTTCACGAAATTTTAACTAAAGATAAAATCCAGATTTTAGTAAATACTTCAATTTTGATTGGCTAAGCACTTAAATAAATCTAATATTACCCAATCAAATTACTAAAATTTGGATTTTATCTTAGTTAAAATTTCATGAAACAGGCCCCTAATTCCATATTTTCCTACCGCTCGGAAAAGGGGACAAACATCCATGCCAGCGATAATAACGATACTCCTTATAAGAGGAACATGAATTCTGAATTCACACAATTACAAGTCTGAAAATTGTATCTTACCTGGCATACATATACATCTATAGGCTCCCTTCTCATCTAAACATGTGCCATCATTTGAACAAGGGTCAGATGCACATTCATTGATGTTGATTTCACACCAGGGACCAGTAAATCCTATAGCACAATCACAATTATAACTTCCTGGTGTATTCACACAGGTGCCACCATGTTCACAGGGAACCTCCGTACCTGAAATACCACAACTGTATTCTCAGCACCCCATATAATGTGATAATATAAATCTTATCACCTGTCTTAATAAATTTTATCTGTTTGTGTAAACCTTCAAACTTGCTTAATAAATTTGATTTTATACAATAAACTTTAAAGACATGATTTGAATATGATCATAATTCATATCTAATCAATTGAAAAGGTCTGTGATGGCTGCCCTTCGGTTTTTATCATGGCTGAGACTAATATGGCCATTTAGTACAAGACAAACAAGACCTTTCCATTTACATACGAATGATTTTTTTTTGCAATATATAATAAATACTATATATATATGTATAAATATAATTAAAATGCGAAACTACCACTACACTACTGAAACTTACTTTCTTGACATTCGTTAATGTCTCGTGAACAATCGTTTCCACGCCAGCCTCGTTTACAAGTACAGATAGGATTGCCGTCAATTGGAGACGTTTCACAGCTAGCTCCGGCATGACATGGGTTACTGTCGCATGCATCTTCAAGATGGCATCGTAGACCTGATAGACAGAAGCCAAGAACAGAATGATAGACAAGATTTCGTTGGTTAATATAATATATAGTATATAAACATACATATAGTTCATAGTCTTTGGAAATGGGGTTAATAAATAGAAAGAAAGATGTTAATTAGTTGTTAATTAATAATATTTTTGGGTTTTAGTAAAGAATTTCAGAGACATCGTTTTATTTTAAAGGAGCCATCCCGGATATATTTAGTGAATCAAACAGGCTTATTCTGTTGGAAGTCCCAAAGTGTGTGGATAACGAAAAGATGTACCAATTGCTTAAGTTTCAGAGGTAAGTGATTGTCACGGCCACCATGCCACTCATAAAATTCAACAATGGATTTCAATAAATGAGTTCCTGTAACTATGCTAATTAAAATTAGAGATCACTTCCTGGCAGTCTAATATTTTGAGATGAAATTTTCAAACAAGTTAATTTGGCATTTAATTTATATGTTAACCCCACTTTTATCAACATGTACTCTGTAAAATTCGGGACTGCTCCTAGGTGTATATTTTTGGCCCATAAAAGAAATTCAATTAAATAAAACAAATGATGTTACACATTGGTTACAAAGGGCAATAACTTTATTTTATGGCATTAGAAATAGCCTGAGGTCACATGAAGCCAAGAATACCTAACTTATCAACATTGTAAATCAACAATACTAAGAAAAGACTGAAGTTATTGCCCCCGAGGCTGTATATATTATTTGGTATATATATATATAATAAATATACCCTGACTCGTACTTATTAAATTATTCATGTGACTGAATACAGACAGTTCTCATCATGACTCATATGTACATTAAATATAAAAAAATTTAATTTTTTCCACAATAAATTTTATTTTGAATAATGACCCAAATTTTCTGACCATATCTAACTAATTCAACAAAATTCAAAAATAAATTTTATTTGACCAAAAAGTTAAATTATAAAATAATTATTCAATACCCTCTACTTCATTCCCTCTTACGTATTCCCTTTAAATCCCAACATACTTAGTTCTATATTCCAAGTTAATCAATTACCTCAATATCAAGAGTTACATCATTCCTACTTTATTCCCTCCATCCACAGTTACTCAATTCCCTCTATATCATAAGTTATTTTATTCCCTTTATATCCTGTGTTAATTTCCTCTATATCCAGCATTACTCAATTTCCAGTTACTTTATTCTCTCCATGTCCAGATTAAATTAATTCCCACTATATTTTATTTCCTCTACATGTATATCTACCCAGTAAGTAAATTTATTTCCTCTATTTCATGAGTTATTTAATTCCCTCAATATCCCTGAGTTAATTCCCTATGTATCCTTGAGTTAATTCCCTCTATATCTCAAGTTAATTCCCTCTATATCTCAAGTTAATCAATTCCCCATATATATTAATTTATTTTATTTTCTCTATATCTTCAATTATCATCTGTCTATTCCAAAATTGTTAAGACTAAGATGTACAGCACTTACAACACACACAACATACCTGTTTTGCCTCTCGGACATGAACAGTAAAAATATCCGACTCGATCATCACAGGTTCCTCCGTTATAACACGGATTATTTTTACAATCATCAATGTTCTCGCTACAGTCCGATCCTGTCCATCCGTTAACACAGATACACATAAACCCAGCAATGAGGTTCATGCAAGTTCCTCCATTGCGGCAAATATTGGGTTGTGTATCGCATTCATCAACATCTAAGTCACATCTTGATCCTAGAAAAAGATGTCAATTATACTAGAAAAACATGCGAGAAAAAACAATTCATTGTAAAATCGAAAGACTTTGCAAAGGGATATTTATCCCATAAAGCAGTAAATCATCAATCATAATATTTCTGGAAGTTCATGAAAATGAATGGTACAGAATTTCATATCTCTTAGATTAATGCCAAGATGAAGACAATAAGACAGTAAAGCCAAGACAGAATGTTTTAAAGATATTCATTAATCAACATACAATATTAGTAAAATAAATGAATATAAGCATAGAATGAAATGGGGTCTAGCATCCTGACAACATTTTTTTTTTAAGTCATTCTTGAGACAAACATACAATTTTTTTTATTTCTATGGTTTCATGTGTAATGTAAGAAGAAGATTTTTGCCAGCAGAACAACTTTTCTATCCTCTTCTACTCTTACTCTGAAATTCAACTGCCAAGGGTTCTTCTTAGTCCAAGCAGTGATATGAAGATATGGAGTAAGGAAATCGGTCGATCTTATAATATATGGATCAAAGATTTCTGTATTAGGTTTTAGCCCTTTTTAAATCAATATGTATCTTCAAAGAATTAATTAATATAAGTACTCATTTTTGCGGGACCCCAAAAAATGCTCTAAATCTGATATGAAAATTAAAGATCTTGGACTTCAACTAATATACATGAAATATATACATATATATAAAAGATGAATTTATATAAGCTTCGGCTTATATTTAAATCCATTATATCAGTATTGTATATATTCATGCCGTACTCGAAATAAAATATTGTTTAAACCATATATACATGTATATGAAAAAACTATATATACCACCATAAGTGATATACCTGTGGGAACTTATTTACCTATATTGTAATGTTTGTATATATAAAGATAAAGTCAATGACAACTATTTAGGGCCACCTTTAACCTCATTATAGCACGGTAATAGAAAACCACTTCTATCTTTATTGACACTCGGCTAATTTAACTGACTAACATATCATATTGATGGATTCTCACCAATTATCGGCACATCAAATGAAATAAATATCATCAATTATTTCGTTCGACATCAATAGGTAAAATAAATATCTATATTGGGAGTATTTTTCGTTGGAACATGTGTATAAGTTTTCATGTGAATTGGGTTTTTATGAGAATATTTTGATTTATAGGGTGTCAAACAAATTTTTTTTAAATGTTTGAAAATAATATTTGATATCCATTTAGTTAGCAGTAATAGAGAGCATTGGGGGAAACAAAATCAATTACGTTTTTCATATTTGATAATTTATTTTTCTAAACTGAATTCTGTTGGAATATGTATATCAATAATTAATGATTTCTATGACTGGCTTCAGAAACAAGTTACACTACAATTTCTAAATGTCTTTTACTCCCAATATTCAATAAGCTATTCTTTAATTGATAAGTGCTGTTCAATTTTATGTCATTTTAACAATAAATATTTCATCTTTACAGATATTAAATTTCTCATAAATTTTATGAAAGACATAAAGTTTTAAATCTTTTATATTATTGACAAAGGTATGGGGTGTATAATAACAAATTTTATTAACTCTGTTCTATAAAAGTAACTAAATTTATGACCTATTTTTGCAGTAAAACCACAGGAATAATTGACCTGTCATCATTTAAAGCTTTATTTCACATTAACAAGCATTTAACATTTTCAATAAACAGCTTCATATTTTTAAAGATCAAATTGGGTGAAGGAGCGGAATTTGAACTGAAAGAAGGGAAGAAAATGTTACGCATTTAGGGTGACTCATTTCTCACATAATGAATTTTGTAAACAGACAACTTTAATATCACAACTCTCCTCCCCTCAAAAATGAACGCTCAATTAAATAGATTTCGATCAATTTTATCTACAAAAAGTTATCAATATTATTTTGACTCTTCCTTTTAACTTGTAACTAAAACATCTTAAATATATTTCAAGTTATTTTCTGATAAACAATTTTTTTTTTTTTATTTCGTTGATAACTAAATGTCCAGGGTTCTTTTCCATGCACACAATTTGATTTGTACACAGGTGGGCTTTTTTTTTTTTGGTTCCATCTGAACGACTAGTCACATAATGAAGTCAGGGCTTGAAAAATACTGAAGGTTCTTTTTGGCTAATGCCTGGATTCTAACCTTTGACAATCTAGTTGGGGAGTCATATGCCCTGATCGCTAGACTACCACAACATCGAACATAAGATACTTGTTCTTAAACTATTTCATATCAATTAAATTAAGAAGGAAAAAAAATATATTTGAGATGTTGTTACGGCAGAGTGGATATCATGGAGAATTATCTTGGTAGGTATTTAGACAAGATGACCTGTGACAGGTTCAAATTTAATCATGCACTAACAGATCTAGACAATCTACCTGCATGGGTCTAATTCCTATAGATATGTCTGATAAGCCGTTAAAAACACCTGCTACCTGACCCACTTGTGAACAATATGAACAACAGGTACAACAAAACAAACTTGCTATTTTTAGAAATTGTGGACTTAAAATCATGCCAAATTTAGGGTATCTTTAAAGGCATAAAAGATTTTGCATTATGTAAGGATATGAAACTTATTTTTTTTATTATGCGATTTATGAATTTCATTCCATACAAAACAAAGAGTTTTCGTATGTTATTACTAATTTATGATTTTCATATACAGTGTTATTACTGATTTATAATTTTCACATACAAAATATTGTTCTTGTATGATGTGACCACTGAAATTAATACTATACGTAACAAAATTAAAGCTTTTATTTTAATCCATGGGATTAAACTTATTTGGGAATGAAGAATGTTATTCTGACATTACAGAAAGTATTGTGATAACTTTTCTTACGGCTTACTTTTCTAAACATAGATACAACCTTTGATAAATCACCATTGACTGGCAGTGCAAGAGTGTAATCAAAATTCTGCTTTTTAATCCATGCAGCTAGGACAATAAGTGGTACTTTGTTTTGATTTTGGATCGGCTATGGTTTATTTAAAACATCTTATAATGTGGTGTAACAGAGATTAGGCACCCATCTTACCTTGCATAGTAGGTGGACATTTGCATGTGTAGCTGTTGACGCCATCGATACAGGTGGAGCCAGTAGCACACGGATTACTAATACAATCATCTATATTTTCTTCACAATTTTTACCACGAAAACCTGAAGTGGAAAAGAAAAGAGAAATGATTTACAAAATAAATGTGTTTAGTTTTTTAAATCTAGGGTGCCATTAAACTGGTCCAAAGTTCGATCTCAGTGTTGTCAGAGGAAATTTGTCAGTTGTGCAGGACAGATGGCCAGGCAGGGAACAGCGTTTAGTTGAAAAACCAAGGCCCTTGGCGTTTGTATCATTGGAAGTACATTAATTGACTATTTGAACTGAGAAGTAATAACTACTATTTGAATGAGACAGCCTCAAGTTTCAATTAGGAAGATTTAGTAAATTTGATTTATTAGACTGATATAAGCTTGAAATGTATGCTTATTATTATGTATCATTCACTCTTCTCAAAAACTTGTTTGTTCAAATAAAATAAACCAATTTCACAACAGTTTTAGTCTAGGTTTAATAACAAAATGCAAGTGTAGCAGACGACCTCAACAATTCAAGTTGACCTTTTCAAATGAACAAAATTGAGTTAAATTTCAAGTGTCATGGCTGCTAAATGCAGAAGGCATTTATAGACAAGTGTTTCACTGTTGTTCAAATATGTTTACTTGGTGGAGTAGGCCTAAAATGGAGGTCACAGTCTCACAGATAACATCTAGTCTATGATACATCATTGATATTTTTGGAAGGATGATCTACCATGTAATGCCCATTGTTTATTTTAATTGCTACAAACAATCATTTCTAAATTACAGTAAATTCAACAAATAATCTGGATTTCTCTAATCTTACTGAGCATGTCTCTTAGTCTGATGGTTTTACCAGATAAATGCAATTTATATACTTGCTTAAAGTCAATTACCATTCAAACAAAACCAAAAAAAATAGGTGTTCAAGCACCTAAATAAACACAAGTCAACGATTCGGTTTGTTTACGTTGTCAAATCATTTATACAAAGATGGTGGAACACAACCTCGTAGGCTTCAACTTCCACTCACTGGATGTGTACACATAAGGAAGAAGTTCACCTCGTTATTGCTATTTAATACTTTCATGCAATGGAAATTGTTACTCATAAAACAACTATTTTCAAGACCCTAAAATATTTCTTTTATTTGACTTATATATTCGAAACTAATTATTCTTCATCTTTCAATTAGGACGATCAGGAAAAATGATTCAGTAGAAGAGAGATAGAAATTCTAACCAATTATATAACATACTTCTAGTATATTGCCTCATAGCTAAAGACATAATAATATTGACTAATGTCGTAATCAATTTAATTTGATAATAATATTGATAGTCGAGCATTACACTATACATTGGAAGATGCAAGTCAAATATTGAGTTTCCAGCTACTTTGTTTTTATCAAAAAAGATTTGAAAATATTTTTCTTACTATTTGTTTTGAGAATTATTGACTTTAAGATGGCTACTAATATACTAAAATCAAATAAAGCGTCTTTCTGCAGTGTAGTTGAATCTTTTGCTTTTGATATTTTGTGGAAAAAAAACCCAATTGTGTTCCCTATGGCTAATAACTACTAAAAATCACAATGTCATGATCTGTATGAAAATGTCATTTATTAAATTAAGATGGTTGGCAATGTTAACATCTTAGAGAAATTAAAATTACAAAAAATAAACTTTCAATAAATAACTATATGTTTAAAATATATCAAACATCAAATTTTTTCTAATGGTTTGGATTGTTCGTACTTGGTACCTAATTTAAGAAAAGATCGAAATAACATATATAAAGAGAGAACAAAAAAATTACTTGTTAACAAGTTACTTCACTTGTAAAGTTAACAAAATTTAATAGAAAATTCAGAGAGAGAGGTGGTGACTCAGTAACGCGGAGGTCCTGGGATCGGCAGGGAAATTTCCTCAGGATTTTCCGGCCTGGTAACCCCTTGTAGCTGGTGCAGGAAAAAAGGCAAAGGGTCTACCAAGAAAGAGTGTCAAAGCCAGTGGTTCTCAACCTTTTTTTGGCACCGGCACACCTTGGAACACATGAAAAAATAGCGGCACACCTGGCTAAATATATATGAAACATATTTGAATTTTGCAAAATAAAAACATGGCAAGTCAGATGACATTCAACCGAAGACACCGACCAGTCATAGACACATAGAATGACTCAAACTAAATTAAGAAAAACACAGCTATAAACTTACTCTACTGCAGTGTTTCGAATTTCATCAGTCAAATAGCTGGCTTCTTTAGTGAGAAATTTTCTTAGTGCGCCATTCAAAATTTCGCAGCACACTTAAAAAGATCTGCGGTACACTGGTCGAGAATCACTAGTCTAAGCATTTGGAAGGAATGGAAGACAGATGGGATTCTAAGAAGACTGGGCAGAACAAAAATGCTGATGTCCAGGCAAAATTTCCACAATGATTGGTATATTTATCCATATCTATTAGCCCGGTTGGTGTGGAAATCTAGGGTGCTAATCATTAAACTATGTTATATTTCATTTGGTTTCATTAAAACAGCAGCCATAATTACTTCTAATATGACAGCCGTTGATTTAATGGTTGAACAAAAGTTGAAAAGCAGCAAAAAACCCCACAACAATGCAACGTTATTAAGTTCATAATAAGAAATCTAAATTCCCTTAAACCAAACAAAATGAAAGGCGTAGGCAAAATACAATGTCCATGATCTGTCAAGTGTAATCACGATTAAAAAGGTCAATCTGTTCAGGTAGGGGGGTTCCTGTTGACTCCTAACAACAAGTGTTGATTAAACTTGCCGCCTGGAATTTTGACGAGATAAGGTCAGGGTTTACAAGACATAATTTTCAGTAAATGGAGGGTTCAGGGTTTAAATTGGCAGCTCGACACAAATTGTAATCCCTTTGTTTTTCGAGTCGTTCACACAATATCTGTTGAGGAGCGAAGCAAGAACTAGTTTTGTTATTTGTGCAGCAAACATTGTGCTGGCTTAGCCTGCATTCTTGTTTCCCTGGGGAAAGTTGCATAGCATTTTGACAAACGTTCACGCCAAATACTGACTTCCGGCACCAAATTCCTTCACAATAGTCAATACTCGTAACCATGGTAATTCATAATTATGAGTATGCATTGTTGTTTTTTGTGTATATTTTTTTTATTTCAAACTGAAACATATATTCTTAGGCATGTCTTTCAATAATTTTCAAAGAACTACATGTATTGTGTCTTTGCCTACTGCAGAAATTTCTCGACCACTACTGGCATTATACCCCGGACCTCCTGGTTAGTAAGCTGACCCTTTACTCAATGATCCACTGTGGCTCCCACCAACCGGTGTACATCTACTTCTCCTCTGGGAATATGTATCTCATTGTATCAATTGTTCTGTCTGTGTTTTGTTATGCAGGTCTCCTGCAATGTCTAATTATTTTACAAGATAATGATGGTCAGTTTTTCATCTGATCAACATAGTGTCATGCATGTGAAAACAATGTAATAAGTATTAAAAATACTATCCTAAAATTAATCCTGTTTTATTTCTACTGACAACTGATACAAATGTGTTTTACAATTTTGTTAGAAAATAACCCACATTTCTAGTATATTCTTTATGGCCTGAATAGTGTAGGTCAAGAACAAGTAATTCTTTCATAAAATACCACCCCAGAAATATCTTAGCACTTAATTATCATGGACATCTGAGTATGTGGTCGAGTTTTTCTGAATACCCTATATTGACAAACCCCTAGTATATCTTACTTATATTTAGCATTAGGTAAATATCAATTATGTATGCTTATCCTTTCTTATACCAACGCCTGTCAAAATGGCCAATCTGTTTGCATTAAGAACAAGTGTCAAAATAAATATCAAAATGGATGAACCAGGTCAAACAAAATTTGAAACCAATGCTACAGATTCACTTGGTTGGCCATTTTTGTTCAAAGCCATCTGCGCTGAAAGTTTGAAAGGAAAACTTACACAAATAATACCAATTTTATTAAACAAATATAGTAGCGACTCCTTCTATTTTTACAAGGAGGGCTTAAATTTCAAACTCCACGGCTCATAAAATATCCATATAAAATAATATTCAACAAAACACATGAACGCACTGCTGTCAAAACTCGGTTTCACCTAAAATAATATCGCTAACGATGAATCAAGAGTAAAGACTGGGTAATTGAGTACATATATTGACGACACAACAAAGAAATCAAAACAAAAATTCATAAAAGCGGCCCATGAATTGTCCTCTCGCTCAATTAAGCGTGTCCTTATGACAAGCCGTCTGTATCGTGAGAAGAAAAAGTTTATCTAAATGCATAGTATGACTCGCTAAGACTATCCTATAGACCTTATTATTGTTCACTGATTACATGGCAAAAATTAAACCGTCTGCTCCAGAACATAATTCAATGATAACAATGAATAGGATTATGGGATAATAGAATCTTTAATCCATCAGATCTGGGTGTATTTATGACTTTTTAATCCGACACATCTATGCGTTTTGTGGTTGTGATAATATATAATGATAGGTCATTCACCAGACGGATTACCTTGTCTGAATAATTCAATTTATAGTAAATAAAGTAAATAAACACTTCTGAATTCAACCAGAAAATTATTAGAATTTTTTTTATAACACAGTTCTGTTCTTTTTTATTATTGTTGGTTGTATAAACTTATATCATATAAAGCAGTACAATTAGCCCCGACAAAATACAACCAATAAAATAAAATAATGGGTTCTTTATAAGTGTCTCTATATCTGAGTATTCACTTCAAATTTTGCCTAATGCTTATTTTATACGGTTAATTGTGGTTTCCACCATAAGCCATTCCTGATTGACTGATCAGTTTTCATCCATTTAAAATAAAATATTGTTTATAGAAATTTAAAAAAATATTTAGATATAAAACAGCCAATGATTAACAGATTAATGGCCACAATCAGCCACTTTGAAAATACCAGTGAAAAAATTACTTTAGTTAGACCTTTAGACTGTCCTGTATTTGTATCTAATAAAGTTTATATTATAACTTTTAGTAAAATATCTCTTTCAAGTGATATGTAATA